CCTGCCGCGCGGCTTCCTCCATTTGCGCGGCGATCTCCGCGGCACGCGCGGATGCGGCTTCCGCCTGCTCCTTGCGCGCTTCCGCCTCCCGCTGAAGCGCCTTCTCCAGTTCCGCATCCGCCGCCCGCCGGCTCTCCTCTATCTTCTTCCCCACCGTTTCCTCCACCACTTTGCACCGCTTTACACCCCTCCGCCTCTCCTCCTCCACGTGTTTCCGCACTTCCGCCAGTTTCCCCTCCCACTCCCGCTCAATCTCTGCCAGCCTCCCCGCGTCCGCAATCCTCCCCGCGTCCGCCTGCGCCTGCATCTCCGCCAGCCGCCCCGCCCACGCCTCCTGCGCCGCGTGCAGCCGCCCCTCCGCCTGCTTGAGCTCCGCGGATACGCGGAAGCGCATGTCTTCCACGCGCCCCACCCACCCCGCCTGCTCCGCCTTGAGCTCCGCCACCTGGCGCTGCATCTCTTCCGCCATCGCCTGCAGCATCCCCGCCTCCTTCGCGCCCCACCGCTCCTCCACCGCCGCAACCTTCAACACCGCAAGCTCCTGCACCGCGCGGATCCCTTCCGCCAGCTCCGCCTCCCCGCGCTGCCACCGCCGTTCCAGCGCCTGCAGGCGCTCCGCGGAGATGGCGCGTTCCGCTTGCATGAGCGCCTGCAGCTTGTGAACCTCCGCGCCCCACTGCTCCTCCAGTTGCTCCTTCACGCGCGCAATCTCCCTCCGCCGCTCCTCTTCCGCCTGCTTGCGCAAATCGTCCTCCCGCGCGCCCCACATCATCCACTTCTGCCACCCCGCCTGCCCCTGTGCGGGAGCTTTTCCTCCGCCTTGCGCCTGCGCGTGGGCCTGCGGGTGCTCCGCTCCCCCTGCTGCGCGCTCCTTCCACTCCGCCTCCATCTCCGCCAGCCGCACCGTAACCTGCGTTGCCACGTCAGCGGCCATCCGCCCTTCCATGCGCGCTGCGATCTTTTCCTCGATTCGGGCAGCTAAACGTTCTTCCAGCTGCCCGGCCAGCTTGGCTTCGAGCTCCGCGGTCAGGTGCTCCAAGGTGGCGGCGACGCGGCGCTCAATGGCGGCGGCGGCTTCCGCTTCAATCGCCGCCACGTGCGCCTTCACTGCTGCTTCCACCTGAGCATTCACCTGCGCCTCGGCAGCTGCCGCCTGCTGAACAACCTGCGAACACAGGAGCGGTGGCGCAGAGTTGTGATATCAGCTCACGAATTCGTAAGCTCATTTCGGTGTAAAATCTTTTCGACTTGGGACCAGCTGCTTACCTCGTGCTTTTCCACGTCAGCAAGAGGCGCTGGACCGTCGGATGCAGAATCGCCATCGGAGGAGGCGGACGAGGAGTGATGGGAGCCGTTGGATGAGGCGTCCGAGTCCATCAGCGCCAGCACGTCCGCCAGAAGCCGCAGCTCCTCCACCGACCCCTCGCTCGCGCTTCCCTCAAGTTCAGCCTCCTCCGCCGCCCCCTCGCCCGCGCTTTCCTCTTCCGCCTCCTCCGCCGCCCCCGCCACCTCCGCCTCAACAGCCCGCAGCTCCTCCACCGTCCCCTCGCTCGCCGCGCTCCCTTCCTCCGGCGCTTCCGCCGCCTCCTCCCCGCCTTCCATCGCTTCCACCCTCTCCGCCTCGTGCGCCTTCTCCGCACCTTCTCCCGCCTCTTGTGCAGCCGTGTTTCCTCCGCCTGGCCCTTCCTCGCTGTCCGGCCCTTGCGTCCCTTGTGCTCCGCCGTTTTCCCCATTCGACGCGTCCCCTCCGATCTCTGCGCCATTTACGTCGTCCGCGCTCACCGCGCCTTCAGCAGTCACCTCAACCGTTGCCTCGTCGCGCTGCAGTCCTTCGATCGCCGTCTCATCTGCCACATTTTCACGGTCCTCACTCTCGTGCGCTTCACTCTTCTCCGCCTCCTCACTCGTCTCGGCCTTGTCGCTCTTCTCATCTTTCTCAATCGCCCCACCTCCCTCTGCCCCCTCGCTATGAGCTACCTCGATTTCCGCATCACCCGATACTAGCACTCTCTTTTCATCCATGTGCTGCTCATGCCCCAAACCCTCCGCACCGCCGCTGCAAGTCACTCCTCCATCGCTCTCCGCTCTCACTACCACCTCAGCGTCCCCCTCTTCGCCCGAGCTCACCGCCTTGACCGCTGCGACTGGCGCCGCTTCAGGCGCTGCGCCACTCGCGTCCACCTCTTCCACGTCGGTCTTCTTGTCTAACGAGCAGCTTTCGGGCTCCGTTTCTCCAGCCGCTTCCTCCGTAACCGCCGCCGGCGCTTCGTTTCCCGCCTCTGCGCCCGACGAGCTACCCGCGCCCTCCTCTGTCTCGACAGCTACTCCTTCACCGGCATGCACGGATACGCCCTCCGGCGGTTGTGCCTCCTTGCACGCAGGGCCGTCAGCAAGCTCGGGCTCAATGTCGCTTTCGCGCGCGTTCTCGTTCTCACCGGCCGTGGCGGTCTCCGTTTCAAGTGCTGCGTTTGCCGCGGCCTCGCAGGTCGCGTTCCCCTCATCAACCTCGTCCGTGGCCCCTTCGCCTGCTCCTGCATCCGAGTCCGCATTGCCATCCGCCACGCTTGCTTCGCCCGTGCTCGCAGCCGAGTCTGTTGGGTCGACGCTGCTCCCAGTTCTATCGCAAGCTTCAGCCATGGTTCCAACGTCTGCGCTCGCATCGGCTTCGGATGCAATTTCTTCTTGCGCGCTTGCCGTGCCTCCGCCCAGCGTGCCATCTCCGCAGCTCGCGCTGTTCGCCATTGGCGCCGCGTCGGTCTCGTCGACCGCTGAAGCGCGCACGCTCCCGACCACAGCGTCGCGGAGAGTCGTCGCATCCTCAGCTGCTGCGACGAAGACATTCGTCGCATCCTCGGCTGCTACGACGCTGACATTCGTCGCATCTTCAGCTGCTGCGACGCTGATATTCGTCGCATCTTCAGCTGCTGAGACGCTAACATTCGTCGCATCTTCAGCTGCTGCGACGCTGACATTCGTCGCATCTTCAGCTGCTGCGACGCTGACATTCGTCGCATCTTCAGCTGCTGCGACGCTGACATTCGCAACATCCTCGGCTGTTGCACCCTCTGCATGATCATCCTTATTCGAGCCGCTCTCGTCTTCCACGCCCTTTATCACGTCGCACGCTTCCTCAGCGGCCGCAACGCCATCTTCCTCCGCCTCCCCGCTGCTTCCTTCGCCTGCCTTGCTGCTGACTTCCTCGCGTCCACCCAAGGTCGCTTCAGGACCCTGAACACCGTCAGCCTCTCCGCGCTCTTCAGGGTCTCCACTCCCAGCCGATGGGTCTGTCGCATTGCGATCGAATGAAGCCTCCGAAGCTTCGCTCGCTTCTAGGCTCTCCTCGTGGCTCTCCTCCCACGTCGCTCCTTGACAGGCGGCCGGCTCCTGTGAACTGGTTGAGAAAGAATCCTCCGCCGCCGCACTTTCGGGGCCTATGCCGTTGTTTGTTTCGCCAGCAGCTCGCGCATCTGCTGCTGAATCTTCCTCCATCTTTGCTGGTTCGGAGGCCACCGCATCGCCATCGGAAAGGCTGTCTGCGGCCCCGTCTCCATATGTCTCCACGCTATTCACCTTTCCTTCAAAATCTCTTACCATATTTTCAGTCTCCTTCGGAACCGGGTGTTCCGTGTTCTCCGTCTTCAGGCAGTCGTTAACACTCTGGGAGCTTGCAGCTGAATTCACGGCTTTCAGTGATTCTTGTTGCGATACCAGAGTGATGTCACCAGTCTTTTTTTTTCCGTCGCCGGGGTCCTCAAGCTCGATCTTTTCCATGTTTTCACTATTTCCGCCGAAAAGATGCTCACTCTGGGTGAGGAGATGACAGGCCCTAGTTACAAACTGATGGCATGAAGCAGCCAAACAAGTGAAAGATGCATGCTAGTTCTGAGTGGAATCCTGAACAGGTGAGGATTTGAACGAGTATGGTGAAACGCAACATCGCTAGCCTGCGGCTTTGGCTTGGGACGGGATGGGATGGGTGTGGATGATTCTGGATATTTTTTTCCCCTCGGGCAGCCATTCCATAATCAGTACCTCTGGGTACAAACGTGAGCTGCTTAGCGAAGTCGGAGATGTACTCACTGGAAATGCCTCGTTTTGGGCATCGCACTTTGCACCCAGAAGTTTCATTTTCCATGCCGAGCTCGTCGTCAAACAAAGCCCGCAGCGCACAAGCGAGTCGCCTTGAGTAATTCGTCTCGCTGTGCAATTATCGAACGAATCGCTACCTGAACACCAATCACACAGCTTTTTACAATGGCGAGGGATTCACGCCCAATACAAGCACTTTCAGGCATGTCTCCACTATTAAGGGCACGGAAACGATCTGATTGGGCAAATTCAAAGTTCTACATTGGGCCCGGCAACTGTGTATCTGCATTGAAAAAGCAAACTGTACCATGAATGTTGCTGAGAACTTCAGTTGCGGGGACAATGTTCCACACTGAGCCAAGACTGCTTTCCTTGGCATCTCAGCGGCAGACGCATGTGTTTGTGGGCGAGGCGCTGCACCTGCGAGCCAGGCAGTAGGAGCTCGGTAGAGAAAGCATTGTGAGAGCGAGGTTAGTAGGAAGTCGATCTTCGACGCCGCCTTGCCGCCATGAGGCTCGCGACGCTCGCCACGTGCGCGCTGAACCAATGGGCGATGGATTTCGAGGGTAATACGAATCGCATCATCGCGTCCATTCGCGAGGCGAAGGCGCGAGGCGCGTCATATCGAATCGGGCCCGAGCTGGAGATCACAGGCTACGGCTGCGAGGACCATTTCCTCGAGCACGACACGTGCCAGCACGCGTACGCCACGCTCTCTATTCCCCTGACAGAATCTCGGCATCCTTGCCCACCCTGCCACGTGGCATCGGTCATCGACCTCCCTTCATCTGCTGAGCCGTGCCACCCTGGCCGAACCGCTCTTAACTTATTGCTGGGTCCGCTAATGGCGCAGTGACTGAATTCGTAGATGCCATAGCATCGATCTCCCGCCGCCCCGTACTCCCCGTCCCATGAGCTGGGAGAATCCGGCCGCCATCACCGCCAGCAGCGCTACAGCCCGCATGCTGTGCAAGATTGGCCTGCCAGTGGACAGCACATGGCGTGCGTACAACCTGAATTCGCAGCTCACCCCATTCCCATGCCGCCTGCTGGGAATGTCTGTCAAGCTGCCATCATCGCCGGCGGCGCTACCGGCGGCATCCTCTGTAACACAAGCCTTCCAGAGGACAATAACTATCCCTTCCCTCCCTTCACTCTCCCCCCCTCCCTTCGCTCTCCCCCTCTCTCCTCACTCTCTCCACACCCCCTCACGCTCCCCACACCCTCTCACTTCCCTGCAGTTGGGAGTGCCTTGCAGCGATTATCGCGAGCGGCGCTACAGCCGGCATCCTCTGTGACATTGGGCTGCCAGAGGAGCACCGCGGCGTGCGCTACAACTAGAAATCTCTACTCCCGTTTTCCCCCATGCCACCAGCTGGGAGTGTCTAGCCGCCATGATCGCAAGCGGCGCTACAGTCAGCATTCTCTGTGACATCCGGCTGTCAGTGGCGAATATCCCTTCCTTCCCCTCCCTTCCCTCCCTCTTCACCCCCCTGCTCCACCCCACCCCAAACCCCCCAGCTGGGAGTGTCTAGCCGCCATCATTGCGAGCGGCGCTACAGCCGGCATCCTGTGCGACATCGGGCTGCCAGTGGAGCACCGCGGGGTGCGCTACAACTGCCGGGCGTTCGTCCACAGCCGTCGGATCCTGCTGCTGCGCCCCAAGATGGATCTGGCAAATGATGGAAACTACCGGGAAACGCGCTGGTTCGCCACGTGGAAGCGGTTGGGAGTGGTGGAGAGCGTGCGGTTACCAGCGGTGGTTACCGCGGCATGTGAGGGGCAGCGGGAGGTGCCTATTGGGGATGGCGTGCTGGATCTGCTTGATAGGTATATCTGAATGGGTCAGATCTGGATGGGTGGGTGGTATCTGGATGGGTGGTATTTGAATGGGTGATTTGTGGGTGAGTGATATTTGGATACGTTATATCTGAAAACGTGATGACTTGTGGGGATGGTTGGTGGCAGTTGCTGTGGATGTGAACTGATATGATCTTGTACCCGGGAACTCTCCGCCTCTTCACCTCTCCACCTCTGTGCCTTGTATTGCAATGCCGGCAGAGGTGGTGAGGTGATCGCACGCACAGTTCCCTCCTTGTGTTGTAATACGAGAACGCTCATGCCCTTCTGTCCCCGTTACCCCTGTTCGCCGCGGCACCCTAGCGAGTGAGACGTGGGAGGAGCTGTTCACCCCTCTCGCTCCGCAATCCGAGCGGCACTAGCAGGAGCAGAGGTGGTGGGCAACGGCAGCAAGCGCACTCACTTTGTTGCCTCCTCGCCCCGTGTTTGTCATCTGCCCCCAACTTGTCTCCCCATTCTTCTCTCCCTCCCAGCACCCTGGCGAGTGAGACATGTGAGGAGCTATTCACCCCTCTAGCACCGCACATCCGAGCGGCACTGGCGGGGGCAGAGGTGGTGGGCAACGGCAGCGGCAGCCACCACGAGCTGCGCAAGCTGGGCACGCGCGTGGGGCTGGTGCAATCGGCCACGAGCAAGGCGGGCGGGGTTTACCTTTACGCCAACCAGAAGGGGTGTGATGGCGGACGGCTGTACTATGGTGAGTGTGCCATGCTTGTGCCTTGAAAAGTGGCTGGGCTGGCCTGTCGCCAACGGTAACGGTAACGGTAACGGCAGTGGCAGCCACCAGGAGCTGCGCGGGCTGGGCACGCGTGTGGGGCTCGTGCAATCTGCTACTAGCAAAGCAGGGGGAGTGTATCGGTACACCAACCAACAAGGATGTGATGGTGTAAGGCTGTACTACGGCGAGTGTGCTGTGTGCCTGTGTGTGTCAGATTTCAACATCTCCAGTGCTGCACTATGGTGAGTGGCGCGCTGTGTTTGTGACCTGGGCCCGATGGGCGGCGCACACAAGAGGCTCGTGCAATCTGCCACGAGCAAGGCGGGGGAGGGGGGGGGGGGGGGGGGAGGTGTGTATTTGTTTGTATGCTAACCAGAAGGGGAGCGATGGAAGAAGGCTGTACTATGGTGAGTGGCGTGCTGTGCTTGTGACCTGGGTAAGCTTCGCAGCGCACACGAGAGGCTTGTGCTGTGTGTTGTGTCGGCAGCAGGGTGTTTGATTCTGCAGCGACGTTACACATATTTCCCTTTTCCGCCTCTCCCATTCCCTTGTCATTCCATCCCCTCCCCACGCCCTTCCCCCCCTCCCTCCCCTCTCGCCAGACGGGTGTGCCATGGTGGTGGTGAACGGGCAGGTGGTGGCGCAGGGGTCGCAGTTCTCATTGGCTGACGTCGAGGTGGTAACCGCTACAGTGGACCTCGACCAGGTGCGCTGACTTGAGCTGACCAGGTGCGCTGACTTGAGTTGACCAGGTGCGTTGACTTGAGTTGACCAGGTGCGTTGACTTGAGTTGACCAGCTGCGTCGACTTGAGTTGATTGGATGGTGAGCAGCAGAGGGCAGGGAGGTGGTGATGCCGACGATTTTTTACGCCTGGGTTGACGATATGGGGCGGAAGTGCAAGGACGGAGGAAGGGGGTGGCAAGGGGGAACACGGGCGGATGAGTTTGGGAGGGAGCGTTGGGGCTATGGGGGCTGGTGGAGGACTGGAGGATGAGGAAGGAGTGGGGGCAGGAAGGGAGGACGAGGAGGAGGTGGAGGAACAAATCGTTGAAGAGGTGTGTGAGGAAGGAGATTGGGCAAGAGGGGAGGAGGAGGATGTTATGGCTGAAGGTGGTTCCGGAGGGGGATGGGAAGGAGATTGGGCAAGCGAGGAGGAGGATGTGATGGAGGGGGTAGTGGTTCCGGAAGGGGATGAGGAAGGAGAAGGGGCAGGAGGGGAGGAGGAGGGTGTGGTGGAGGGCGCAGTGGTTTAGGAGAGGGTCCTTGGGCTTCGCCCTCCACCACACCCGCCTCCTCCTCTCCTGCCCCCTCTCCTTCCTCATCCCCCTCCCACAAGACCCACGTTAAATTCGCCGCTCAATAAGCCGGCGTTCATTCTGTGTGGATCACCGTGTATTCTTGCATGTTCCCTGCACCACCCCATCCTTCCCCCTTGCCCCTCTCCAGGTGGCGAGCTACAGGGGCGCCATCAGTATCCTGAGGGAGCAGGCCTCAGCCTTTCTCTTTTCCCCTCATTCCTCTCATCCTCTCATCCTTTTATCCTCTCATCCTCTCATCCTCTCATCCTCTCATCCTCTCATCCTCTCCTGCCTCTCATGTCTCTCCTGCCCCTCACGTCTTCCCCTTGTGCGCCCCTCCAGGTGGCGAGCTACAGGGGCGCCATCAGCAGCCTGAGGGAGCAGGCCTCAGCGTCCGCCCCAGCACCCTCCGCCTCCTTCCCCACCCTTTCTTCCTCTGCCTCCGCCTCCCCTGGCATCGTGCGCATCCCCTCCGATATCTCCATCTGTCATCCCTCATCCGCCAGCCTTACCCTCGCCACCTCGCACCCCATTCAGGTATCCCTCCTTCCGCCCTTCTTCTCCTCTCCTCCCACCCTGCTCCCACTATCTTTCCACTCTCCTCCCAGTCTCCTTCTGTTCTCCTTCCGCTCTCCCTCCAATCGGCCCACTCTTCATTGATTGCATCGTATCCCCTCGGTGTTTTTACCTCCTTCAACCTTCCACTAGTGCAAAAAGCTTGCTTATCACGAGACTACTCACCACCCGCTCTCCATCCGTCATGCCCAGATCCGTTATCACAGCCCTGGAGAAGAGATAGCTCTCGGCTGGTGTGCTGGCTGGCTGTGGGACTACTTGAGGCGACGCGGAGCCACTGGCTTCAGAGTGCCTCTCTTCCCACTCCCTCCTCGCATGCTCTCATGCTACGCTCCTCCTGCGCTACTCCGCCCACACGCCACCAGATTCGCTACCACTGCCCCGAGGAGGAAATCGCTCTGGGCCCCGCGTGTTGGCTGTGGGACTACTTGCGGCGCAGTGGGGCATCGGGCTTCCTGCTGCCTTTGTCGGGCGGCGCTGACAGCTCATCCGTGGCCGCCATAGTGGGCTGCATGTGCCAGCTGGTTGCGAAAGGTGCAATGCGGTGCTATGGGGTCTAATGCGGTGCAAAGTGATGCTATGAGGTGCTATGGCGTGTTGGCTGTGAGACTACTTCAGGCGCAGCGGGGCATCGGGCTTCCTGTTGCCGCTGTCTGGCGGCGCTGACAGCTCCTCTGTGGCCGCTATTGTGGGCTGCATGTGCCAGCCGGTCGTTAAAGGTGTGATGCGGTGCATTGTGGTGCTGTGGGTTGCTTTCGGGTGTCAATAGTGATGCTTCTATCTGGTGCTGCTGACAGGTCATCCATGGTCGCACAGTAAGGCGCATGTGCCAGCTGGTGATGATAGGCAGGGGGAAACGTGTAGGTGCATGCAACACAACTCAGAGCGAGCCACAGTCACGCCCTTGCCCTCCCTGCCGCCCACTGCACCCCCCCTGGCCCCCACCCCACCCCATCCTTCTGCTTCCACTCCCTCTCCTTGTGTTCACCTGTGATTCCTGCTCACAGCCATAGCAGAGGGCGACGAGCAGGTGCAGCAGGATGCAGAGCGAATCACGGGGCTACAGCTGGCGGCAGGGGCGGCGGCAGAAGAGCAGAAGCGACAGGCTGCCAGGCTGGCAGATCGCATCCTGAACACCATCTACATGGGCACGGAGAACAGGTCCGTACATATCTTTAGGTACCTCAATGTGTTTTACTTTCAAGGCGCCTCAAATCTCGGCATGCTGCCAGGCTGGCAGATCACATCCTGCCCACCATCTACATGGGCATGGAGAACAGGTCTGTAGCTAGCTTCCTACCCCCCGTGTTCTCATGAATACCATTTGCGTGCACGCTGACTAAGGGCTAGTGCCTACACCACACCCATTATATTCCCATTAGTGCCACACCCATTGTCTAAAAACGAGGCTCCAATAGCCTCTATGTATCCTCAAGCATTTGTCATTTGGACAGTATGAGCAGGTCAATACCTGCTCTATGGGTGCCAAGTAGCCCTGTGTGCTCCCCCCTTTCCCGCCCCTTTGATCTCCTCCCTCTCACCTCCCACCTATCTCCCTTTGATGCCCTCGCCCTATGCACACAGCTCCCAGGCCACGCGATCGCGAGCTAAGAAGCTAGCATCGGAGATAGGAGCATGGCACTTGGACACAAGTATTGACTCCGTGGTCGCTGCTGTTGTTGCCCTCTTCCTCACTGTCACTGGCCTGCACCCGCGATACAAGGTGGGGTGGTTCATTTGCACCCTCTCACCTTCTCATCTTGCAGGACAAACGCTTGTGATTCAAGGCGGATATGATTTTGTGGCAGATAGATTCCATGGTGTTAGTCAAGCTAGGCAGTCCGGCTCCTTGCAACACCACTGAGCATTGAGCAACCGCAGCCCTCCCCACATCGCAAAAATCCTCCTTCTGCTAACAATCAAGCCCCGTCCTCATCTCTGCAATCCCATCCATCCCTCCCGCTTCTCCCCACCCCCGTCCCATCAGCTGGATGGAGGCACATCAACAGAGAACCTGGCATTGCAGAACATCCAAGCGCGCCTGCGCATGTTGCTCGCCCGCCTTCCTCTCCTCACATCCCGTACCCTCCCATCTTGCTCTTGCCTCCTCCGCCACCAACCACCCGTCCCATCAGCTGGACGGAGGCACATCCGCGGAGAACTTGGCCCTGCAGAACATTCAGGCGCGCCTGCGCATGGTGCTCGCCTTCCTCTTCGCGCAGCTGCTGCCCTGGGTGCGCGGACACGGCAGAGGAGGGGGAGGAGGGGGAGAGCAGGCGGGGGAGAAGGGGAAAGAGGAGGGGCGGAAGGAGGGCACAGCTGACGGACAGCAAAGGGGAGGGGAGGGAGGAGGAAGGGGAGGGGGTGAAGAGAAGGTGCCAGTGGGAGGGGTGCTGGAGAGGAGCAAGGGGAGGGGAGGCGGGTCAGAGCAGCGGGGGGGCGGAGGGGGCTTTCTGCTCGTGCTGGGCAGTGCCAACGTGGATGAGGCTCTGAGGGGATACCTCACTAAGGTGTGCATTAAGGGGGAGCATGGCGTATCACAGTCATCACTGATAAGTCATCTCTGATGCACTATCCATCCGACTGCTCGTGCTGGGCAGTGCAAACGTGGACGAGGCTCTGAGAGGGTACCTCACCAAGGTGAGGTGTTAGGGGGCTTTCACAGAGTGCTTTGGTCGTTAAGGTGCGCGTGAGATAGAGCGAGCACTGCTGGTGCCTACAGGAATATCAACCAACCACTCGTGCTGGCCAGTGCCAATGTGGACGAGGCTCTGAGAGGCTACCTCCCTAAGGTGTGCTTCCAGAGGGAGCATGGTGGTATCACAGTCGTTGCGGTGAGGGTGAGACAGAGCAAGCACTGCTGGTTCCAGAGGGAGCATGGTGGTATTAAATTTTGTTGCGCTGAGGGTGACACAGAGCGAGCACTGCTGGTTCCCACAGGTATATCAACCAACCAATCGTGCTGGACAGTGCCAACGTGGGCGAGGGGCTGAGGGGCTGTCATACCAAGGTGTGCTCTCCAAGGAAACATTGCGTGTCACACTTATTGCTGTTGAGCCAAGTCTACCTCAAGACCAACATCCATCCGTTCCTTCCTTCTCTCCCCGTTGCTCACTCTCCCCGTTGCTCACTCTCCCCGTTGCTCACTCTCCCCGTTGCTCACTCTCCTCTCCTCAGTACCGCATAAATAGTTGCTGATATCAATCATACTGGAGGCATCAGAAAACGATTTTCCTGACGTGCCGGGGGAAGGTTGTTCTCCGACACCTATCCCCACTCACTCCCAACGGGTCACTATTTCCCTCCTTTCCCACCGGTACGACTGCAGCAGTGCCGATATCAACCCCATCGGCGGCATCAGCAAGATAGTTCTTTGAGTCGACTCAAAAATCGACTTATCACACTTTTGAGAATTCTCAAAAGTGATTTCAATATAGCCGGCATCAGTAAGATAGATAGATCCCTTTTAAGAATTCTCAAACGACGTTTTCGGGCCTCACCACACCCCAACTTGCCTCCCCTTTGATTACAGTTCTCACACACAAGCACTTCGCTCCCCCTTTCGCACCGGTACGACTGCAGCAGTGACGACATCAACCCCATCAGAGGCATCAGCAAGACGGGCCTCCCTCACTTTCTGCGCTGCAGCAGTCCAGTTCAGCTATATTCGAGTGACTTTTGAGAATTCTCAAAAGTCGCCTCAACAGCCCTCCCTGTACTCCATCCATCCTTCGTTCCATCCCCTCTTCTCTCACCAACAACACTGGTAACAGCAACAGCAGGAGCAGCAGCGACACCTGCAACGCCCTCAACAGGAGCAGCTGTTGCAGGTGTTGTCGCTGCTGCTCCTGCTGTTGCTGCTGCCAGTGTTGTTGTTGCAACTGCTGCCATTATTGCTGCTACTGTTGGTGGTGTTGCTGATGCTAGAGGGAGAGGGAGAGGGAGAGGGAGAGGGAGAGGGAGAGGGAGAGGGAGAGGGGTTTGTCTCACTTGCCTCACCTCGGTGCTGCAAGACAGTCCACCGTGGCTTCATCTCAACGCTCCCGGTCCCTGATGCTGCAGGGTGTTTTTGAGAATTCTAAAAAACTCCCCTTCTTTACGACCCCCCCCTCCCCCTGTTCCCGCCATAACGATTGGAGCAGTGCCAATATCGACCCCATCGGGGACATCAGCAAGACGGACCACCGCCGCTTCTTCGGCGGCAGTCCCCCTTGGCTTCGCCTCAACACTCCCACTCTCCCATCCCCTTCTTTTCCACCCCACTTCCTGCTTCCCTTCTCACCAGTACGGCTGCAGCAGTGCAGACATCAACCCCATCGCCACATCACCAAAACGGACCTTCGCTGCTTCCCATACTTAATGCCTCCCTCCTTTCTTACTCCCCCTTTCCCACCCTCCTCTCCCCCCACCACCATCCCTATCAGTACGACTGCAGCAGTGCAGACATCAACCCCATTGGTGGAATTAGCAAGACGGACCTTCGCCGCTTCCTGCGCTGGGCGGCAGTCCACCTTGGCTTCGCCTCATTGGCCGACGTCGAGGCCGCGCCGCCCACCGCTGAGCTGGAGCCAATCAGAGCGGATTACGTGCAGGTGGGCCAATCAGAGCAGACTACGTGGAGGTGGGCCAATCAGAGCGGATTACGTGCAGGTGGGCCAATCAGAGAGGACTATGTGTATTTGGGCCAGTGATGGCACTGTTCAGAGGAGAGGAGGTTATAATGGAATGCAATAGAGAGTGAAGAGTGCAGATGGACATGATGACATGCTGATGGCACCTTCTCATATGATCCCAAGTCATCCCGTGCCTTGCAATCATGCCATGTCATGTCATGCCATGCGATCCCATGCCATCCCATGCCATCCCATGCCATGCCATCAAATACCATGCCGTGCATTCTCGTGCCATGCCATGCCATCCCACACCGCACAGGTGGACGAGGTGGACATGGGCATGACCTACGAGGAGCTCTCCCTCTATGGCCGCCTGCGCAAGGTCCTGCGCTGCGGCCCTGTTGCCATGTTCCAGGTGCGTATCGGTAGACATTGTTGCTGCTATTTGCGATCATGTGCCATGTGCTATGCTATCTGCGCCATGCTCCACGTGCTATTATTCTGCCACTTCTGCTCGAGCACTTAGCGCTCTTGTCGTTGCACTGGCCTGCTTACAAGTTGGTTTTTCAGGATTCTCAAAAACCAACAAGTTGATGGGTTGAGGGGAGAGAAGGTAAGGAGGGAGGTTAAGGGTGCAAGCTGTGCCGCAACGAGGTGCCTCACACAGCTCGTCCTCATGATCAACGTGCATTACATCGTGCACGCTGTCAGAAAGTAAGGAGGAAGGGATTAGATGGGAGGGGAGGAAAGGGATTAGATTTAAGGAGAGGCCTTGTGAACAACGTTTGCTACATCGTGCACCAAGGAGTAAGGGAGGAAAGGAGAGGGTTGGGGGGAAGGAGGAAGAGGGGATGGATGGAGTTCCATGAACAAGGCAAGCAAGGTACAACAACCATGTTGCTGCACTCACCGGCCCTTGCTTGTATTCCTCCGGCTGTCACAAGCTGACCACCCTCACTCCTTCCCGCTCGTGAGGTCCCTCAAAAGTCTCTCTCTTGTGATATCGCCAATCCTCTGCCCTCATAATTATCACCTCTCTCCGTCCCTCCCCCCTCGCAGCATCTGTGCCACGAGTGGCGGCAGCGGCTGACAGTAGCGGAGGTGGCAGCGAAGGTGAAGGCGTTTTTCCGCTTCTACTCCGTCAACCGCCACAAGATGACCACCCCCACCCGCTCCTACCCTCACTCCCTCCCGATGGCGTGATTACGCCACTTGCTACCCTCAACCCCTTTCCTTCCTTCCCTCCACACCCCCTCGCAGCATCTGTGCCATGAGTGGCGGCAGCGGCTGACAGTAGCGGAGGTGGCAGGGAAGGTGAAGGCGTTCTTCCGCTTCTACTCCATCAACCGTCACAAGATGACCACTCTCACGCCCTCCTACCACGCTGAGGTAACCATTCACTCGGCTCCCTTTCTCACCCCCTCCTTTTTTTTGCTACCACTCTCGCTCCCCCCCATCATTACCTCTCCCTCCTACCACTCTCACTCTGCCCACTCTCTCCTACCGTAGACCCTCAACTGTGTGCTAATGAGTCGAGTAAAACGTTTGTGTTCTTGTCAGACGAGGCATCCCTCTGGCACCCCCCTTCCCCTCGCATTCCCTTCCCTGCAACTCCTGTCACTCCCCCTTCTACCCCCCACCCCCATTGCAGAGCTCCTGGGGGGCAACCGCTTACACCTGTAGCAGGTCATGTGCAACATAAGATGCTCACATCCCCATCATCCCTTGTTTCTTACCCTCTGCCCCACCCCACCCCCCCCCAACCCCCCACCTGATCCTCACGTCCCTCCCCTCCCCCTCCTTCCTTCCAGAACTACTCTCCGGAGGACAACCGGTTTGACCTGCGCCAGTTCCTGTACAACGTGGCATGGCCGTGGCAGTTCAAACAGATCGACCAGCTGGTGGCGGAGCATGAGGCCGCGGCGGGAGCAGGTGCTGCAACACTTTCAAGTGAGGGCTCTAACGCAGCGGGAGCTGCGATGTGAGTGATCATGGCTGTGGCAGTTCAGACGCATTGACCAACTCGTGGCCGAGCATGAGGCCGCAGCGGCTACAGGCGCTGCTGCTGCTGCAGTTGAGGGCACGCCAGTCGCCCTTCATCAATAGTGCCACTGACAGTCATGAAGGTTCCTGTACAACATGGCATGGCCATGTCAGTTCAAGCGAATCAACCAGCTCGTGAAGGGGCATCAGGCTGCTGCCACAGCTTCTGCTGCAGCCACAGCTTCTGCTGCTGCCACAGCTTCTGCTGCTGCCACAGCTTCTGCTGCTGCCACAGCTTCTGCTGCTGCCACAGCTTCTGCTGCTGCCACAGCTTCTGCTGCTGCCACAGCTTCTGCTGCTGCCACAGCTTCTGCTGCTGCTGCAGCAGCAACACCACCTGTTGAGGGTTCTAATGCTGCAGGAGCCTCCGCAGCAGGAGGGAAGGGGAGGGAGGAAGTTGGAGGAGAGTACTGCTGATGGTGCCTGTGGAAAGAAGCTGAAGAATGGCAAAGCTGTAGTGTAGCATAGCATCCACTCCAGTGCACAAAAAAACTTTTTACATCTCTCCCTGCATAAGCATGGAGAGTCAAGAGGAGGCATTGTAAGAGTGTTAGGGTCGCATAGTACATAATGTGCTGCAGTGTGTCTCTTTCAGAATCAAATACGCTACTTTATGTTCTGTTTGGAAATGTGCCTTCTGAGACACCTAGACAGCTGTGATCACGAGTTTTGTCACATTTGACTGAAGTAGACAGGGTGGAGGTTGAAATGGTTGCATTTATGGCATTAGGGAAGCCAAACCCAGGTGCATGCGCTGAGCTGACAAATAAAATCATTGCCTGTACAGTTGTGAAATGCACATCTCAACCTCAAAACACCAGACATGCGGTCACTGCTCTTGTGGGGCTAGCAGCAGGTGTCAGCAGGCAACAACAGCCTTTTTACTGGCCAGGGCAGAGAGCCTCCTGCTTGCCATGCACCTGCTTCACCGCATCAGCTTCAGATCCTCTCTGCTCCAAGCTCTGAGCTGCCAAGAAGAAACTCCAATGGAAACCCATTCATTCCGTAACCTCCGCTGCTGCGCCTCCCCCATCCACATCGTCCCCTGTGTCATCCCCTTGACTGCCTGCTAAAGTCAAGCTCCGAGCATCCCGAGTACGTAGCATCTAAAATGTGCTAACCTTTCAATCAGCCCCTCAATACTTTCCCCCAAAAAGCATCGCTCCATAATATCTGCTGCCTGCACCTCCGCCATCCCCAGTGCCCTCCAGGTCACCCCCTTGACTGCCTGCTACAGCCAAGCTCCGAGCATCCCAAGGGGCAAGGCAGACATTGATGGCGTCTGGGGTGTGCTGATTTTTCAGTTGACTCACCAACTTTTAAAGAGACACAACCCTTCACGCCATGATATTCGTGGCTTCATCTCCCCCATCGCCATCGCCCCCTGTGTCGTCGCCGTGGCTGCCCGCGACAGTCAAGCTCGCAGCATCCCGCGTGGCAACGGCAGTGTTGATGGCGTCTAGGGTGAGCTGGTTGTTGCTGTGAATCGCCTCATCCACTGGCGTGCGCTCGTGGCTGGAAATAAGAGATGCGGGTTGTGGGAGAGGTGATAACACAAAGGTGAGAAGGGAAGTTGCAAGGGGCGGCGGGAATAGCGCCTAGGGTGTGCCGATTGTTGCTGTGAATCGCCTCGTCCCTGGGGTGCGCTCGTGGCTGGGAATTGGGGATGGGAGTTGTGGGGGAAGGTGAAAACACAAAGTTCAGAAGGGCATGTGGGGGGGGAAGCAATGATGGCGTCTAAGGTGAGCTGGTTGTTACTGTGAATCGCCTCATCCACTGGCATTCGCTCGTGGCTGGATGGATGGGAATGAAGTTTAAGGGAAGGCAGGTTAAGGGGATAGAAATGAAGATGGGGGAGTTACGAAAAAGAAAAAAACAAACAAACAAACAAAAAACAAAACAAAAACGGCAGGTGGGAGGGCTGTCATGTTCTGCGCGTGCTCACCACAAGACGACTGCATGGTTACAACGACTGGGGATGGGTAGCAGAAAGCAGCATTGGCTGTAGCTAGCAGCAGTCGGGGTGAGTAGGAGGCGGGGAGGTGTGAGGAGAGTGAGGGGGTTACCTGTTGAGGGCGGAGGGGTTGGCTCCAGCAGCGATGAGCAAATGCACCATCTGATGGGATGGAGAGGGGTGAGGGGTTGGGAAGCGGTGGGGTGGGGTGGGATGGGTTGCGTGTGGGGATTGTGAGGGCCATTCTGAGGTCGAATGGCTAAGAGGTGGGAGCGACGAGCAGATGCACCATCGGATGGAATTGGCAAGAGGTGAGGTGGGGCGGGGTAGTGTGGGGCGGTGTGCATGTGTGGGGTTGTGAGGGGTATGTTGAGCCAACTAAATGAGCAAGGGCAAGAGGCGGAAGGGCTGGCTCCTGCGGAAATGAGCAAATGCACCACGTGATGGGGTTGGCAAGTGGGGTGTCTGGGCCAAGGGGAAAGGACGAGCGGCACCTCATGTGCATTGGTGATGATGCATGGACCATGGAAACACAAGGAGCAGGCTTCACTGCAGTCGGCGCACAGAATACAAAGGGTTTCCCTTGCTTCCCCCTCCACCTGCCCCTGCACCCACCTGCCCCTTCCCGCCCTGCACTCACCGAGTCCCTGCCATTGACAGCCGCCCAGTGCAGCGGTGTGTTGCCCTGCCGGTTCACTGCATTCACTGGCTGAGAGACAAGGGAACCAGGTTCAAGGGTTGCACGAGCAAGGGGCGCATGGTGTACAGGGTACAGCGTGGGATGGGAAGGAGCATAGACGGGAGGGGCACGCGGCTCACATGGATTAGAGGCAGAAGGAAGGGACAGCAGGGAGGGAGGGGCATTAGCAGCCATTGCAGCAGGATTGGTGGGCAGCCGGGGGGAGCAGCGCAGCAAGGGGAGCTCACAGAGCCTTGTCGGATCAGCAGGGAAGTGGGTATTGGGGGGGTGGGGTGGGCCAAGGGGGGAGGGCCAAGGGGGGAGGGCCAAGGAGGAGGGGGCAGTGGAAGGGAAGACACTCACAGCCCCTCGTTGGATGAGCAGGCGAGCGATCTCTGTGTGGCCATTGGCTGCTGCCATGTGCAGCGCTGCATGCATACATGCACACATGTCAGAGGAAGGGGGTGCAGAGAAGGGGTTATGCCATGTGCAGTGATGCACACATGCATTCATGCGTGGCACAGGGAGGGGGTGTGGGAAAGGGTTATGCCATGTATGCACGCATGGCACAGGGAGGGGGTGGGGGAAAGAGGTTACAACATGTGCAGCGCTGAACGTGCGCATGGCACACTGTGAAGAAAACGGAAGAGGCAAGGTGGGGGATATGGGTGGGGGGAATTTCAAATCTACGCACCCAGCTTTGGCCCTTGGCTTTAAGCACCCAAACCTTAAAAACCCCTTTTAGCACGTGCGTGCAACCTTAAAGCGACGGTGCACATTTGCCACCCAAAACCCAGAACCCTGGCGAACTGTTACTGCGGATGGAAAGTGTCCGCACGAAATCCTGGTTTTCGCCAGCCAGCACTTTCGCGCTGGCAAGCCTGGTTCAAAAAAAAAAACTTCTGAACCCAACACTGCCAAAAGTTGCCCGTCGCTTTAAAGCCCGAGTTCTACATGGCAGTTTTCAAGTTCAAGATTCCTGAATATGAATTCGCAAAAAACCATGTTACCACCCGAAGTGGAGGATATCCGTCGCGATCCAGAGGGGAGGTTTTGCGACGTTGTTCCATGATTGGCCAGCGACAAAACCAGTCATTCCGAGTAAAGGCTCGGAGGGCAATGGAGCACTGTTCACTTTCAGTAAACTTGAAAACCATGTTGTACTAAATGGCAGGCATATTGACAGCCTACGTTTACTTAGTTCACCCGTTTTTCACGCCCAAACTTTCTCCGTATCACTCCTTTTCTCCGTAGCAGCTGTATCAGTACAGCTATTTGGTGGCAAATACGAACAGCCAATCATAAAACCAGTCGGAGATGTCCCATTTATACAATAACTAGAGAGCTCACATGCGTGTACGGTGCGCACCCAACCGGATATAGTTACTCGCGCGACGCCAACACGTGCCTGCACGTCACAATTCCATCCACCCCCCCGGCGTCTAACCCGGGTTGCGCATCTAGACGGTCGCACGGTCGAGGGTCAAGTACATCCCTTCCGACTGTTGCTCTCCCTTCCGCCGTCGCTCTCCCTTCCGCCCGTCGCCCTTCTTTCCCCCTCGTCGCCCTGCCTTCCGTCCGTCGCCCACCCTTGTTCCCGTCGCCCTCCCTTCCCATCGCCCTCCCTTCCCGTCGCCCTCCCTTCCCGTCGCCCGCGCTTCTTCCCGTCGCCCTCCCTTCCCGTCGCCTTCCCTTCCCGTCGCCCGCGCTTCTTCCCGTCGCCCTCCCTTCCCGTCGCCCTCCCTTCCCGTCGCCCTCGCTTTCCCCGTCGCCCTGCCATCCACTCCCCGTCGCCCTCGCCTTCCCTCCCGTCTCCCTTCCCATCTCGCACACTTGTCACCCTCCCTTTTCTCTCCCTACTCCCTCTTTTCCCTCCCTCCAATAATCGCCTTCCTTCCCCCAACTTATACCCCTTCCCTGCTTCCCCCCATCCCCTGCCCTGCTTCCCCCCATCCTCTTCATTCTTTCCCCGTATCCCCAGCCCTGCTTTCCCCCATCCCCTTCCCTGCTTCCCCCCATCTCCTTCCCTTCTTCCCCCCATCTCCGTCCCTGCTTCCCCCCATCCCCCTCCCTGCTTCCCCCCATACCCCTTCCCTGCTTCCCCCCATCCCCTTCCCTGCTTCCCCCCATCCCCTTCCCTGCTTCCCCCCATCCCCTTCCCTGCTCCCCCCCATCTCCATCCCTGCTTCCCCCCATACCCCTCCCTGCTTCCCCCCATCCCCTTCCCTGCTCCCCCCCATCCCCTTCCCTGCTCCCCCCCATTCCCTTCCCTGCTTCCCTCATCCCCTGCCCTGCTTCCCCATGTCCCCTGCCCTGTTTCCCCCAATCCCCTTCCCTGCTTCCCCCCATCTCCTTCCCTTCTTCCCCCCATCTCCGTCCCTGCTTCCCCCCATCCCCCTCCCTGCTTCCCCCCATCCCCTTCCGTGCTTTTCCCCCTCCCGTTTCCATCGCTTTCCCCCTCCCGTCGCCCTCGCTCTCCCCCTCCCGTCGACCTCGCTTTCCCCCTGCTCACTCGCATCCCTCCTGCTCACTCTCTTTCCCTCTGCTCACTCTCTTCCCCCTTTCTCACTCTGCCCCCCCTTCCTCACTCTGTTTCCCCCTGCTCACTCTCTCCTCCTCACTCTATTCCCCCCTGCTCTATTCCCCCTGCTCTGTTCCACCCTGCTCACTCTCTCCTCCTCACTCTAATCCCCCCTGTTCTGTTCCCCCCTGCTCTATTCCCCCCCGCTCTATTCCCCCCTGCTCTATTCCCCCCTGCTCTATTCCCCCCTGCTCTATTCCCCCCCTGCTCTATTCCCCCCTGCTATATTCCCCCCTGCTCTATTCCCCCTTGCTCTATTCCCCCCTGCTATATTCCCCCCTGCTCTATTCCACCCTGCTCTGTTCCCCCCTCCTCTATTCCCCCCTGCTCTATTCCCCCCTGCTCTGTTCCCCCCTGCTCAATACCCCCCTGCTCTATTCCCCCCTGCTCTATTCCCCCCTGCTCAATACCCCCCTGCTCTGTTCCCCCCTGCTATATTCCCCCCTGCTCTATTCCCCCCTGCTCTGTTCCCCCCTGCTCTATCCCCCCCTCCTCTATTCCCCCCTGCTCTATTCCCCCCTGCTCTATTCCCCCCTCCTCTATTCCCCCCTGCTCTGTTCCCCCCTGCTATATTCCCCCCTGCTCTATTCCCCCCTGCTCTGTTCCCCCCTGCTCAATACCCCCCTGCTCTATTCCCCCCTCCTCTATTCCCGCCTGCTCTATTCCCCCCTGCTCTATTCCCCCCTCCTCTATTCCCCCCTGCTCTGTTCCCCCCTGCTCTATTCCCCCCTCCTCTATTCCCCCCTGCTCTATTCCCCCCTGCTCTATTCCCCCCTGCTCTGTTCCCCCCTGCTCTATTCCCCCCTCCTCTATTCCCCCCTGCTCTATTCCCCCCTGCTCTCTCCCCCCTTGCTCTCTCTCTTCTCACCTCCTCACTCCGTTTCCCCCTTGCTCACTCGGTTTTCCCATTGCTCATTCTCTTTCCCCCTGCTCACTCTCTTTCCCCATTGCTCATTCTCTTCCCCGCTGCTCATTCTCTTTCCTCTTGCTCATTCTGTTTCCCCCTGCTCATTCTGTTCCCCCCCTGTTCACTCCCTTCCCCCATGCCCACCCTCTTTCCCCCTGCTCACTCCCTTTGCCCCCTTCTCACTCTCTCCCCCCCTCCTCACTCTCTTTCCCCCCTGCTCAATGTCTCCCCTGCACTCTGTTTTTTCCTGCTCATTCTGTACAGGTCCCCAGCACCAGGTGTAGGGAGGGACCCACACGTCCTGCTTTTTTGCTGCTGTGTATGCAGACAAGAGTGGGAAAAGACATATTATTAACTTGGTTCTTTTTTTACTAGATTGTTGCACTTCGTAGGTGGTCAATGGTCACTCTACTCCATGCATCAAAATTTAGTTATCATAATAAGCATACAACATTCCCACAGCCATGTATCATACCTAGGGGTACTATCAAACAACCAACATTCCAGCCGGTAAGCATACAAAAGAATGACAACTGACAAGGAAGCAACACGAAGAGGAAGAAATAAAAAGACACTCCTGGAACGGTAGGAGACAAACAGAAGGACGACCAGGGGAAAAGAGGGACAGAGAAACGGAGGAAGGGACGTATGGAGGAAGAGAGGAACAGAGGAAGGGAAGGATGGATGGGGAGGGAGGACGGGGGAAAGGGAGGACAGGCAGCACCACGTCTGCCTATGCTGTGTGACTCTGCCCACCGCCATCCACCCACAGCGCCCCAAGCAGCTCCCTGGTGCAGAAAAGCACAAGGGATGAAGAGGTACCGCTGGGCCGAGGGCGGTGTGGGAAACACCTGGAGGGGAGGGTGAGAGGATCGGATGGGGAAAGGACGGATGGGGAGGGATGAGGAGAGGATGGATGGGAAGAGGAGGGAAGTGGTGAGGTGGGATGGGCGGATGGGGAGAGGACGGGAGGGGGTGGGGAGAAGAGGGGATGGTGAGAGGAGGGGATGGGGAGAGGAGGGGACGCGGTGACGAGGGAAGGGGAAAGAAGCGGATGTGTATAGGAGGAGATGGGGTGAGGAGGAGATGGGGTTAGGAGTATGGTGAATGGGGTATGGTGGAATGGTGAAAGTAGGCATGGGGAATGGAAGGATGGGGAACGGAGGGAGAGTGAATGACGGGATGGGGAAAGGAGGTCTGGGGAAACGAGGAAAGGGGGATGGGAAGTAGGATGGCAGGGCGAGAGGAAGGGATTGAGAGAAGGGGGGAGGAAGGGCGGAAGAGGGGGATGGGAAGTAGGAAGAGGTGGGAAATGGCGACGTGTGACGATGCCACGGGGTGCGGCGGAGATGGGGTGAGGCATGGGGAGATGAGGGATGGATGGATGAGCGATGGAGAGGTGAGGCATGGGGAGATGAGGGATGGGGAGGTGAGAGATGGGGAGGTGAGGGATGGGGAGGTGAGAGATGGGGAGGTGAGGGATGGGGAGATGAGGGATGGGGAGGTGAGAGATGGGGAGGTGAGGGATGGGGAGATGAGGGATGGGGAGATGAGGGATGGGGAGATGCGGGATGGGGAGATGCGGGATTGGGAGATGAGGGACGGGGAGGTGAGGGAAGGGGAGATGAGGGATGAGGATATGCGGGATGGGGAGATGAGGGATGCGGAGATGAGGGATGGGGAGATGAGAGATGAGGAGGTGAGGCATGGGGAGGTGAGGGATGGGGAGATGAGGCATGGGGAGACGAGGGATGGAGAGATGAGGGAAGGGGAGATGAGGGATGGGGAGATGAGGGATGGGGAGACGAGGGATGGGGAGACGAGGGAAGGGGAGATGAGGGATAGGGAGACGAGGGAAGGGGAGATGAGGGATGGGGAGACGAGGGAAGGGGAGATGAGGGATGGGGAGACGAGAGTGTGGGGTGTGGCGTAGCAGGAGGAAGGAGAGTTGCAAGGCGCGGGGAGTCCCCATTCTCGTTAGAGGGGAGGGAGCGTGGGCGACGGGAGGGAGGGAGCGGTAGTAGTGACGGATGGGTGTGCGCGTACATGACGTAAGGGGAGTGAGCATGAGCGATGGGAGGGGAGTGAGCGTGGGCGACGGGAGGGGAGTGAGCGTGGGCGACGGAAGAGAGTGAGGAGGGGCGAAAGAGGCGTCGCGCAAAGGCGACGGGAGGGGAGGGAGCGTGATCGTGCGTCAGGAAGGAAGCGTGGGCGACGGGAGGGAGTGATCATCCTCTTTGGAGGGGAGTGCGCGAAGGCGACGGGAGGGAGTGATCATCCTCTTTGGAGGGGAGTGCGCGAAGGCGACGGGAGGGGAGTGCGCGAAGGCGACGGGAGGGGAGTGCGCGAAGGCGATGGGAGGGGAGTGCGCGAAGGTGACGGGACGGGTGTGCGCGAAGGCGACGGGATGGAAGTGCGCGAAGGCGACGGGAGGGGAGTGGCGAGGGCGATGAGAGGGAGTGAGCTATGGCGATGGAGGGAAGTGTGAGACATTGACGCGAGAATGGTCGCGTGGGCGACGGAGGGGAGTCAACATAGGCGACGGCGACGAGTAGCGTGCATTTTCAAACCAATCTACACACATGGCTTCGCTTTCTAACCCCCTCCAAGCACCAAACTCGTGGTGCAGTGTCGCACAGTTGGGTGACGAATGCTGAAGCTCGTCGTTGCCTGGTTTCGCTTTCGCACCTGTTCAGCTCTCGAAATGTTTTTTTTATGCCTTTCGCGAACTCACTTAAAGCCCCCGCGTCACTGTTGCAAAAACCATGCTGACCTCGGGCTTTAAGCCACACCTGCGCGCCCCTCATCCCCTCCCCCGTCTGCGCGCCCCTCATTCACCCACCACCTGTGCGCTCCTCATCGCCCCACCACCTGTGCGCTCCTCATCTCCTCCCTGTGCGCCGCTCACCCCACCTTCCGAGCTGTGCGCCCCCCATTATCTCCCCTCCCCCACCTGTGCGCCCGTCATGCCCTCCAAAGTGTGCCCCCCCACCCCCATTTGTGCTCCTCCCATTATCCCCCATCCCCCACCTGTGCGCCCCTCATCCGCCACCCCCAATCTATGCGCCCCTCACTCCCCCCCCCAACCTGTGCGCCCCTCATCCCTCCTCCCCCACCTGTACGCCCCTCATCCCCCCACCCACACTCCCCCGCCTCACCTGTGCGCCCCTCATCCCCCCACCCACACTCCCCCACCTCACCTGTGCGCCCCTCATCCCCCCACCCACACTCCCCCGCCTCACCTGTGCGCCCCTCATCCCCCCACCCACACTCCCCCGCCTCACCTGTGCGCCCCTCATCCCCCCACCCACACTCCCCCGCCTCACCTGTGCGCCCCTCATCCCTCCACCCACACTCCCCCGCCTCACCTGTGCGCCCCTCATCGTCCGCCACGCCAGCATCAGCCCCGCCGTCCAGCGCTGCTGCCACGTCCTCCATGTCCCCGTACCGCGCGCCCTGTACGTTGAGGGGGTGGGGGGGAGAGGGGAGGGGAGGAGGAAATCGCGGGGAGATTGAGGGGAGACAAGGGGAAGACACGGTGGAGAGAGCGGGAAGTGGGGAGCTGGGAAGTGACATATGGGGGGAGACATACGCAATGCCAGGGGGACGAGGGGAGAAGGGGGAATACGGGCGCCGAAAGAGCGGGTTACAAAAATCGGGCAGGATGGGGGCAAACAGTGGGGTAGCGTGCGGGGGCGGGGAGACGAGGGGTACACGGAGTGGAGAGATGCGCGAGAGGAGGGGGAGGTGGGTGCGCGTGACATTCGCTAGATATTCGAACAACGTAATAAAGGACGCTTCGGCGGACCTGAATGAGCAGGTCCGCCAGGTCTTCCGCGGATTCCGCCATCGCCGCGGGGGGCCCAGCCCCGTCGGGTGGCGCGCTGGGGCCAGCGGAAGGAGCGCACCGCGCAGGCGCGGACTCCGCGGGAGAAGCCTCCCCCGTTCTCTGCGCTTCTGAGTCGTCAAACGCCACTCTTCCCATCAGGCACGATGACTTCCCACTTTCTATTAACAAATTGGATACGGCGGAAGGACGATGCAAAGACACGAGAAACGGAGCCCAGGATTCTGTCAGCTCCTTGCTCCAAATAGTAGGAAGCGAGGTATGAGCTGAGAGTAGGGGTTTCTCACGATTTCTGACAATGGAATGTACGTGTTCGTGCTGCAAGCGAGGATTCGCGAACCTACACCTCGCGAATTTGCGAGTCAATGTGTCGAAGAATATCCCCACCGATATGGACGACAGGAATCACGATTTTGGCGATGAATCGTCTGCTTCGCCTATGGGTGCATGGAAAGTCAGGGAAAATGAACAGAGGTGTGTCCCCCGCACGAATCACTTTTCGAGTTGGTTACCTCGTGACGTAGAAACTAGGGACCCACCCTACCAGCTGCACCCACAAAAATGAAAATTCGGAACCACAAATGGACGCAGATATGCATACGGTACCTCAACTCAAGCACCCGTTTGCAGCAATCGAAATTGAAGGTATGCTTCTAACGCGTCAGCGCCTTGGGATCTTTCCATCTTGAAATCTAGGCAGCTATGTTCTTGAGATTTCACCGTTGGTGACGAGACTAGTCACGCAGCTGCAACCTAGGTTGTTCCCCCTTCCATATTATGCAAACAACCGTCAGCGCTTGTCCCTCTCATCCTCCTCCCCGCGTTCCCCTAGATAGCTTGGCGCACAACATGTAATTTGTTTCCAAGCAATGCTGCAATCTCTCTACAGCTTGGACACCTGGCCCTTCGAAAGGTTCCCAAGGGCAGAGCAGATTCCTAGAACACCACTTATTGGCTATTCAGATCTAATGGGAGAACCTCTCAAAATGCGAAGAAGGTCGCGGACAATCGCTCAAAGTCCTGGAGATTGTCCCGAGTTCTCCACACAATCTAGTAGATAACACTTCGCCACTCCAGAGCGGTAGATCTCTCATCGTAAGTCGTGAAGTTACACTTTCGGGTGTTTGCAGCAGCAAAAAATGGATGCCCACGACGGAGAACTGTCTACGTTCTTTGACTTACTGGATTCCGCTTTGGTACGCCGCTTGCCAGCGGACGAGCTGCAGGAGATAAAAGAAAAAATGATGTCCGAGTTGCTTGAGAGGAGGAAGCAGCGTCTGCAATCCTCGTCTAGAGGATCGCGCTTGTCAGACGACGTTATCGATGCTAAAGTCGTAGTTTGCAGCCCTGCCTCTCCTGCCATCCCTCGCGGCCCTGCTCGTGGTGCGGCAAGTGAAGTACCAAGAAGGGACACTGTAACTGAGGAAGTGCAGGTGAGCTTACAAATAAGCGGACTATTGCTTGTTTTTTTTTCCACTAACTGTCCTATATTTACTCCGATTACCTCCCATCTGTTTCAGCTGCATCGCCTTCCGTTTTCCCACTCCTCTCATCCCTAGATCTCTCCACCCATCTGTATCTACCCCCTTGTCTCATGTCTCAGCCCCTCGACTCCCGGCTGGATCAAAACAGACTGCTGCAGCTGTTCCAGACGGATCTTGGGTTTGACGGCGAACTGCCTGTTTCAGCATGTGTGATGTACAATGCTCTCGTGCACTGGCGCTCCTTCGAAACCGAGTCTACAGATGTGTTTGACAAGATTATTGGGATCATGAGGGCCGCCATTGGCGCTCAGGATCCATCTGCTGCTCCTGGTGCGAATGCCGGCGTGGCTCCTGACGCTCAGCCTGAGGCTGCGAGATTTGGTGCCGGAGAAGATGAAGATGCAGTGGGGAGTATTGACAAGCTGGCGTATTGGCTGACGAACGCAGCTTCTCTGCTGCTTCTGCTCATGAGATCTTTCAAGACTGATAAAGTTCCACGGGAAATGGCGGCATTTCGGAAGGTATGTGTGCAGAGGAAGCGGCATCAATTTGTGAACGTTTTTTTTTGCTCCCTTGCATCAGGTGCCATTTGCAAAGGAGAGGAAATTCAGGGGATTGGGTGTTGGGACGGTATGTTAAGTTGAGCGAAGATAGGGACATCATTGTCGCTCAGTGTATTTCCATCAATACGCTAACTCCGATCCCACTCTTCCTGATAGCAACCCCTCGATTGGCTTGCCTTAATCAAGTGTTCGTCAAACACCTCAATCTTTACTTTCTTGCAGGAAATTTTCAGCCCAACTGTCCCATCTGAGGACGAGATAGCTGCAGCGAAGGCTGATGGGGTGCAGCTGGTAAAACCCACGTTTCCAGCTCTGCTCTTCGGGAAAGAGCTAGCAGCGTATGTGGAAAAGGTGTATCTGTTCTTCGTAGACAATCTCAAGAACGACGTTTCACCGATACTGGTTGCCGGCTACGAGGTATGGGTATGCATACTGTTGTAAGAGTGTGTTGATGCGCGTTTTTGTGTGTGTGTGTGTCTATGTGTGTGTGTGTGTGTTTGTGTGTGTGTGTGTGTGTGTTTGTGTGTGTGTGTGTGTGGATATGTATGTATCTGTGTGGATATGTGTTTGGCTGTTGTTTGTGAATGCATGCGTGCATGTGTGCGTGTGGATGTGTATGTGCATGTTTGTATGGGAAGGGGGGAGGAAATTCATGCTTTATACGATCTTCCCATCTTTATTGTCTTTCTATTGGCTTCCCATGCTCACCTCTTCAGGCCAGTACTCGTATTCTTAGGAATTCAAATCAGCAAAACCTGCGAGCAGCAGCACAAAGCCAGGCGATCTCAATACCAGCAGCAGAAGCACGGTGGAACCTTATAACCATGAAGCTCTCAGATATGCTCAACTTTCTGAAGCTCAACCACGTGCCTGCCTTCCTCGTCAGGAGCCTCTTCCGACAGATCTATGCACTCGTCAACGCCGAGCTCTTTAACCGGTCAGTTGTAGTATCTCGCTGCAAAATATGGCTGCTTGCTTATTCTGGCTGCTCGAGAAATCAAGGTGCTTGCGATTCTGGCTGCGTTTGAGTTGAAGCTGCTTGCGCTGCATACATTTAAAGCTGTTTACAGTTTAAGTGCGCTTGTTTAGCTTCTTGCATACCCATGTATGGAACCAACATCTGGCATTCTGTTATCTCCTTTGACATCTCTCTCTGTTGGCCTCTCTTTAACCAAACCCATGCTGTAAAATCCAACTTCCCCCCATCCACAATTCCTTAGTGTCTCTCTCAATCCCCCCCATCCCCCCTCCCTCTTTTGATTCGGGCTTGTTGCTGCTCCTGATCTTTCCAGTGTTTTGCTTTATCGTCACTGCTGCAACTTACATTTCGTCGACGCGTATTTCAAAGAGGGGTTGACAGAGCTGCATCGGTGGACCGCTGCCGCCACTGACGTGTATGCAGGAGGCGCATGGGACCAGCTGCAGCACATCAGGCATGCTGTGGAGTTTATCGTACGTGCCAATCGCTGCCACTCTCTGCTTCCCTATCACCTGCCACCGTTGTGGATGCTGCTTGGCAGGCATTCCTTCTTTCACCTTAGACTTTGCATGGTATCCCTCGCTTTTTTTGTCCTTTAACCATGTTTTTGCTGTCCATTCCGTATTGCACCAACCCTCTCGTGCCCCGACCTGTTCCAACTAACAGGTCCTTCCTGAAAAATCTGAGATGACACTGGAAGAAATACATGTGCAGTTCCCTGCTTTAAGCATGAAACATCTCTACCGCATCGGTGGCATGATCCCCGCCAGCTATCACAGTGCCACCTTTGTGACGGGTGCTATGATGGATGCCATTCATGAGAAGTGCAAGAAAGAGGTTGCTCGTTATGACACCGATGCCTTCCTCCTCGATACCGACCATAAGTAAGTGATGCTTCAGCTGTCCCTGATTTGTTCTATTGCTGCTGACCTTGCTTTCTGCCCTCGATCGATACTGCTGTCATTCCGAAAATTTGGGCACTTACCCTCCCCTCATCATCTTTTGAATGTCAGGATTCCATTTTCAGTAAATGGGATGTATGAAGAACAGCCCAAAATCTCCCTAAACGATCTACTAGTGCCTCCCCACCTTCCTTAGAATATTGTTTACTTGACAAGTGCAGCTGGATATCCCTTCTTAAGCTACATACATGTCTGTCTGGTCATTTTCTGTCCACTCCACAAGCATACACATTAGTTTAGCTGGTGTTTTTGTTTATGGGCACTTTGGGATTATTGGTCATATGATGTGACATCAGAATATACCAGCTTTGTGTGATAGTTGCTATAGGCAGGTGCACTACACCAGCATGGATGGTAAATATATGAAGAATAGGTACAATTTGACACATAATTGAGTTGAATATTTATAATTCTCGTGTGACTTCTGGTAAGGGGCCCACCAGTATTAGGAGAGTTGCTAAACACTCGAAGTACCAGATTCCAAATATTAGGACAAATATTGCGACAGCCTACAAAGAGTTGGCCGAGGTGCGTCAGAGCTCAGCTATGATTGGCGGAAAGACAACTTAGACTAGGGTCTAAAAGGGCGTGTTCGGACGAGCCTCAAAATAGGGTGGGCGTTGAATCTATGTGCGCTTCAAAATGCGTGAGGCTTGACCCCCAGCAGATTCTGACCGCTGATACCTGTAGAACGCACTTTCCGAAACAAATCAATCAGGTAGTATCATTCTCAGCTACTAGGGAACGGAGCAGCTATTAGCGCACACTACCTTGTGGTCTGCACCACTTGATCATCTGCTGCCATTTAGAAGTTGCATCACCAGCAAACCTAGATTTCACCAAACACAAGACTTGTGCACCCTCAGCCAGGTGCCTAAAAGGTTCCACGAGGACGGCTTGCCGGCCTTCTTAGAGTTTAACCTGGTCCGCTGTTGCGAGCCTCGCGGCGCTATTGCAAGGTGAGTGCGTGACGCCGACATGATCTCTATCTGGAGTGGAAAATAGATTAGTGTCAGTCAGCTATACGCGGAGTTCATCAGTTACCCCTCCTTGGGATGCGGAGAAACGACGTGTTACGCCGATTATTCACCCGGACGCGAATTATTTATTGAAAGAGGAGAACTTGTTTCATGAAGAGCAAGAATGAGATTGCTGTCTTAAATTCAAACCACGCCGTTCAGCAGTCCCTATCGAGAGCACGATCCAATTCGTGTTATTCACCGTCCCGACCATCGAATCTCTACCTTCACTTCATTCTATTTCCAACCATTTTCTGAGATTCGGCAACAGTTCACCAGCCTCGCAGCTTAGAGTATCGTAAGATCCGTTCGACCCGCCATGGTTTCTTATTCCCGTTAGCCTAGCTAGTGACTTGCCCGTAAGCAGCGAATCAAACCGACTGCACAAGACATTCGCGCGCACGGTTTACGTGACGTTCGAACAGGCAGTGCACTCAAGTCACCTCCTTTCTAACCGCACTGCACTTCGCCAGCCGAATAAGCAGGGGAATCTGGCTGCAAACTGAGAGCTCTTGGGTTCGTGACTGAATAGTAACTATGAAAATGATTCTTATTTAGCTGGGTCTTGAACTCCGATGTAGCTGGGTCTCAAGGTCGATGGCCGATGCGCTGAAATCTGGTGTCGTGTCGAATACCTGGCGAGGAGCAACGGAAAATAAATCGCTTGCGCTCGTACCGAAGACCCCTTACCTTACCACCCCTTTTCTGTGCTATTCTCTTCTTGCCTGCATCCAGTGCGGTTTCCTCTACTTGAACGACTTTTCCTCTACTTCTCCCTTCCTCTCTGCCCCCTCGCACTCTCCCGGTTCTCCTTTCAGCAGCAACCATGGCTACACATTGGCGTAGTTCCTTCCGTCCCCTTCTGCTGCTGCTGGCGGTGCTGCTCGCGCGGCATACATGCGTACAGGCAGCGGACAAGGCGAACGCCACTCAGCCAGCAGCGGACGACCCCGTGGTCAAAGCAGAGAAGGAAGCAGGCGATATCGTGCCCCAAGGTGGGTGGGTGGGTGTGTGTGAAGCAAGGTAAGTGGGTGTGCTGCTGGAGCGGCATGCGTGCGTACAGGCAGCGGACAAGGTCAACGCGACGCAGCCAGCAGCCGACGACCCCGTGGTCAAAGCAGAGAAGGAGGCGGGCGATATCGTGCCTCAAGGTGCGTGGGTGCGCTGCAAGGTGCGTGGGTGTCCTGCAAGTTGGGTGGGTGTGCTGCAAGGTGGGTGGGTGTGCTGCTGGCGCGGCATGCGAGCGTGCAGGCAGCGGACAAGGCCAACACCACGCAGCCAGCAGCCGACGGCCCCGTGGTTAAAGCAGAGAAGGAAGCAGGCGATATCGTGCCTCAAGGTGGGTGGGTGGGATAGGGTCTGTTTGGAAGGCATTGTGTGGGAGAGTCGAGTTTTGGAGTGGGGAGAGGGGCAGTCAGGCGGAACGGCCATTTAAGTAAGTCAGCAGCAGCGGACGAGTCCGTGGTCAAGGCGGAGAGGGAGGCAGGCGGCCATGCGCCTCAAGGTGGGTGTGGCAGCGGGGAAGGGGGGATTGGAGGGAAGAGCAGTGTGACATAAGAAGGATAAGAAAGCCCTTCCTTTCCTCCATTTTTTTCCCTTCCCTCCACACTCTTCCGCAGGGGCGTGTAAAGACAGGAGGAATTGGCAGCTCACTGCGCAAGCCTACCCACAAGCAGCGCCACTCTGGAGAGCTTGATCAGAGGGTTCTCAAAAGGCAAATGTGTGTGTGTGTGTGTGTGTGTGTGTGTGTGTGTGTGTGTGTGTGTGTGTGTGTGTGTGTGTGCGCCCATATGACCCGTGCAGGGGCGTGTAAGGCGGAAATAACAGCCTACTGTTCGGACCTACCCACAGGCAACCGCTCTCTGGAGCGGTGTTTGAGCACACAGGTCAAGATGGTGATGGCGGGGAAAGTAAAAGGTGAGACGCTTGGCGAGGGTGGGGGAGGGCATAACGGGAAAGGGAAAGGTAATAGCTTGGTGAAGGGGGTTGGGAGGACGGAGGGAGGGAACGGCATGAGGTGAATGGCGTTGCTAATTTCACATGCACGCACCGAATATGTTCGCATAATCACATGTTTGCACCATCCATGCACCGCAGCGCACAAATCATATGCCTCACCACTTGCCGAACCATGTGGATCACCTGTCGCACGCACAACCATGTTCATCACCAATCGCATCAACATTTGCACGATCTTTGCATCACCCACACCCCACGTCTCCTGCAGCGAACCCCGAGTTCTCCGCGGAGTGTTTGCTGGAGATCCGCAACTTCAAGATCGCGCTGTACAAGGACATCAGCATGAACAAGGAGATGGGTGCGTGGGCGTGGGTGGGGTGGGCGTGATGGGTGAGTCGGGAGATGGGTGAGTGGATGTTTGTGCTGCAGGTGCTTGTGTGTGCTGCATATGCTGCAACAGAAGGGCAGCAGCATCAAGATCGAGTTGTACATCAGCATGAACAAGGAGATGGATGCGTGGGCGTGGGTGGGGGGGAGGGGAGTATGGTGTCTATGTGTGTGCGTTGCACGCACGAAGGGAGGCATGCAAGAAGCACATTGCACCGCTTTCCACTGCCTTTCCTGCCTCACGACTCCCCCGTTCGCCCCGTTCTCCTCCCCGGCTGTACCCACCCACCAGTGGAGGCGTGCAAGGAGGACATCGCATCCTTCTGTGATGATTCCTCACTGCATTCCTGTTTGCCACTCTCTCCTCTCATCTCGTATGTGGTGACTCCCCCCTCGCCTCTCCCATTCGCCCTTTTCTTCCCCCCCGTCCCCACCCACCAGTGGAGGCGTGCAAGGAGGACATCGCATCCTTCTGTGATGACGACTTTCTCTACCCCGAGCCCGGCAACGTGCTCGCATGCCTGCGGTAAGTTGGTGCGGTAAGGAATATGTAACGCCCCATGAAGTACTGCTATGAGGATAAGGGCACGTTTTGGGGAGTACTGTCATGATAACTTCCTCATAATTTCTCTGCTTCAAGCCTAGCAATGCATTTGCATGCCTGTGCTTACGCATGGGTTTGATATGGATATGCTATATGGGTGTGATATAGATGGATGGATGGATGGATGGATGGATGGATGGATGGATGGATGGATGGATGGATGGATGGATGGATGGATGGATGGATGGATGGATGGATGGATGGATGGATGGATGGATGGATGGATGGATGGATGGATGGATGGATGCTCAGCTGCATGTGTGCATGACATAATGCCATGTGCCTGACATAACGTCAGCAAACTCAAGGAGTCTGTTGGGCCGTGTGTCAGATACATGTGCAGCAATGATGTTCGAGGCATAAAAGAGGAACCTTCCTTGCCTTCTGCATTCGAACAGCTCATTGTTTGTCCAACCCCTCCATGCCACGTCAGTGAGAGCAAGGAGTCGGAGCGTGTGTCGCACCGGTGCGCAGCGATGGTGTGTGAGGCGTAAAAGGACCCTTCAAAAGATTTCGCCCCATTCTCCCTTGTTATTCTCTATCTGCCTCGGCAGTGAGAGCAAGGAGTCGGGACGGGTGTCGGACCAGTGCGCTATAATGGTGTTCGAGGTGCAGGAGGACGCAGCAGACGACTTCGACCCCATTCAACTCAAACTCTTCCATCCCATCACCCCCGTTTCACTCGCTGCCACGTCAGGGAGAGCAAGGAATCAGGGCGTGTATCAGACCAGTGCGCCACAATGGTGTTCGAGGCGCAGGAGGATGCAGCAGACGATTTCCGCATGGATCCGCAGCTGAACATGCTGTGCTCCAAGGACGCGGATACCTACTGTGGGGACGTGCAGTCAGGCGAGGGGCGCATTCAGGAGTGCCTGGTGAGTAGCAGGGAATGGAGAGTGCCTGGTGTTTGGTAGGAGGATGAATGGAGAGTGCTTGTTGGGTTGGGTCGTGCATGGACCGGCACGCAGCTGAACATGCTGTGCTCCAAGGACGCGGACACCTACTGTGGGGACGTGCAGTCAGGCGAGGGGCGCATTCAGGAGTGCCTGGTGAGGGATAAATGGAGAGCTCTTGGTGGGTCTGTAAGAGAAGGAGCAATCGATTTCCGCATGGACCCGCAGCTCAACATGCTGTGCTTCAAGGACGCTACACCTACTGTGGGGACCTCAACAGCTCAACATGAGTGGAGAGGGCCTGGTGAGTGGTAGGAGGATGAATGGAGAGTGCTTTTTGGGTCCGTAAGAGAGGCAGCACATCATTTCCGCTAGACTGGCAGCTCAACCTGCTGTTCTCCAAGCAGCTGCTCGGAAGCAAGGCGCCTTAGACAGAGCCTCTCCTGCCCACCTCTGCTCCCCACCAATCTATGCTCTGTTCCGCGCCCCCCCTCCCCTCTTTGCAGCGGCGCAACCGCAAGAAGCTGAACTGGGAGTGCCAGGCGGAGCTGTTCCGGCAGGAGGTGGAGAACGCCGATGACATCCGCCTCAACGTGCGCCTCTTCCGAGGTGGGGTACATGGGTGACGCGGACATAAGGAAACAGGGGATATGGGAAGTAGGGACGAAGGATACAGTGTGCTGCCTTAAGCATTCCGACAGGAGGTGGAGAACGCCGATAACATCTGCCTCAACGTGCGCCTGCTCTGAGGTGGGAGGGAGGGTTGTAGAGACAAAGCAGGCTATTAGGGTTTTAAAGAACGGATTATAAGTAGATCAGGGCAATAAGGATTCACGAAGTATAGCATGCTGGCCCGGGAAAGCCAACAGGAAGAGGAGAATGCAGATGGCATTCAACTCAGCATACGGCCATACATAAGGTGGGAAAGTGATATTACATGGTGAGATGTGCAAAACGGTCTCATATGCGCATCGCATACATGACATGCAGCATGTATGTATGTGCCTGTGCTTCGCATGGCAATATGTGTTGCATTCATATAAAGGCACTTATGTGTCTCTTCATGCCTTGTCGGCTGTGTCTCTGTCTCTCTGCCATCTCTCTCTCCCCTCACCTGAACTGCCATCGCCCGCCCTCGCATGCCCTGCGCGCTACCAGCCTGTCTGGACGACAAGCGGCGCTTCTGTCCTGACGTGCTGCCCGGGGATGCACGCGTGAAGGACTGCCTGGAGGAGCACCGCTCCGAGCCCGAGTTCTCCAAGACCTGGTGAGTGATGGATGAAGTGTGGGTCGCAGGTGGCAGGGAATAGGGGTCGATAGAGGGGGGGGATGTTTGAGGGTGACGGACTGTCTGGAGGAGCACCGCTCTGAACCCAACCCGAGTTCTCCAAGACCTGGTGAGGGCGAGTAATGGGCTGGGGTAGGGCTGGGGACAAGGGGAGGGTTATGGGTGGGGCAGAGAGGGGGGGATGCGAGGGTAAAGGACTCCCTGGAGGAGCACCGAATCGATCCTGATCGCTCCATGATCTGGTAGCATACCTTGACACATGCACATTTGACCCTGTGTGCCTGCTGCCATGTGCTCTGTATGTATGAATGCGTGACCTGGTAGCATGCTGTTACACATGCACATTTGACCCTGTGTGTCTGCTGCTATGTGCTCCGTATGAATGCATGAGTCTGACGTGGTGTGCTATGCATGATGACATGCTGACATCGTGTGCACGCATCATGCCACGCATGGTTTCTATGTGATGCATGGTGTGCATGGCATGCATGGTGACGTGTTGTCTACGCGGTATACATGCATGGAATGGTGTGTGGTGCATGCATGGTGCATGGTGCATGTTGCATGTGACATGACACACATGCAGCAAGGCGGAGTTTGACAAGATGATGGAGCGCAGGGCGGTGGACTTCCGCCTCGATGCCAGCCTGCGCAAGTACTGCCACAAGGACATTGTGGAGGTGAGACAGGGGCGCATGGTGTATGGCGCATGGTGTATGGCGCATGGTGTATGGCCCATGGTGTATGGCCCATGGTGTATGGCGCATGGTGTATGGCCCATGGTGTATGGCCCATGATGTATGGCCCATGGTGTATGGCCCATGGTGTATGGCCCATGGTGTATGGCCCATGGTGTATGGCCCATGGTGTATGGCCCATGGTGTATGGCCCATGGTGTATGGGGCATGGTGTACGGTGCACGTCACATCATGCATGCAGCGTAGGGTGGTTGACTTCCGCCTCGATGCCAGCCTGCGCAGGTACTGCCACAAGGATATTGTGGAGGTGAGAGTAGTGGATGTGACTATAGCGAGGTGCATGTGCAGTACACGCTGCATGGCACACATCACATCACACACAGCAGGGCGGTGGACTTCCGCCTCGATGCCAGTCTGCGCAAGTACTGCCACAAGGACATCGTGGAGGTGAGTGAGAGAAGTGGTTTTAATTGTGGTAAAAATAACTGCTCGCTGTGCCCCACTCGCTATCCCTCCCTTGTGCCTGCACCAGACGTGCTTCCGGCACGGAGGCCATCAGTGACGTGGCGAACCGATCCCTCTGTCTTTCCCGCTGTGCCTCTCTCTGACTGTCCTCTTGCTGCTCTCTCTTCCCAGACCTGTTACCCACACCACACGCGGAGGGCATTAGTCACATGCTCAACTTCTTTTCACTCCCTTTGACTCTCTCCCTCCCTCATATAGCCTGCCTTTTTTGTTCATGCTCGTTTTGCGCTCTCTTCCCAGACGTGCTACCCGGACGCGGAGGACATCAGTGACGTGGCGAACTGGGACAGCAAGGTGATGGAGTGCCTGCAGGACTACAAGGAGGAGCTCAAAGACCCGCGCTGCCGCCAGCAGGTGCACTGATGAAAGAGGGGGTCGAGAGCAGTGAGCAATAGAGACAGGAAGGTGGTCCCAGGTGCCACTGGTAGCAGCAGAGCAAGCAAGGTGATGGGGTGCCTGCAGGACTACAAGGACGAACTGAAAGACCCGCGCTGCCGCCAGCAGGTGCACTTGGGTTGGGGCGAGGGGGTCCAGAGCAGTGAGCAATAGGGACAGGAAGGTGGTCCCAGGTGGTAGCAGCAGAGACAGCAAGGTGATGGAGTGCTTGCAGGACTTCAAGGAGGAGCACAAGGACTCGCGATGCCGGTGCACGCACTGCACACATGCTCTTAACCCCGGTGCATATCCACGCACACAAACACACACGTACACATGCACACATGCACAGACGGCCATACACACAAGTTCGCACCACACCTACATCGCTGTCTCCTCATTTCTGCATCTTGTCTTCCTCTTTGTTGTTCTCTCCCCACACACCCTCGCTTTGCGTCCCCCCATCCCCCTTGTCTTGTCTCCCCCATCAGGTGCACCGCCTCACCAAGAAGGCTGCGGAGGACATTCGCTTCGACCACCCTCTGCACGGCTTCTGAAGCTGCCTTAAACCCGCCCCCTTTCCTCCCACTCTCACCGTTCCCCATCCCATCCCCCCCCCCCCTCTCCACTACCCCCAATCAGGTGCACCGCCTGACCAAGAGGGCAGCAGAGGACATTCGATTCGACCACCCTCTGCATGACGCCTGCCAGCGTGAGCCCTTCCATTCAGAACCACCTCATCCCAGCATCCTCTCTTGTGTTTTTAGCTGTCTCGAAATGCACCTGTACCCTGGACCATGTGTTTCTAGTATGAAATCGCTTACCTACTCACATGGGAACTGATCCATGCAAATCTCGCCTTTCCCCCCTCTCCTCTTTCCTCTCATGCCACATGCTCCCAATGCACGCTCTCTCGTCTCCCCTGTTTCCTCCCTCTTCCCTCTCCCCATTGTACCAGCCGACCAGGAGAAGCTGTGCAGGGACGTCACTAGCAGCCACGCACGAGAATTCACTGCTCTGCTTCCCATGCTTCCCTTCTCTCTGCTCTCGCTGCTCTCCTGCATTCTCCCTCTTCTCTACCAGCCGACCAGGAGAAGCTGTGTAAGGACGTGCCGAGCGGCCACGCACGGGTGTTCACGTGCCTGCAGGACCACCGCAAGGACCTGCGCCCCGTGTGCCGCGCTGCCCTCTTTGACCAGGTGGGTGCTGCAGCTGCTCTTTGAGACCTGGTGGCAGGTGGGTTTAGATGGTGCATGCACGGGTGTTCACATGCCTGCAGGACCACCGCAAGGACCTGCGCCCAGTGTGCCGCGCTGCGCTCTTTGACCAGGTGGGTGCTGCAGCTGCTCTTTGAGACCTGGTGGCAGGTGGGTTTAGATGGTGCATGCACGGGTGTTCACATGCCTGCAGGACCACCGCAAGGACCTGCGCCCAGTGTGCCGCGCTGCGCTCTTTGACCAGGTGGGTGGATGCGGCGCGTTGAGAGGTGGGTATAGGGAGTGAATTCAGGGTGTTCACGTGTCTGCAGGACCACCGCAAGGGCCTTCGCCCTGTGTGCCGCGCCGCTCTATTTGACCAGGTGGGTGCTGCGCTTTAAGTTCAAATCACCTTCCCCCTTCTTACACCCTTCTGCCTCTTTTAACCCGCCTCGTTGTTTCAACTTCCCTCGTTTTTTCAATCCCCTTCCCTCTTTCAACCCCGCCCCCTCTTTCATCCCCCCTCCCTCTTTCACCCTCCTCCCTCTTTCAACCACCCTCCTTCTCTCAACCCTTCCCTCGTACCTCACTCCCCTCCTCCCACCCACCTCATCCCCATCTCTGCAGGAGATCCGCTACGCGGGAGACATAGACTTCAAGTTTGCCATGCGCCAGGCGTGTGCCGACGAGATGAAGCGCCTGTGCTCCAAAGGTGCGGAGAAGGCGCATGGAATGGTGTGGTGTGGTGTGGGTGGGTGTGGGTGTGGGTGTGGGTGTGGGTGTGGGTGTGGGTGTGGGTGTGGGTGTGGGGTGTGGGTGTGGGTGTGGTGTGGGTGTGGGTGTGGGTGTGGGTGTGGGTTGTGGGTGTGGGTGTGGGTGTGGGTGTGGGTGTGGGTGTGGGTGTGGGTGTGGGTGTGGGTGTGGGTGTGGGTGTGGGTGTGGGTGTGGGTGTGGGTGTGGGTGTGGGTGTGGGTGTGGGTGTGGGTGTGGGTGGGTGTGGGTGTGGGTGTGGGTGTGGGTGTGGGTGTGGGTGTGGGTGTGGGTGTGGGTGTGGGTGTGGGTGTGGGTGTGGGTGTGGGTGTGGGTGTGGGTGTGGGTGTGGGTGTGGGTGTGGGTGTGGGTGTGGGTGTGGGTGTGGGTGTGGGTGTGGGTGTGGGTGTGGGTGTGGTGTGGGTGTGGGTGTGGGTGTGGTGTGGTGGGTGTGGGTGTGGGTGTGGGTGTGGGTGTGGGTGTGGGTGTGGGTGTGGGTGTGGGTGTGGGTGTGGGTGTGGGTGTGGGTGTGGGTGTGGGTGTGGGTGTGGGTGTGGGTGTGGGTGTGGGTGTGGGTGTGGGTGTGGGTGTGGGTGTGGGTGTGGGTGTGGGTGTGGGTGTGGGTGTGGGTGTGGGTGTGGGTGTGGGTGTGGGTGTGGGTGTGGGTGTGGGTGTGGGTGTGGGTGTGGGTGTGGGTGTGGGTGTGGGTGTGGGTGTGGGTGTGGGTGTGGGTGTGGGTGTGGGTGTGGGTGTGGGTGTGGGTGTGGGGTGTGGGTGTGGGTGTGGGTGTGGGTGTGGGTGTGGGTGTGGGTGTGGGTGTGGGTGTGGGTGTGGGTGTGGGTGTGGGTGTGGGTGTGGGTGTGGGTGTGGGTGTGGGTGTGGGTGTGGGTGTGGGTGTGGGTGTGGGTGTGGGTGTGGGTGTGGGTGTGGGTGTGGGTGTGGGTGTGGGTGTGGGTGTGGGTGTGGGTGTGGGTGTGGGTGTGGGTGTGGGTGTGGGTGTGGGTGTGGGTGTGGGTGTGGGTGTGGGTGTGGGTGTGGGTGTGGGTGTGGGTGTGGGTGTGGGTGTGGGTGTGGGTGTGGGTGTGGGTGTGGGTGTGGGTGTGGGTGTGGGTGTGGGTGTGGGTGTGGGTGTGGGGTGTGGGTGTGGGTGTGGGTGTGGGTGTGGGTGTGGGTGTGGGTGTGGGTGTGGGTGTGGGTGTGGGTGTGGGTGTGGGTGTGGGTGTGGGTGTGGGTGTGGGTGTGGGTGTGGGTGTGGGTGTGGGTGTGGGTGTGGGTGTGGGTGTGTGACTGTGAGTGTAGGTGTGAGTGTGAGTGAGTGAGTGGGTGTGAGTGAGTGAGTGACTGTGGGTGTGAGTGTGAGTGAGTGAGTGTGGATGTGAGTGAGTGAGTGAGTGTAAGTGAGTGGGCATGGTGCATCCATCCATGTGTGTCACTGTCTGTGTGTCCCTCTGTTCACACAGCAAGCCCCCTGGTGAAGTGTCTGCAGGGCCATTTGGCCGACGCATACACGGGCAAGGTCATGCCGGCACTGATTCTTAATGTATGAATCTGTGTGCTCCGCTTTTTGTATGTCTGTCTGTGTGTGTATGTCTCTCTGTCCCGCTGCTCACACAGCACCCGACATGGTGAAGTGTCTGCAGGACCATGTGGCAGATGCGGACATGGGCAAGGCATGTGCCGACGAGGTCAAGAGGGACGAGCAGCGCAGCGCACAGGGTGAGTTGATCGACTCCTCCCCATTGCAGCATGTACAGCATTCTCAAGAGCATTGCAGCAGGAACAGTACACTTTGCAGCATGCTCTTCGTCCCGTCCGTTTGACATGCACCTGCTTCGAGTCTGCGCAGCACCTCTGCATGCAGCCTGTGCACCACCCTGCACTCTTCACCACCCCCTCTGTGTCTGAATCATCTTTCTCATCTCCACTCCCCTTCCAGATTTCCTCCTGAACCACGCGTGCTTTGAGGACGTGCAGCACCACTGCATGAGCGCGTGTGCAGTGCACCACTCGGCACCCCTCACCACCCCTCTTTTTCTCTCAAACCCAATCTTCCCCTCTCCCCCTATCAGATTTCCGCCTCAACTTCCGTTTGAACCACGCATGCTTCGAGGACGTGCAGCACCTCTGCATAAACGCCTGCGCCCCTCCGGGCGTCGAGGGCGCCATGGCTGCTGCAGCAGCGGCCGCAGGGCAGGCGTGCGGAGGGGCGGTGCTCAAGTGCCTGTCGGAGAAGGTGTCTCAGCTGCAGAACGCTGAGTGCCGCGAGGAGGTGTTTTACTTTGAGCGCAGGTATGGTATGGTGCTAGGAATGGTGGTGTGCCTTTATTGTGCTCAAGTGCTTGACTGAGCAGTGATCGCGGGTGGAGAGCTCTGGGTGGGTGTCTTGCAGGCGTGCAAGGACGATGCGGACATGTACCGTGGCCCGTTCCCCCACTGGCATTGCTACCTATTGTGCAATTCTATTGTACTTGCTCCTTTCCCCGCAGGACCGTGGAGGACCCAGCCCTGGACGTGCCTCTGCAGCAGGCGTGCAAGGACGATGCGGACATGTACTGTGGTGTGTGCCCCCACTGCCACTTCCACCTACTGTACAATTGTACTTGCTCCCTACTCTCACCCCCTTCACCAATCGCAGGACCGTGGAGGACCCGGCCCTGGACGTGCCGATGCAGCAGGCGTGCAAGGACGATGCGGACATGTACTGTGGCTCTTATGCCTGCCACCACTGCTTCTCGCCTCCCTGATTCCTGCTCTTTCTCATATTGCCTCTCACGTTGCATCTCTCTGTAATCGCAGGACCGTGGAGGATCCGGCCCTGGACGTGCCCTTGCAGCAGGCGTGCAAGGACGACGCGGACATGTACTGTGGCGCGGGGGCGGGGTATGCGGGGAGGGACCACAGCCGCACGCTCTCCTGCCTGCGGCAGAACAGGAAGAAGCTGTCCGCCAAGTGCAAGGCGGAGGAGCTGCGGTTCACCGCCATGGAGGTGGGTGCAGTGCGGTGCAGTGAGGTTCTGTGCGTATGAGATAGAATATGTGGGGGCAGGGTATGCGGGGAGGGACCACAGCCGCACGCTCTCCTGCCTGCGGCAGAACAGGAAGAAGCTGTCAGCCAAGTGCAAGGCGGAGGAGCTGCGGTTCACTGCCATGGAGGTGGGTGCAAAGCGGTTCAGTGCGATGCTGCGCGTGTGCGATGGAATGCGGGGGCAGGGTATGCGAGGAGGGACCACAACCACATTAGCGACCGTACCAAAACAGCATATGTTGACTTGGCCACTCATCCCCCCCACTGCTCCCCACCGCTCACCCATCTTCCTCGATCCCACATTTGTGAAAGCACGCAATTGGCTTGGAGCTGCACTTGTTCTGCCATGTGCCATAGCCATGGCTCTCCTCCTCTCTTCCTTTCACCTCTCGACCCCCCCATTCCCCTCTCGCCACCACCAGGCGTCCGACATCCGTCTAACCCCCACGCTCATGAACGCGTGTGCCCTAGAGCTGCACCAGTTCTGCCATCCATGTGCCTTAGCCTTGTCTCTCGCTCTCTCCTCTCTTTCTCTTCCCTTTCCTCCGCTCCCCCCCTTGCTCGCCCACCACCAGGCATCAGACATCCGTCTGACCCCCACGCTGATGAACGCGTGTGGATTGGAGCTGCACCAGTTCTGCCGCGGAGTGCCGCCCATGGGCGGCCATGCCTTCCGCTGCCTGCAGTGGCACATCCAGGAGGTAAAGCTTCCTCACACGTATTGTAGTGTTCAGCGCATTCCACCAGTCTTTAGTGCATCCTTTCCATGGGTGGCCATGCCTTCCGGTGCCTGCTCCTCTCGTTTATCGTCAGCCTGGCATGAGCGTGGCATGCCGTGCCGGGATCAACCTGCAGGCCATGCGCCAATCCCAGTGCTACCGCACCGACATCGCTCTGCTGCTGCGGTGCGACCCCGAGTTGCGCGCACCAATTGCTGTACTACTGCACCGACATTGCCTTGCAGCTGCACTGCAGTGCAACACAGACATGTGCTCACTGCTTTCTCCTTCCCCTGCCTCCCATTCACATCCTCTTCAAGCTTCTCCAGTCCGGCATGAGTGTGGCGTGCCGTGCTGAGGTGGATCTCCGGACCATGCGCCAGTCGCAGTAGCACCGCACCGCCATCGCGCATTGCTTTCCTCATCCCCCATCCCTTTCCACCCTTCCCTCTCTCCCTCCTCCCTTATTGTCAGTCCGGCATGAGTGTAGCCTGCCGTGCTGAGGTGGACCTGCAGACCATGCGCCAGTCCCAGTACTACCGCACCGACATCGCGCTGCAGCTGCAGTGCGATGCTGACGTGGAGGAGAAGTGCAGCGAGGTGGACGAGGCGGCGGAGATGTCAATGGGGGACCAGGAGGCAGAGGGCGACTACGGGCCTATCCTGCGCTGTCTGCTGCAGTCGTACCAGACCCTCAAGCCTGCCTGCCAGTCCGAGGTGAGAAGAGACACAACGGTGATGCTGCAGGCTTTTGAGGTGCTTCGGGGATGAGGTTGCGGAGCAGTCAATGGGAGAGAAGGAGACTGAGGGCGGCTATGGGCCCATCCTGCGCTGTCTGCTGGAGTCGTATCAGACCCTCAAGCCGGCCTGCCAGTCTGAGATGAGAAAAGGCAGGCTTGCAGCTGGCACATGTGGTTGAGCTTTCGTTTTTACCATGACTGGCTTGTATTCCCCACCTACCACTCCAAACAAAACCACGTGATGTATGTCGTATGGAATCCTGATGTACTGCAGCAGTGGTGGTCTCACCAAACCATGCCACACTGTTATCCTCTGTTCTCATTTCTCCCTCTCCCCAATCCCCACCCACTCCCAGGTGACCTATGTGGTGCGCAACGCCCTGTGGATGTACCACAGCAACGCGCCCCTCACCAAGCCATGCCACACTGACATTGACACCCTCTGCAACAGCACCAACGTGGCGGGGTTCAGCGAGCACAAGGGCGCCGTGGTGGGGGTGTTTGGGCAGTGCCTCGTGGACACGCCTCTCACTAAGATCTCGGATAAGCAGTGCCGGCAGATGGTGGGCGTGGTGGCGGGCAGTGGCGGGCACGTGGGAGGGCTGGTGAATGAGAATCAGCTGGAGGACACGCTTACTAAAATCGCAGAGGTGGGTTGTGGCTGGATCTGCAGTGAAAGTGCTCATATTCTCCTTATTGCTTTTCTTGTACGGTACAATTCCATGTCCTCTTATTCTCTCCCAATCTTTTTCCCTCTAGTTTGATCGTGTGTGTTGTCTTTCTCTCTGCCCACCTTCTTTCCAACCTTCAGATCCAGCTGGTGGCTCAGGCTGAGGCGGAGGAGCAGGCAGAGGGCTCTCCACTAGTGTTGACGGGCTGGCTGGCCTTCATTGCCATCACAGCCCTCGCTGCTCTGCTGCTTGGTGGTGGCTTCTTCATCTACCGCCGCTACTTTGATCCTCGCCGCAACTACACTGTGGTTGTCAAGGCTGGCGATGTGTGAAACTGATGACCTGTGCACTTGGATCATAACTTACCCTGCATCTGCAAGCCCTTGTTGCCACATCTGCTATACACCACCAAGTCTGGTTCCTTGCAGCAGTACCATATTAGGGTCCATGTGAATTAAACAGTAGTAGGCTATAAGGTGGTGTGCAGGACTGAAAGAGCTTCTTCTTGGCATAGAGGCTGGAAAGCAAGACAAATTGAACAGCTTTACTGACATACAACCCACACAGGAGCTTGGCAATGAATTTACACTGAATCATCCACATGAATCTTCAGTGGCATGTCCTGCAAGGATCATCCTCATCCTCCCTGCTGGCTATTGGCACTGGCACGCCGACTGAGGTGCCCTCCTTCCAGGGGCAGTGAAAGTGCAGTTGTCAGGGGAATGGTCATACTATCATCATCGACTGGAAACAATTCATCCACTGGAGCAAGCTCAATTTCTACTGCTCTTCTTTCTGTTCCTGCAGCCAACCAACAAGATGGAACAAATCAGAAGTATAAAAGAGCAAGCACAACGAATGTCACACGACACAATGTTCTCAGCATGCAAGATAGGCACTGTGTGTTGTTCAGCATCCGGCAAAGACGCGAACACGGTAGTGTGATATATAGCAACATACTAAGGTTGAGCAGTTACCACAAGTAGAGAACTCACCATCAACTGAAGAAGAACTTGGACGGTGTGCTTGCGGAGGCGTAACGTTTGGATCGAGCTCCACAAGACGCGGATGTGAACGGGATGGTGTTGCAAAAACTGGAGTCAAAAAGTTCTTGTCGATTGAAGCAAAGCTAGCCCTGCAGCAGAAGTTTATCAGGAAAATCGCTTTACTGAAGTCTCTAAAAAAACATTAGTCTTACTTCTCTTTCAGCTGCTGAAACTTCTTCTTCAAATTGCTTTGAGGTTTTTCAGGTGGTTGAGCTACCATTATCTCCTCCGTCTGCATATCCTGCAATGCAAAAATCCGTACATGTCAAGATCGCACACAAACCCACACACATGCACGCATCCCCTCATTTCCCCCCTACTTTCCTCCACACACTCAGAGACACATGTTATTGGGTGCAAAGAGCAGGTTACCTGATCATCGTGTTCACTTCGGACCCCGCTGCATTCGATCTTTAGCCATGAAAGCATGTGGGATGTTGCACCACCAATAAACAACACCTGTGCATCATATGCCATTGTAATAACCAGATGAAGGTGGGCTGAATGGAGCCAGCATACAGTATTTTGCCCTGAAAACAATGAGCTGGATTGCAATTGTGACGTTTCAAGTTTCAAAAGTTTCACTCACAGTGAAAGCGATCGTTAACAATGTTGACGTCAAAATAACACGGCCATATTCATCAGGAAGATCAGCAATAGACTGTAGTGCGAGGGCAAAGGCCATGGCTCCACGAAGCCCTGGAGCAAAGGGTTGGGGTATAGTGGACAGATGTCAACTTTATGATGGAAAAGTTCGAACACGCGGTACAGCTAGATCAACAACAACGTACCGCTGAACCACAACGCATGCTGATGATTCATTGGAATTCTGCTTTGCTTCTGGCGAAAAGCATTGACAATGTATGCGAGAGGATATATGTTGAACACCCTGCAGAAGAATGACCTCATTAGCAAGGCGTATTTTTGAACCAAATGAAGCAGAAGGAAATAATTTAATACCTTGCAATAAGAATAGCAAGCTGCAAGACAATCAAATGTCAGGTCAGAGAAAGAGCGAGAAGCAGAAGCAGACGAAACAAAATCACAGTGCCTTACGATAGTAAACAGAGTAAATCTGTAGCTTCTCCAACTTTGTTTCTCCAAGAAGACCGCGACTCCCATGTATATAAAGCTGCGTACATAGGTGTACTCAAGTGCTTGCTAACTCAACCGAAACAGCGGAAAATGGATATAACCATACACGAAAGTTTCGGATAACTTTGCAAGGATGGAGAAGAAGCTACTTGTTGTAGCCAGCGCCTTCTCATTCAGATGCGGAGCTGTGTAGTATCTCATCGTCTGAAATATTGAATCAATCAGTGAACTTTCCATTACGAAAATTTGCAAACGCATCACCTCACCATTCCCGCGAAAAGGATGGCCACGATACCAGATAATTCAAAGGCATCAGCCAGCATGTACGCCATATAGGGGAATAGTGAAAGCAGGCAGGCTTGCAGCAAAGCGAGACTGCACAAAGTAGGACCACCGGGTCAACAGACTGCACCAAGACGAATTGGCATTAACAAAGTTGTGTATCAATCTTACCCATCATCTTCAAAACCGCAATGCTTGAAGACAAGGGCACTCAACAAGCCCATAATCACTCCTGCAAAGGTACTTCAGCACCCGATAACAAAAAACGGCAGCATAAAGACATAACGGGTATACTCTTACCTATTGAGAAAGAACCAATGAAATTGGCTAAGAAAAACGAAATAGCAAACCATACTCCTCTGCCATCAACCTTGGTTGTCACAAATGACAACATGGTCCTGTAGAGCACTATCGCGACCTACAAGTACAACAAATTCATGGATTAGCATATGATACGATAATTCGCCTAATCCACTTCACTTCTAAAGCATCTTACTGCATCATTGAGCACAGATTCTCCAAATACTTGGGCGTAAAGGGTGCGGTCTACACCCAATTCCTGCAAACGCACAACAACACTCATCAGATGTGTCCCTACAGTAAGAGGGTCACAGCATCGAGTAAAGGTGTACCTGGAAAACTGCAAGAACCGATACTGGATCAGTTGCTGATATTAAAGCTCCAAAGGCAAGGCACACCATAATAGGCATGGCGTGAGCAGCATGCAATAGTCCAACAAAATACCTGAAAGGAATATCAACGAGACCTCAATCCGTTATTGAAGGGTTGTGATTATTCAAATTGGATCCAAAAACGAGAAAAATATTGCAAGCACAGATCATGCTGAGCAATCAACGGGCTCACATGAAGCATCCCACCACCAAGGTCGATATGAGCGTCCCAGCAAATGCGAATGTACAGATCGCTCCAAAGTTGTTAAAAAATGGTTTCTGAAACAGCGATTGGGTGTTAGCGACTGACAGCCAGTAGTAACGAGCTAGCTACGCCCAGCACTTACCGTCTTCAAGCTCCATCCCGACTCAGTGGAAAAAAGAATTTCGCGCAAACACAATTGCGAAGAGACTGGGCACGCATGAAGCAATAAGAGACTCCAAGCTTGGAGCGTAAGTGCGGACGAGGAAGGACATGCGTGCGTAGTCTACAAGGCAAGGCGAAGAGAGCAAGAAACCAAGGCTGGCGGAGATTTAAACAAAATTAGGGACACAGACGACGTGAAAGGATATAATATTATTGAAAACAGCAGGAAATAGAAGAAGAAGTTATTGTTGAAGTTGATCCATTCCCTGCGAAAACAAAGTATGTCGGAGTTTGCACGGCTGAATGTAAAGAGTTATGAACGCGGACTTACCTGAACTCCGAACCATGGCGAAGGAACTTCACAACCAGCCCTACTAGCACACCTGGAGAAAATAGCGCGTTTAGGAAGAATATAAACGAGAGCAAAATCACTTAAATCGGCATACCAAAGGCTAACGCCGCGCCAGCTTCAGGGATTATAACTATCTTCTTCCGTCTAAGACCGTGGCCCACCAAAAGAGCGATCGCTAGCATAACCAGCTGAACCAGCAATGAGACGCTAGCTATGTAAGATGCGCCTTTGGGAGCCATCGGAACGGGGATTTGACCGCACGGAACCATTCCCGTTGTGAAAATGCTAACGTCCGTGTCGTTTGCACTTGGCGTTAATACGCTGGCATCCGTATCATTTCCTAGGGTCATGTTGAACCCAGATGCATCCATGGCGACGAATGTCAGGAACGCAAGAGTGGGGATGTAACCAAGATTACAAAGCTGTAAAGCTGGACACTAAAGGTTGTGTTATGCATTCGAAGCAGAATAGCAGGTGCAGCAATCAAGCTTTCAAGAATCTACCGTTTCAAGCAAGCCGAGAGGGCTGAAGGATGTGTGGCGCGGGATGTCAGCACTGACGCGGAACATGTTTGGATTTTGGAGGGAGAGCGCAGTGCAACAGAGCGGTTTGTTCGGCTGAAGGGTGGGTGGGGTGAGTTGCATTGGGTTTGTCAGTCCAGCAAATTGCGAAACTCGTCGGAGAAAGTTACCGTGCGAGGTTGTCGCTTGAATTTGAATCTCCAGTGCATCGCGATTATCACCCCCACTCCACCATCACACCCTAGATTGTGCCCACGACAATCAATCTTGGTTTTCCTCTGCATGCACCACGCACAGCGAACCGTTAGCTCGCACCGCGTGCAGTATGTATTCATTGTCGGAGTGATCTGTGACTCCATTTCGTTGACAAAGGAAGCGCATAGTCTGCTGCACCGTGTTTCTTGTTGCAAGCAGGTCGCATAACACAGATCCAGACTTCAATAATCAAATAGCATTGCAACGCGATCTTTTCTTCGATGGCGTCGTCTGGAAAGGATAAGATTAACATACTTGGTGACGCACAGGTCGATCAGCTCGACAGGGACCTTCGCGAGTTTAGGAAAGATCTGGGCGCTTTGGCCGATAAACAGATCGCGAAGCAGCACGACGCCGCGCGGCGCGATTCGGCGACAGTGCGTACGACGCAAGGTGATGCATCTGGTTGTTGAAATGTCCACATCTCCAAGTCGGCTCGCACTTTTCGAGGTTTTTCCAAATCTGTAGCATAGGGTATGTGGTGACCACGTCCACGATTCTTATACAGTATGCCATAATCGTCGCCTTTGAACGCAGATAAGCTAAACGAATTGAGGCAACTGGAGCAGGATTTTTTGGCTGAGGAGCAGAGGATTTTGAAACGTAAGCATCCCATGTTGCTTTTTCGCGAATGGCTGGGAGAGCATGCCCAGAAGCTATTCGTGCCATATAGAGCACTTGTTGCAAGCCGTCACTGCCATTGCACCTGCCTCTGGTAGGTGTCACTTCCATTCCAAGTTGCTTTTCTTTGTGTCCACACGTCATATCTGAACTTGTTTGCCTTGCCCCCTCTCTCACCTTGTGCTCCTCTCCATTCCCCCTGCTCACCCCAGAGCAAGAGGAGCAGCAGGATGACCTGGACCGGCAGTGTGAAGAGATGGCAAGGCTGGGTCTGGACAAAGCAATGCTGGCGCCTCAGCTGGAGAAGGCGAAGGATTTTGTTGCAGAATTGGAGGCGGACGTGCAGGCAGAGGATGAAGGTGAGGGAGTGATGGAACAGCGGGTGATTTTTTCGCTCGGACGCAACAGTTGTGTATCAATCACCACCCACCAACGCTTTGATTGTTTGTTTCTGATGCACAGCACTCGAGAACGCAGAGGAGGTTCGGCAACAGCGCATCGGTGCCCTGCTGTCAGTCGTGATAAAGTTCAGAGAAGCATTTGGCCTTCGCTTTGACCCCAGTCCTGGTGCGTTCTCCTCGCGCCTTCATTTCTCAAGCCTGGTGCATTCTCTGCTTGGCATTCTACAAAACCTCTCCACCCTCACTACTTTCCTCGTTCCCTTTCTCTTGATGTTTCCTCTCGTGCCTCCCTCTTCTGACAAATATGATCCCATTTTATTTTTCTCCGTGGAGCAGGTACACTCTCACTACACACACAACACAAACGCATTTCCACATTCATCACCACTACCTCCCTCGCTCTTTCTTTCACTGATTCTGCTTGTACCCCGCCATCTTCCCGAAGCCATTCCATTATCTTTCGTTCTGTGGAGCATTACACCCTCGCCATACACACAACACACATGTTAGCACATTCACCCCCGCTACCTCCCTCGCTCCCTCTTGACACGTTCTCTCGATGATTTCGTTCGTGCTAAACTGCTACTGTCTTTCCTTTTCTGTGTACCATGACCCTTGTCTCCAGATGGCTTGCTTCGATTGACCTTTACAAAGATAGATCCCCTGATGCCCGAAAGGCAGTTCATTGCCCTGCTAGATATGGGCGGTGACAGGGACAAGAGCTTTCGAGGTACGTGAAGTGATAATAAAGGGTGTAATAAACTTTATAACAGATAAAATTTAGAGGGAGCCAAAAAAAAATTCATTGTTCCTGTCGCTCTCCGCCTTCTCCATATCCCTCACCCCCATTTCATCATTTCATCCACTACTCCAACCAGCATCCACCTTTTCTCCCTTATTTCCACTGAACTGCAATATCTGCGCAGTGATAAGCAGTGAACCGTCCATTCCAGGCTTGGCAGAGGCAGTGCAGGCAGCAGCAAGCGAAGGCGACCTGAGAGTGTTGTTCAAAGGAATACACACAGAGTTCAAGAATGCTGTTGCTGAGGGGTTGTGAAGCACAGATGAACGCAATGTTGCAAGACCTTCGAAGGTGACATGTCATGATATCAACTGAGACGATTCTTGAGGCGCCTTAGAAATGAAGCCTGTTACAGCAAAGGCAGCGTTGCAGGCTCTTCTGAGGTGACATGTGATAATGGCCAACTATGAAATGAAGCTACAGTGGTGAAAACTGGTCCACAAACTTGTAAATAGGCATGCATCATCCAACAGCATTTGAAATCAGATCAGAAGCGCTACACAATGACAGCATGTGAAATACTAGAATTGTTTGCCAAAGGTGGTAGTATTTTCTTTTTGCTGAAGGACTCTCCGGACACACAAGCAGCCCTAAGGAACTTGTTCCTCCGCCGGCCCCTCTCGCCACTTCAGGTATGGCTTGATTGAGTTGCTGAGTGGGGTACATTTGCGTCTTCTTTCCCATTTCAAATGTTGTACAAGTGAAGCATTTTCCTGGATGAGCATTGACATGATAAACCATTGACATATAATCCTAAACACAATTTGAGCTACAGCTTCTAATCACATCACATCATGCCAGAGCCATCCCTTGGGGAGCGCTCCAGGCCAGAGCCATCCCTTGGGGAGCGCCCCAGCCCAGAGCCATCCCTTGGGGAGCGCCCCAGGCCAGAGCCATCCCTTGGGGAGCGCTCCAGCCCAGAGCCATCCCTTGGAAAGCGCTCCAGGCCAGAGCCATCCCTTGGGGAGCGCTCCAGGCCAGAGCCATCCCTTGGAGAGCGCTCCAGGCCAGAGCCATCCCTTGGGGAGCGCTCCAGGCCAGAGCCATCCCTTGGGGAGCGCTCCAGGCCAGAGCCATCCCTTGGGGAGCGCTCCAGGCCAGAGAAATCCCTTGGGGAGCGCTCCAGGCCAGAGCCATCCCTTGGGGAGCGCTCCAGGCCAGAGCCATCCCTTGGAGAGCGCTCCAGGCCAGAGCCATCCCTTGGGGAGCACTCCAGGCCAGAGCCATCCTTTGGGGAACGCTCCAGGCCAGAGCCATCCCTTGGGGAGCGCTCCAGGCCAGAGCCATCCCTTGGGGAACGTTCCAGGCCAGAGCCATCCCTTGGAGAGCGCTCCAGGCCAGAGCCATCCCTTGGGGAGCGCTCCAGGCCAGAGCCATCCCTTGGGGAGCGCTCCAGGCCAGAGCCATCCCTTGGGGAGCGCTCCAGGCCAGAGCCATCCCTTGGGGAGCGCTCCAGGCCAGAGCCATCCCTTGGGGGGCGCTCCAGGCCAGAGCCATCCTGTGGGGAGCACTCCATGCCAGAGCCATCCTGTGGGGAGCACTCCATGCCAGAGCCACCCTGTGGGGAGCACTCCAGGCCAGAGCCATGCTCCTCAAGAGCGTTCTTGACTTGATGCTATCCTGGAGGATAGAACTGAAAGCAAAGCCACAGCGGAATGGCAGCATATTTTCACCCTTCCAACCCCCACCAGTTTCCCAACCCACTCTCCCGAACACCCTGGCAAACAGGGTGCAAAAAAGGGACCCACCATCATCCCACTTCCCAACCTCCCAACCACCTCCCCACTGCTGTAATCTGTTTGAGGTGCTTCTGTGCCCTCCACCTTCATCCCGCTGGAATACTCCTTTGCTGCTTATCAAATGATTTGTTTTTCGTTTCTTTTCTTTTCGTTTTTTTTTTTCCACTTTTTTTTTCTTGTTTTTTTCGTCATTTTGTTTACCCAAGAGGAAATCAGGCCCCCTCTCGCACGGGGGTCCACTGGGAGGTGTCCCCCTCACACCTGGGGGTCCCCCCTCTCTCCTCTTCCCTTGCAGTTTTCCAGAGGAACGTTTTACAGAAGAACGCCATGCGATGCGACTCTTCGGACGGCTGCCAGGAATATAGGAAGTCACAGAAGTTCAGGCCCCCAAAATCCTAGGATGATCGGCCATGGTCCTGATGCCAAGTTGGCAGGAAGTGCGGCTGGTGAAGTCTGTCGTCACGTGGCCTCGGTTGTGTTGTAGAGGACTCTGAGGGAAGGTCCCCTTTCTCATATGACCCGGGTGCAGTCTTGGTAGATCAGCGCCGCGTTGGAGGTTGGAGCTTTCGGAAGGCTTACGGCCGCCATGGACGCCGTGAGCCCGCAGCGAGCACCACCTTGGACGACGATCCAGCACGAACCTTATTCGCTGCAGCCGAAATTGCATCACTCCTGCCTTCGAGCTGCTTCGTACCGTTGGAACTCCTTCTTCGCATCTGCCTCTCAGCTGCAGCGGCTCGTGCGGGTCGTGGGATCAGCGTCGTCCCCTCCGCGCGGCTTTTCATGATCATTCTTTGACCGCTTGGTTTAGCGATGCGAGATGGCAGCGGCTGTGAGGTTGGTACGGAGCGTGTCGCTGGCTTCGCCGAACCAGCTGCTACAGCCATTCGAGGACATTCAGTCAGCAGCAGTGATGTTGCTGGTTCGGACGTCAGCAATTCCGACGCCGCTGGTTCCATCGTTACCGCCGGTTCTGACGCCACCGCTAGTACTACGGACGCCATCGGATCCGATGCAGAACGATCTAGCGTCGTCGGATCTGAGAAGGTCGGATCGAATGTCTCCGATGCCTGGCTTACTTTGCTCGTGTGGCTGGAGGAGCTCGGAGGTTGAAGCAATGTTTCAGTCCGCTTCTCGCGACCGAGACTCTTCCAGAAGCTAAGAGCATCCACATACGACGGGTAATCAGAGGCCATTGCAGTGAAAACGAGGAGTTGAGTTAGAAGCCTGAAGCTGATCCCGAGGCTGGAGCTTCTTGTGGTGAGCAAACAAGGACAACTATACTGCTGGTATTCCTTGGCTGCGGATTTGTACCCAGAAAGCAAAGTCGGAGAGGGGTTGGAGGGAAAACTGGGAAGCCCTGACTTTGCTTGGGAGGGTTGCTTGGTTGGGGTGGCTCGGGACTCGAGATTGTCGCGGCCCCGCCCTGCCCGAGCCAAGCACCCAAGGCTGCCCAATTTTGTTATCCCCGGGCATCGTTCCGCCTTCTGCGCTGCCCTGAGCGACTCATGGTGCAATTCGTGTGACTCACATCCGCGGTTCGCGGATGCAAAAAATGTTTCCGATGTCTGACCGAAACCAACATTTTCGTCTTTGCACTGCTAGTTTCGATAAAAGTGGAAGCTCGGGCAGAGGGGCGACAGACTCGGGGCAGTCACTCAACAGCTTTGGTGAAGCGCGCAAGCCGCCCTGCAGTACCCCAATTCCCGAAGCTTCGATTTCGAGGCTTGCGCCAGATCCCTAAGCTATCGACACCGAACCTCGTTGCCTCGGGTCCTCTATTCAAGCAGAACCGTATTCCGGCGTGCTCAGCGCTGGATTGAACTTATTGTGTATCTATGAAATAATTCCAATTTATACTTTGCTCAAGCATTTAATGCAGCTCAATTCCTGAATATGGAACTCGACAGGAGATGGTAGGAATTAGCACCAAGCCAATATCTGGTTCTATTCGGATACGAAAGATAAATTTGCTGCACCGTGTTTTTCCTCTGTGAGGGAAGGCATCACTATGGTAGGGTATGATGAGCTGGCTGAGGTGAGGTGATGAGACAGAATTCTTCCGTAATTAGCCTAGTCGATATTGTAAAAAAACCTATAATTACAGTGAAATTTGTGCCCCTTCCCGTCTCCCCACTTTCCCCAGCATGCTCTATCTCCGGGCAGCTCTGAATGTTTTTGGAGGTTGGTCATGCCGCACGGTGTATTCATCCTTCCTAGACCCATGCTGCTTCATGCTGCTCTCCTCCCCCACACCCCCTCTACGACCTCCACCACCCTCCTGCCCACCCACTCCCACTTTCTTCCCCTCTTCCTCTCTTCTCGACTCGTGCACACGCCCTTCCTGCTTGCTCTGCTGGCTCTCGTCGGTCTTTCTTTCATGCACCCCCCCTTCTTGCCGTCGGAATGTCAGCTTCCGTTCCGCACCACTCCCACAGCTGTTACTCCTCTCGCCCTCGCCACGCCGCCTCACACTCTCCTGGTCCACCGCACCTGCTGTCCCTCCTCCTGTGTTCGCCCCCACCTTCTCCCTCACATTCAAACCCCCATCACGAGCATTAAAGCCCTTCTTTTCATGCATCCAGCTCCTCTCACCCTGCTGGATGTTCGATCCATGCCTTGCATCCTCTCTTCCCTTATTGAGTGTGATCCCTTTTTCTCTTGCCAAGTCACCCTCCCGCTCCGATCGCCTTCCATCCTTACCATGCCACTGCTTGTTCTCCCTGCTCCCTTCGCTCCCTCTCTTCAATCCCTCGCCATCCTCCCTTTCCCTCACCCTCCCATCTCCCCTTCCTCCCATCCTCTCATCATCCCTCACCATGTTTCTTCCAGCTTCCCTGTCTTTACGCATTCCATCTCTCCCCAGCCCACTTTCCCCCTCCTTCATCATGCCTCGACCCCGCCCGTCCCTCTCTCTTGCCCCACCATCTTTGCTCTCTCTCCTCCTCTCAACCACCCTGCCTCTGTCCCAATCATTCGAGTGCTTCCGCTTGTTCCAAAATCTATCCTTCCTTCCACCAGCTCTCCTATCGATATCCCTCTGCCTCTCTTCTCGACCTCTACCCTGTCCTTCTCGTTCCCGCTGTTTCCCCGCCATCCCCTCAGCCTGAACACCCTTCCCTACGTCGTCCCTTCTCACTCCCCTTTCTCTCTCATGGTCCCTTCTCAATCCCCTTGCTCTCTCATCGTCCCTTCTCAACCCCCTTCCTTCTGCGTCCCTTCTCACCTCTCTTCCACTGTCGTCTTCCCTTCTAGCTCCCCTGTTCCTGTCATCCCTTTCCTTGTGACCCACGTGTCCCTTGACCTCCAACTTTTCTGCTCCACTTGCCCCCACATTATCCTCACTCATTTTTGCTTCTTCACCACCCTTTACACGCAATGTGCCCTTCCCCTCATACCCCATGCCTTGCCCCATGTCTGGCTGTATTCTTTCCTCCTTTCCTTCCTTTGCAATCTCCTTCCATAACCCATCACCACTCCTCTCCCGCCCATCTCCACTCCTCTCCCGCCCATCTCCACTCCTCTCTTGCCGCCCATCTCCACTCCGCTCCCACCCATCTCCACGCCTCTCCCGCCAATCACTTCGTTTCCCCCCACCCGCACTCTCGTCTCGCCCCCTCTTCCCAAGTGACCCGACTTCACGTCCTGCATTCGCTCCCCCTCCTCCCCTCGTCCTATGCCCCTCCCCTCCCCTCAACCTGCTTCCAGGAGCCCTTTCCCTACTGCCCCCACCTGGCACATTACCTCTCCACACTCTCCGCTCACCGCTACCCCTTTCGCTGCTGCCAACCCTTCTCGCGCCCCTAGTCCTACCTCCCTCCACCTTACTCCAACTCCTTTCCCCTCCTGAATTTCGAGAACCCTCAAAACTCCTCTCCCCTTCCACACCCCTCCCTCCCTTCTCCTCACGTGCTCTCCTCACATCACCACCACCTCTTTCGTCCCTCTCTCCCCCCATCCTCTGCAGAACAGGTGTGCCTCTCGCTCCTTCACATTCTCCTCTCCCTCCTGGTCTCTCCTCCCTCTTCCCGCCATTATCGGTTCCTACTTCCTCCCCTCTCTCTCCTCTCTCTGTTGCTCCTCCCGCGGTCCCTTCCCCAGCCACCATCCTTCCTGAATTCGTCCCTTGCTCTTCCCTCCTCCGACTCCTCTCACCAGCAGTATTTCCAGTGGCTTGCCTTCCCCCACTCATGCTACTCATGCTGCTGCTGCTACTGTCACCGCTACTGGTGCTACTCGTCTCTTCACTACTGCTGCTGACACTGCTGCTGCTGGTGCTGTCACTGCTATCACTGCTACCACTGCCATCACTGCTGCTAGAATGGTGCAAGCTGTTGCTGCCCCTTGTCCCTGCTATAAGCTCGCCCCTGCCTGCCCTCACACTCGTGTTACCCTGCTCCATCATACCACCACTGCCATGCCCTGCCATACAATCACTACTATGCACACACAAGCTTAGGGTGTTCAGCTTTGCTGCTGATGCATAACCCACCTCCACCCTCTGCCGCTTGCCCCACCTCCCACCCACCTCCCCTGCACCCCACCCCTCCCTTCCACCCATCCCTTCTCCAGCATCCCCCCCCAACCCCCCATCTCCCCAATCCTCCTTCCCTTGCCCCTCTGCCTCAGCCCCACCCCCACCAATCACAGCAGGGGCGCTTGGCCTGGTCCCAGACACCACCTGCTCCTCTCCATCCTTGCCTTCCTCCCTTTGGCCGTCTGTCCGAGTCCCTAACACACCAGTCCCACCCCCACCAGTCCCGCCCCCACCAGTCCCACCCGCACTTAGTACAGCAGGCACAGGCGGGGCATGGGGCACAAGAGGAGGAGGAGGAGGCGGAGGGAGGGCCGCAGCAGTATGTGAGTGTGGGGTGTGAGGCAGGAGGGAGCAAGGCGCTGGGGACGGAGATGGAGGAATAGGCAGGGCTGTGTGGGAGGGAGAGGGCATGATGAAAGGCGTTGTCTGGGCGGAAGATGGGGGAACGTTGGGGGTGGCGTGGGAGGGAGATGGCATGGCGGCTGCAGCAGTAGCAGCGGGTGCAGCAGCGAATAGGGTTACGGAATGGGGAGGCGGTATGGAAGGGGAAGAAGGCATGGGAGAGGAAGAGGATATAGGAGGGGACATGGTTGCCTGTGCATGAGGGGAAGGGACGGCAGGAAGATCAGGGGGAGAGAGAGCATGAGGGGCATCAAGGGGTAGCTGTGAAGGAGGATGGATTGAGCCAAGAGTCATTCCACTGTCGTGCAGCTCGAGGCAGGGTGGCTGCTGGTGAGAGTGAGGCTGTTCATTGGGTGCTAAGGGAGAATCAGGAAACATTCGGCTCCACCACCCTTCATCCCCACCATCCCCACCATCCCCACCATCTCCTCCCTCACAAACTCCATCATCCCCTCCTCCTCCCCTCTCTCCTCCCCCTCCACCCTCCTCTCCCCCATCTGCTCCACAAGAGCCCTGCCCCAGGTTCCCATCCCCCCACATGCCACCCGCCTGCTCCTCCTCGCCCCTCCAAGACACCTGCCCCGCACCACACACCTCCTCGCCCATAGCCTCGTGTATACCACCCCCACCATCACCATCCCCGTCATCTCCGCCCCAGTCACAGGGAGCAGAGGGCCCTGTGTCCCTGCCTGCAGCTGCCGTGCTTCCACCCTCACCTCCCACACTCCCATCCACACTCACTAACCCCCTAGCCAGCTCCCTTCCACCCTCTCGAACTCGCTCTGTGCGCCATTCTGCTTCACACTGCTCCTCCTCTCCCACCCCGCCCCCCTCCCCCTCCGCCCTCAACCCCTCATGCCCCACGAGCCCCCCATACCCTACCTGCAACCCCCCATGCGTGTCCACATGAGGGGTTTCATGCGTGTTACCCAGCGCATGTGAGTCCCCTGTTGCCATGCCATGCACATGGCCCCATGCCACACCTCCCACCTTGCCGTCTGCTCTCTCCCTGTCACTGCCTTCACCTCTCCCCACGTGTCCCTCCGTCTCTTCCATACCACTTGCTTGCGCTTGCATGTCCCTTGCAAGACCACCCACGTGGTCATCACCCACGTGGTCAACACCCATGTGGTCCGCACCCACATCCTGAACTTCCGCCACCATCCTATCCAACTCACTCCACAGCTCCTGCTTCCACTGCTCCTCCTCTTCCTCACCTTCCTCACCTTCTGCCACCCCTCCCACTCCCTCCTCTCGTAAACCCCCCAGTGTGCCTTCCTCCTCCTCCCCTCCCACCACCTCCTCCTCCTCCTCCTCCTCCTCCTCCTCCTCCTCCTCCTCCTCCTCCTCCTCCTCCTCCTCCTCCTCCTCCTCCTCCTCTTGCTCCCCCTCTCCTTCCCACTTAACACCATCTGTTCCCACTCTCTCCTGATCCTCCATCCCGAATTCCACACTCTCACTGTTCACCGCATTCAACCCATCCCTGCTCACCACACACACATGCACTATCTCTTGCAACCTCAATCGCTCCGCCTTCTCCCCTTTCACCACCACATGCACCCAGTTACCCTCCAATGCAAATCTTCCCATCTCCCCGGCACTGCCCTCCTGCCCCTCCTCCTCTGTGCCCCCACACTCACTACTATATTGAAATCGCACACACACCTCCTCCTCCTCCTCCTTCTCCTCCTCCTCCTCCTCCTCCTCCTCCTCCTCCTCCTCCTCCTCCTCCTCCTCCTCCTCCTCCCCCCCCCCCCCTCCCCACACTCACTCCTCTTCTCATCCCCCTCTGTTACTTCCCACACGTCCCTTCCCCTAAGCCCACCCCTTCCACCTCTCCCCTTACCCCTCGCACCAAATCTTACCCCTTCTGATTCTTCCTCCTCACTGCATGGCACATCTGCCAACCAGTCACCGACCCTCCCTCCGTCTCCCCTACCTCTTCCTCTCCCTTGCCTGCCTCTCCCTCGCTCCATAACCCTGCTCGTCCTCTCTTTCTCCCGTTCCCCTGCTCGCCTTCCCCCACCCCTGCTCAGCAGACCCACCCCTATCTCCTCTTCAAAATCAATGTCTCTCCCACCCCGCCTATCCTCCTCCTCTTCCTCCTCTTCTTCCTCCTCATCCTCCTCCTCCTCCTCTCTCTCCTCTTCTTCTTCCTCCACTCCCTCCTCCTGCTCCTCTTCTCCCTCCTCCTCTTCCTCCTCGACTTGCCTCCTCCCTCGCTTCACACGCCCTCCCCCAACCACCTTGCCACCGTTTTCAACCACCTTGCCACCGTTTCCAACCACCTTGCCACCGTTTTCAACCACCTCCTCACCGCCCCCTTCTCCCCACATCACCTCCTGCAACCTCTTCTGCCTCACACCTCTCTCCACACCTCCTTCCACACCTCCCTCCACACCCCCATCAGCTCCCACCAATGCCCCCCCTCTCACCTCTCTCCCAACCCTCCCTTCGTCCCTATACCGCACACCCATACCCGCATGACCACCAGCACCTGTCTGCCCTGTGACACGTGCAACCACACCCACACCCCCATGCACATCCGCATCCCTAGGCATACCCATGCCCGCATCCCCATGCGCACTCACATCCACACGTGCCTCCTCCCCCAAGCACCCACGGCACGTGTAGGAGGGCTGGCGCAGGGCCGTGGTCCACCCCTTGACGCCGTAGCCCTTGCGGCGCTTGAAGCACTGGTAGCAGAATCGGAGGGCGCACAGGGAGCACTGCACTGCTGCGCCGTGGCCCGCGCACCACACACATGCAGATCTGTTCCCACCAGTACCAGAAACAGCTGCTGTTGCTGCCGCTGTTGCTGCAGCAATAGACGTTGCTGCTGAGGCAGGTGGAGGCGGTGGTGATGCGAGCGGCTTGGCTTCACACTCCTCCTTCACTGCGATTCGCTGCTCCCTCATCCCAGCACTCTCCCTCTTCCTCTCACCGCCCCCTCTTTTTATCTCATCTCGAACCACACTCACCACTCCTGCTCTCCCCTTACCATTCTCCTTCTTCCTCTCGTCATGTTCCTCTATCTCCTGCACCTGCTGCATCTCCCATGGGTCCCTTGGGCCATCAGCACTCACCACATCATATCCACCATCATCGTAACCACCTCTACCACCATCACCATCAACGGTGGCAGCAGCAGGGGCAGCAGCAGCAACACAAGGACTGGGGAGGTTGGAGGAAGGGGAGGCGTTTTCGTGGAGGGGAGTTGATGGTGTGAGCTGAGCTGCCTCTAGCTGCTGCATTCGGGCCTGATGGGCAGGCAATCAAAGGGGTGGGGAAGAAATCGAAGAGGGACAGAAGTGGAGAGGGGAGATACTCAAGGAGAGCGTGTGAGTTTTGAGTCGACAAATAAGTCACGTAGCTAAAGGAGAGCGGGTGAGGTGACCCTTGTGTGCTATGCAAGCCAAATGGCGCATGGCGACGACTCACAAAGGCACGGCACATCGCATCCATTCACAAGCATGGCATATGACTCTTGAGGCGCCTCAAGAGAGCGGGTGAGGTGACCCTTGTGTGCCCTGCGAGCCTGATGGCGCATGGTGGCACCGTGGCGATTCATAAAGGCACGGCACATTGCATCCATTCACAAGCATGGCATATGGCCGTTACTCACATGCACGAGGTAAAGCAGCGACGGCATGCCTCCATTCGCCTCCCTTCGCCTCCTCCAATGCTCCCTCACCGCCCCCATGTGCTCCCTCACAGCCCCCAGATGCTCCCCCCAAAACCCTGACTCCCACTCCTTGGCCGTCTCATCGAAAGCAGCTTCCGCTGGCCCCACGTGCCTCTTCTCTCCATCTGCACGCCTCTGCTCCCTCTCCACCTGAGCCCCACCACGGCCTTTGTCCGAAGTTGGCACTGCCACACGGTCAGCAGTCACATGTGCCGCATGCCCTTCTGTGGGAGAGGGCGCTGCCTCCTCTCCCCCCTGCACAGCTGCAGAGTGTGCGGCACAGAAGGCCGTCACCTGCCGCTGGTACAGGTCGGTCTCTCGCACCTGAAAGAGAGGTGGAAGCGACCGAAAGAGAAAAAAAGGAAAGAGGGTGGATTACAGACACATGGGGATCGATTGTGAAAGATTTCAGAAATGATTCAGGAACAGGAAGAGGAAACAACGAAAAGGGGCCTAAAATGACCACACGAGCAACAAAGCCACTCAGTGCCGCATGGGCACGAGGGAAAGCCTTAAGCGAGTCTTACAATAGCGGAGCAGCCATGCATCAGGCCGCAGCGGACGTGAAGGCGGGTGGCACAGAGAGGGTAGGCGCAGGGGAGCAGATCGAGAGGGCTGTCTGGCTGATGGCAGAAGGCACAGCGCGCCACTGCTGCTGCTGCTGCACCTCCTGAAACACCTGCTGCCGCTGCTGGCGCGGCCAGATGTTGTCTGCTTTCTGCCCTCTTCTTTGCAGCAGCTGCCACACCCCTGAGCGTGGGAGAAGAGAGTTGGGAAAGGGAGTACGGGGTGAGGGACAGAGAGGCAGAGGTGCGGAGGGAGAGTTAGACAGAGGCAAGGGGTGAGGGAGAGTGAGAACGGGAGGAGGAGAGAAGCAACAAGAGAAAGGGAGGAGGGGCGAAGCGCGGGCGGGAAGAGAGCGACTCACATGATGGGTTGGAGCGACTCAGCACTGCCAAAAAACACATGGCAGTCGAAGAGAGCGCAGGTCACATGCACCCAGAGCAGGTGCCTCAACGCAGGTGGCATGCACTTCGACACAAGTGGTACGTCTCTCGATGCAAGAGGCATGTCGTCCATGTCTCCTTGATGCTTCGCCTTCGCCTTCCCATCTTGGCACATGTCACCGACTTCTCGACACATGGCCTTGTCAGCTTGACCGCTGCCCAGGTCACTCTTCCCTCCTCTACCACTGCCATCCCGGGCACCCTTCTCATCTTGCTTCTCTAGCTTGCGTTCGCCCCGACCAACGCCGCTACCACCGCCCGGTTGCTTCTCCTCCCCTGCCGCATCCCTCCCACCGCTGCCACGCTCCCTTTGCAGCGCCCTGTGCTCAACTCCCTCCTTCACCCCACCGCGCTCCTCTTTCAGCGTGACAGGACCAGCAGCACCCACTGCGCTCATCTCACCTTCTCCTTTCGTCCCGCTGGCCTCTCTCTTCGTGCCAACCCTCTCTCTCCACTCCTGCCTGTGCCTGCCCCTCCCCTGCCCCGCTCTGTTCATTTCAACGTGCCCTTGCATTCCTCCTTCCTGCCTTCTGACCTTGTCTGTCCTACCTTGGTGGCCGTTGCTTTTGCTGCTCTCATCGCTGCTAGTCCCACTGCTGCTGCTGCTTCCATTGCCACTGCCACTATCGCTCTCGCTACTGCTACCACTGTCACTCTCACTTCCACTACTGCCGCCGCCACTGCTGCTACTGCTACTGCTGCTGCTTCTTGTGTCCACACAGTCGCTTCTCCTCTGCTTCTTCTTCCGTACACCAAATCCACCAATCACACGCTGCTCTTTGTCGGCCTCTGCTTGCCTCTCTCTCCTCCCACCACCCTGCCTGCCCCTCCCATTAATCTCTCCTCCCCTACCCTCCCGCACTCTCCTACTCCCTCCCTCTCTCTCACTCTGCAACTTTCCCCCCGATTTTCCACCATCACGGCCTGATTCAACACTCTCCTTCCCCTCTCGTCCCTGCTGCTCTGGACCCTCTCTCCTCCTCCTCTTCTGCCTGTTCTCTGCTCTCTTCCTTATCAAATCCCGATCCTCCTTCCTTTCACCTCCCGACTCCTTCCCACCAGCTTCCACTCTCATCCCTGCCCCATCTGCTCCTCGCAATCGCCCCACTGCCCCCATCAACTGCTCCTCTGCCTCCACTCCACGCCCATCTCCCTCCCCACGCCCTACATGCCTCTCGGCATCGGCTGGCAGAGGACCATCCAGGCACGGCTTGAATGCACCTCCTCCTGTTACACGACACAAGGCACAGCTGGGGGGGTTAGAGGGGGGGGGAAGGGGCTGCTTGAGAGACGTCTCAAAAGTCGTCCATGCACGGCTTGAACGCACCTCCTCCAATGGTGTGGCATAAGGCACAGCTGGGGGGGGTTGGGGGGTGGTGATGGGTTGTAAATGACTTTTGAGTCGACTCAATAGTTATCCAGTGGCCCATCCAGGGACGGCTTGAACGTGCCTCCTCTGGTGGTGCGGCAGAAGGGACAGCTGCGGAGGGGTTGGGGGGTGGGTGGGGGGCGATGGGGTGATGGTTGTGGGTTAAGGACTGGCAGCAAACAGTCACCAATTTTTTAGGTGCCTCGAAAGGAGGGGGTGGGCGTGGGGGGTGACGGATTGGGGGGTACGGACCGGTAGAGAGGAAACATGTGCAACGGTGCAGCTTCAAATCAAACGTTGAATGCCGTGGAGGCATTGTGAGAGGGAGGTGAAAGTGTGTCCGAAAGGAAATGGACGGGCGGGAGAGGGGCTTTGGAGCAGAGGCAAGAGCGCACACAAGAGGCGGTCAGGAGGTGTGTTGTGCACGGATACTCACGTGAGGAGAGGCAGCTGGGAGCAGGTGTTGGCAGCAGCTGTGCCGCCGCTGCTGCATGCTCTGGTGTAGAGATGGCACAGCACACTGTACACACACAGCACCAGTTGACTTGAACCACCCGGTACTCACGTGAGGAGGGGCAGCTGAGGGGAGGTGTTGGCAGCAGCTGTGCCGCCGCCTCTGCTGCATGCGCGGGCGTAGAGATGGCACGGCACACAGCGCCACCTGAAGCGCTTCGCTGCTGTCTGCTTGCTCAGCTGCACGCCCTGACCAGCAGCAGCAGCACCACCAGCATTGGCACCACCAGCACCGTCGCCACCACCATGCCCGCTCTGGCCTGACTCCCCGCCCGGCCCTTCCCCCTCCGCCTTCCCCTCGCTAGTCAGTGGCAGCAGTGACGGCAGGGGGGGAACGTGAAGGGAGGGGGGGAGGAGGGAGCACGCAGCCCAGAGAGGGGGAAGGCCCACTGCGCCGTAGCAGAGTTGGTGGACAGCTGTGGCGCAGAGGGAGCAGCAGAGGAACTGATGGGTGGGGGGGGAGAGAGGGAGAGGGTGGATGGGTGGAGAGAGGTGGATTGCGGTGAGGGGGCGGATTGGCTGGAAAATAGGTGAAAAATGACTCAAACAGCAGCAAAGAAGGGGGGAAGGCCCAAGGAGCCGTAGCAGAGGAGAGGGCGAATGATCGGGGAGAGGGTGAACGGGGGGAGAGGGTCAGGTGTAAGAGAGAAGCATGTTGCATGCTGGTGACTGCGGGGACTTGTGGCTGCCACACGCCTGCATGGCAAAATGAGCATGCCTGTATGCATGCATGCATGCATGGATGGTGCGGCACTCACAGGGTTGTAGGGCGTCTCCCCCGGCTGGAAGCACACCTCGCATCGCAATGCCACCTCCGCATCATGGCTCACTGCCCCCCGTGACACTTGCTCACATGATGGCTTCTGAGTCAGGCAGTAAGCATGGTGCATGCATGCATGCATGCATGGTGCCGCACTCACAGGGTTGTAGGGCGTCTCCCCCGGCTGGAAGCACACATCGCATCGCAGTGCCTCGGCATCATGCCGCATGGTCTTTGGCCCCTGTGGCGCTCCTACCCCGCCCTCCTCCCTTGCTGCGCTCAAACCTCCTTGCATGTTATCGAGATCAGAACCCTCAGCGTGAACCACCCCCCCAGCAGCACGTTCACAGGCAGCATCCACATCACCAGAAACACCATCATCGTCATCATCATCAACAGCAACAGCAGCAGCCGCAGCAGCACGATCACCATCACCATCAGCAGCAGCAGCGGCAGCAGGAGCAGCATAGTGAGCAGCGGCAGGGTGCATGTCCAGAGAGGTCATGCACGCCTCAAACGCCTCCTCTGACAGACCCAGCTTTGCACACGCCTCAACACTCCCACTCCCTGACTGCTCTTTCCCAGCTCTTGTACGCTCATGCGCATGCGCATGGGCATAGGCATGGGTGAGTCTGCTGTTGTAGGCCGTCAGCCACGCAGCATCCTCCTCATCCATGTCATACTGTATCTGCATGCCATCCTGCATGCCATCCTGCACGTCATCCTGTTGCATGGCACAGCGCAGCACTTGCCTCCTGACAGGTCGAAAGCTGCCGCCGATCTCCTGCCCAGCACATCAACAAGGCATGGGGAAAAAGCGTCTTGAGTGGTGACCCCATGATCATGAGATTGAAGAAACAAGCAGAAGAGGCAAGGTGGGTACAAAGTATAATGAGAGGGCAAGTTTTCCCGAAAGGAGGTATATTGAAGAGATGTTCACCGTTCACCTCGCCAAGGCTCGCCACACCCGATAGCCACAAGATTGAGAGACGTATTGCTTACCTGCGTGTTCGCACCTATTCAAGCACTCATTCAATGAGTGTGAGCACGCTCATTGAAAGGAAATGAATTAGGTGGTTACCTGGGTGTGTTGCACCACAGCCCCCCCTCCAACACTGCTTGGCTCTGCCTTTCGCCCATTCGCCAGGGGTTGCCATCGCTGCTCCTCCTCCTCCTCATCGCTGCTCTCCTCTCCCTCTCCCCACCTTTGCTGCTCTTCCTTTTCCCTTCGTTTCTCCTCTCCCTCTTTTCTTCCTTCCTCCTCTCCCTCCTTCCTCCTTTTCTCATCTTCCTCTACCTCTTCTATTCGTGTATCCTCTCCCTCGTCCCTTCTTTTCTCATCTTCCTCTTCCGCTTCCCTTCGCTTCTCCTTTTCCCTCCTCTCCTGCTCTTGCTCCTCCATTCTCTTCTCCTCTTCCCTTCTCCTCTCTTCTTGCTCGTCCCGTCTCCTCTCCTCTTGCTCTTCCATTCTCCTCTCCTCTAGCTCTTTCCTTCTCTCCTCTTGCTCTTCCCTTGTCCTCTCCTCCTGCTCTTCCCTTCTCCTCTCCTCTTGCTCTGCCCTTCTCCTCTCCGCTTGCTCTTCCCTTCTCCTACCCTCTTGCTCTTCCCTTCTCCTCTCCTCTTGCTCTTCCCTTCTCTCCTCCTCTGCTTCTCCCCTCGCCTTCTCCACTTCCTCTTCCCGTATCTCCTCCCCTTTCTCTACTTCTCCCTTTGCCTGTTCCTCTATCCCTCCCTTCTTCTCTTCCTTCCCCCCTCCCTCCTCGTCCTTCCTAAAAACTCCCTCCCTCACTTCATCAAGCATCATCCACACTCCTGAATCACTATCTTCAGCTGTCAATCCCACAGCCTCAACATTGTCCCCTTCTCTTGCATCATCCGCTCTCACCATTGGCACTTCAGCAGGGAGAGGAGGAGCGAGGGTAGCGGCACTGTGAGCAGCTGCACTAACTCTCAGGCTCACAGCATGGTCACCCTCATCCTCAACACCACTGAATATCCGCCTAGCTTCTCCAAAGCCCCCACTGACTCCATCACACATCTCACTTCCGACTTCTACCTCCGAACTCCCTTCCCTTCTTCCCTGCTCCCTGCCCTCCTCTTCCTTCTCTTTCTCTCCTTGCCCCTGCTTCTCAGCCTTTTCCTCCTCTTCCTCTTCCTCCTCCTCCTCCTCTTCTTGATCCTCCCCCTTCTCCTGCTTGTCCTCCTCTTTCCCCTCCTCCTCCTCATTCCAGTCCCCCTCATCTATCCCCCATCCCTCCTCTCCAGTACCCCAATTCGTTCCCAACAAACGCTGCCCAGCATCAAAACCACCTTCCCTCTCCGCATCCCTGCTGGCCTCAGTATCAGCATCCCACTCTTCCCCTTTCCTGCCATCCCTCACTTCCTTGCTCTCATCCTCCCTCCTTTTCCCACTCTCATCCTCTCTCCTTTTCTCACTCCCATCCTCTCTCCTTTTCTCACTCTCATCCTCTTTCCACTTCTCACTCTCATCCTCTCTCCTCTTCTCACTCTTATTCTCTCTCCTCTTCTCACTCTCATCCTCTCTCCCCTTCTCACTCTCATCCTCTCTCGTCTTTTCACTCTCATAATCTCTCCTCTTCTCACTCTTATCCTCTCTCCTCTTCTCACTCTCATCCTCTCTCCTCTTCTCACTCTTATTCTCTCTCCTCTTCTCACTCATATTCTCTCTCCTCTTTTCACTCTCGTCATCTATCCTCTTCCCACTCTCATTCCCTCTCCACTTTTCGCTCTCATCATCTAAACTCTTTGCACTCTCATCTTCCCTTCTATTCTCACTCTCATCCTCTCTCCTCTCCTCACTCCCATCCTCTCTCCTCTTCTCACTCCAGTCATCCCTCCATCTGTCCCTCTCCGCATCTCTCCCCTTCTCACGCTTTCCCTCCAATGCTCTTGCCCTCAACGCTCCAACTTTAACCAGTCTCGAGTAACCCTTCTTTTCTCCCACCTTGCTTTCACAAATTCTCTTTGCACCAATCTCCCTTGCTGCTCCTATCCTCATCCCTTCTTTGCTCCCTCCCATCTTGCTCCCTCCCAATTTTCTGCCTCCCAGTTTGAAGCCTATGGTTGTTGGTGCCATCTTCGCCCCTCCGTATTCCCTCACTCCGTGTTCCCTCACTCCAACCCCCTTCCCTCCCAACACCTTTCCTGTGACTGGTGCCCCTTTGCTTCCTGTAACCGCATCTCTTTCTCTTCTCTGCTCGCCACCACCAGCGCCCATCCCCCTGAGAACTGCACTTGTCCCCACATTTTCCTTTCTTACACCTCCAACTCTCACAGCATGCGCAGGCGGGCCCACACCCTTCACCTTCCCTGAAGCCCCCCCAGCACCCTTCGCCAGCCAAGCACCCTCTTGTTGTCTCTTCCCCTCCAATCGACCCCCGTTGCCACCATTACCACCACCGATTCCCACTCCAGTGCCTTGCTTCCCCACACTCCCTGCAACTGACCCAGCACCTGTCTTGCCACCAGCCTTTGATTCCTTCCCCTTCCCCACGCCCCACACACTCTTCACCTGCTGGCCCCCCTCTCTCCACTCACCCCCCACTCTTACCCCCTCACCATCAGCTCTCGCCACTCCCCTGTCTACCTTTCCTGCACTCCCTACATCTGCACCGTTCACTCCACCCCTCCCTACATCTGCACCGTCCACTCCACCTCTCCCTGCCCCTACCCTGCCACCAGCCTTCACACAATTCCCATACCCTCTACCTTCCTTGCTCCCACTCCTCACAACCCCAGCATTCCTCACAAGCCCACCGCTCTTCACGTCCCCACCACTCCCTTCTCTTTCTGCGCCCTTTCCAAGTCTGCCGCCCTCTCTCCACGGACCTTCCTCTGCCTCCCTCCCACCACCACCCCTCCCCACACCTGCATTGCCCGCTCCCGACCTCCCGCCTTCTGAAGCATACTTTGCAGAAGCAGTGGCGGGAGCAGCTAGGTGTGCTTTTAATGAATGCTTTATTGGGGCCTGGGCGGGAGCAGCAGGGGCTTTCCCAAACAAGGACTTCGGAGCAGCAGTGGAAAGACCAAGTGGGGTGCCTGATGCACTCTTAGCAGGGGCAGCGGAGGGAGCAGCAGCAGAGGGTTCTTGTAACGAGGTCTTGCATTGCGCAGTGGGGGCAGGAGAGGGGGCTGCTGCCGCTGCGCTCTTGTGAGGGGCTGTGACAGCAGCGGCGGAGGAGCAACCAGTCTTGCCAGAGGATGTGGTGGTGGTAGTAGATAATGGGTCCCTTAACGGGCGTTTCAAGAGGGGAGGGGGGGGGGGAGGAGCGGAGGGTTCTTTGCACACGCTCTTGAGAGGGGCTGTGGAGGCTGCAGCAGGGGGGGCAGTTGTGAGGGTGGCTGTGGAAGGTGCAGTGGAGGGTGCCTGTAACGAGGGCTTAGTGGGAACAGAGGAGGGAGCACCAGACGGTGCTTGTATCGAGGTCTTAGCAGGGAGAGCGGAGGGTGTAGCTGAAGGTGCTTGTAACGAGCCCTTGTCAACGGCAGTGGAGGGAGCAGCGTCAGGGGAAGGAACCGCAGAGCAAGGAGCAGCAGCAGAGGACGGAGAATCCGAGGAGGGGGCGGCAGAGGAGGGAGCAGCAGCAGAGGGGGGCCGGAGTGCAAAGAGCACTTCGATGCCGGTTGGCGGGCGGTGCTGGGAGGAGGAGGCACTGATGGTGGAGAACGGGAAGGGCGAAGGTGGGGTTGGAGAAGAAGAGAGATGAGCACAGAGAGCACTGTGAGAGTTTTGTTCATGCAATGCAATGCAACCATCCAACCAGACGCATGAAACGCGTTCAGGCACACGAGCGGGGCTCTATGCACTGATTTCTTTCTTTCGTTGATAAAAGCACATTTCTACAAAGCAGGGAAAGAGAGGGAGTGGGAGGGTGACAGAGGAGCAGTGAAAGAGAGCGAGGATAAGTATTTCAGCTTTGAGACGTGTGAAGACTTAAAACACCACCCGCTCACATTGAAGCGTTGCTCTTAGAAGCCATTGATACGGGCGCACAGCAGCAATGCGCGCCTGTAACAAACAAGGGGAAATACAGGGAAAACGAGCAGGGAACAGGATAAGTTCTGAGAACGACACGGTGGTGTGTGGTGCGGTGGAGGTACAGAGGTAAGAGGAGACGGGGAGAAAGGGAAGGGGGAGACAGGGAAGGAGGGAGGGAGGGAGTGGGGGAAAGAGGGAGGGTGGGAGGGAGGGAGGGAGGGAGGGAGGGAGGGAGGGAGGGAGGGAGGGAGGGAGGGAGGGAGGGAGGGAGGGAGGGAGGGAGGGAGGGAGGGAGGGAGGGAGGGAGGGAGGGAGGGGGAGAGGGAGGGAGGGAGTGGGGGAGGGAGACAGGGAGGAGGGAGGGAGGGAGGAAGGGAGGGTGAAGGAAGAGGAAATGGGGAGGGAGAGGAAAGGGGGAGGGAGAGGATGGGGGGAGATGAAGGGGAAAGGGAGAAAAAATGGGGAGGGAGAGGAAGGCGGGAAGGACGGGGCGCGTAAAAGGCGAGGAAGGGGGGGGAACTTAATCGAGAGGGGGCGAGAGGGACGCAAGTGGAGAAGAATCGCAACGGACGGCGGGGTGGGACGAGGAAGCGAGGCGTGCAATCGAGGACAGAAGACCTACTGTTCTGTCGCGCCGCGGCCGAGTGCCGACGACGCGAGACCAGGAGTTAGGGGAGGATGCGAGCGTGGTTATTGGTTACTGGTTACTGGTTAGTGGCGAGGCCGAGTGATGAGGTGGACAGAAAAAAAAAAAGGGAGAATGATGCGGCATCTATTTAATGGCGTGTTTAGAAATTAGCTCATGTCAGAGTTGCGACGGGGCTACGATGGAGTTGCTTTCGGCTTTGGCGACTCGTTGAACTCGCCGCGGTCCTACGGGATCGTTTTGGTGTGTTATGTGCGTGGAGGCTGTTCATCCATTGTCGTTGCAGGCCCACGGGATTGTCTCTGTTTGCGAAAATGACTTCTTTTCTTCGCGCAGTTACACAATGCATGTTGATTTGCTTGTACCGTATATTGTGCCAATCAACAAACAAAACATTGCACCTACAAAATTAGCATTAAAAAGGTGATATGAAAAGTAGGACGTATAATGAAGTTCGTCAGCTCTGGCAGCAGCACATCGAAGTGCGCTATCCAGTGCCAACAGCAGCTACCCCATCGCCTACACTAACTAATTCACACACAGCTTTTAGAGGGGTGTTTACTGTTCCATTTGAACAGTACTCCCAACCCCATCCTTATCCTTATCTTTTCAGATTTCCTAGTGCCACGTGGCACTCTACCTTTCTTGCTTCTACTTTCTAGTACCACGAAGTACTTTCCGACATTCGACCTTACATGCTATATCATCCTCGCTTGTATCCACCAATATCAACCAATTCTCATTCATCAATTACTCACATCTTTCGCCAAAGTCTTCCGCCGCGCTTTATCCTCAATTTAGTCAACCCCGCTATTCTTTAGCGGATTTAGGCCAAGGGGCCTAACACTTGGTATCAGAGCCTTCGCGGGGAGCGACTTCCAACGAGCGACCGTCGACGACGAGACTACGACGTCATCGTCCCGCGGTGCCGACTAGCAGACTTGGAGTCGTCGAGCCAACATGGACGAGACCATGAACGCTCTCCCCAACGACATGGGCAACACGCTTGCTCAACTCATGCGCCAACTCGAACAGTTGATGTTGGAAAATCGTCAGGTACGGGCTGAAATGCAACAGCTTCGTGAATTCGCGTCAATCTCTCATGGTCATGCCGCACCATCTCTAGCACCCAACACGTCGACTGGCGCGAAAGCGCTGCCGGAACGTCGAAGCGCGCTCAAGCCGCAGAAGCCTGAGCCGTTCGACCCAAGCCAACGCGACGCGAACGTGCGGACGTGGATTTTCATGCTCAACAACTACTTCGCCGCGAGCGGGGTGCAAGAGGCGGATGCGCAGCAGCGGATCGAGTACTCCGTTACGCTGCTGAGGGGCCCGGCCTTGGAGTGGCGGTGCCAACTCACGCAAACTGCTGTAAGAAGGGCTCAGACGGATGGGCATCAACAGGGCGAGGGGCATGCAACTGTAACTTCGAGCTTAGGGAGTTTAGCTTTGGGTGTTACCACGGTTCCGACCACATGGGAAGGATTTGAAGCGGCGCTGAAAAGTAGGTTCGATTTGGTGAACGCCTCCGAAGCTGCTAGGAAGCGTCTGCGTCATTTCCGACAGATAGGAAACGTCCAGGAGTACACACGACGGTTCTTGAGCATCTGCAACGAAATAGATGACATCACGGAAGCAGAGATGCGCGATCGCTACCTCGAAGGGTTGAAGCCGGACATAGCGGAAATTATAGCGATTCACGGGTTGTCCACCTTCGAGTCAGTTGTCGCAGCCGCAGAACGCGTCGACGCAGTACGAAGCCGACGAGGTCGTGACGATCGCGATAGGGGATACAACAGACCGATCAACGACACTCGATCGAGGGACGGACCGTCGCCCATGGAGATTGGTGCAGTTAACGTTGACGGCTCACAGCGAACGGGTTTTAGGGGGAACTGTCACTACTGCAAAAAGCCGGGACACATGAAGCGGGACTGCCCACATCTTAAGGAGCGGCAGCAGGGAAACGGAAACCGCCAGTAGATAGCGGGTCGCTAGCTGGTGTGGAGGCTTCCGTACCCGCCAAGTTTACAGACGTAGAGGAGACAGCTCTGGAGCAGTCATCTACGCCGAACTCGGTAGACGCTGTTGATCGTCCAGTCGTGCTTCTAGGGAAGCTTCGCGGTGTTCCAGTCAAGATTCTCATCGATATCGGGGCTAGCCACTCGTTCGTTTCGTCTTCATTAGTTAGTCGTCTCTATCTCGAAGCAGATTCGGCAGTCAACTTCAAGGACGCTCGCATGGTAGATGGGACGCCACTTCACATAGGACCAGTCATTCGCAAGTTGCGCGTAGTGCTAGGACCGATTACGGTTAGGCGTGACTTTGACTCTGCGACGCTGGACGGTTACGATTTCATATTCGGGAGGGATTGGCTACGAATGGTTAGTACTCAGTTCGATTGGGCTCAGGGAAGCTGTAGCGTCGAGGTAGACGGGGAGTTCCGGGAGTTGCCACAGTGGAGTGATGGGGCCACATCCTCCACAGCCATCATCAATGCTGTTCGTGTGCGGCAGCTGGTAAAGCGAGCGGCACGGATCTTCGCGGTTTTCCTTGAGGAGGTGGAAGCTGATGAGGGGAAAGGAGGGAGCGCAGCAGTTGCCGATAAGGCAACTCTTCCTGCTGAAGTGAGTGCACTATTAGCAGAGTTTAGAGACGTCTTCCCCAACGAGTTGCCCCCAGGGTTGCCTCCTAGCCGAGCAGTAGATCATCGAATAGAGCTGGAGCCGGGAAGCAGGCCAGTAGCGAAGCCGCAGTGGAGGTTGAGTCCAGCAGAGACAGAGGAGATGACGCAGCAGGTTAGGCACCTTCTCGCGCAGGGTTTCATTCAGCCATCCAGATCGCCTTGGGCAGCACCAATCCTTTTCGCACCCAAGAAAGACGGAGGGTTACGGATGTGCATAGATTACCGCGCACTGAACGCCACCACCGTCAAGAATAGGTTTCCGGTGCCGAGAGTAGAGGATCTCCTAGATGCAGTGCAGGGCGCTAGAGTCTTCTCAAAGATCGACCTTCGTTCGGGTTACCACCAGATTCGTGTAGTTCCAGAGGACCAGCACAAGACGGCGTTTCGTACGAAGCAGGGGTTGTACGAGTTTAGGGTTCTACCATTCGGTTTGACCAACGCCCCAGCGACGTTTCAGACGCTCATGAACACCGTCCTCTCCGAGTTCCTAGGTTCGTTCATTGTAGTTTACCTAGACGACATCCTAGTGTTCTCTAAGACGAAGGAGGAGCACATGCAGCACTTGCAGAAGGTCTTTGAGGTCCTGAGGAGGGAGCAGTTGTACGCGAAGCAGTCGAAATGCGAGTTCTTTCTCCCTGAGGTCGAGTTCCTAGGACACGTCGTATCCGCTAGTGGCATTAGGACTGACCCGAGAAAGATCGCAGCCGTACAGGATTGGTTAGCACCGACCTCAGTCAAGGAGTTGCAGAGCTTCCTCGGATTCGCAATTTATTACCGCCGTTTCGTTCAGGGTTACGCATCGATCGCTAGTCCACTCACCGACCTACTTCGGAAGGGCGTAGATTTTGATTGGGGTCCAGCGCAGCAACAGGCGTTTGAGCAGATGAAGCAGTCGTTCACGTCTTCACCGACACTGTCGTACCCAGATCCCAGTCGCTCGTACGTTGTAGTGACCGACGCATCAGATCGGGCCATGGGAGCAGTGCTTCTTCATGACCAGGGACGCGGGTTGCAGCCGATCGCGTACGAGTCGCGTAAGCTTAGGGGAGCGGAGTTGAACTATCCCATTCACGATAAGGAGGCGCTCGCGATCATCCATGCGTATAAGGTTTGGAGGTGCTACCTAGAGGGGGCAGATAGTGTTATACGCACGGACCACTGTTCGCTTCGTTTCCTCAAGTTGCAGCCGCAGCTGAGTCGTTGCCAGGCTAGGTGGATGGAGGTCATGGAGGGGAGCTTTCACTACAGGATAGAGTACAAGCCAGGCGTGCGCAACCCAGCAGATCCGCTCACTCGCCCTAGTTGCCAGCTCGCTAGTCTCACAGTCACTGCCGACCACCCACTTCTCACAGCACTCTTCGAGCACGGTTACACAGTAGATCCCGACTTCACACCGCAGCCGCCCGCAGGAGCAGAGGTGCAGGGTAGTGTCTACATACGGAAGGGTACCACACGGATTTGGGTTCCAGCCTACCGCTCTCTTCGACAGCTCCTTCTCTCAGAGGCGCACGACGTAGTTAGTGCAGGTCACTTTGGAGTAGATAAGACGGCTAAGACGCTTAGTCGCACGTACTACTGGCCCGGGCTTGCAGCAGACGTAGAGGATTACATTCGCTCGTGCGACACGTGTCAGCGTACGAAGTCCTCTCGCAAGCGCAAAGCAGGACTCTTGCAGCCGATTCCACCGCCCGACCGCCCTTGGCAGGTAGTCACAATGGATTTCATCATGGCATTACCGCGCACAGTTAGGGGTCACGACGCCATCTTCGTGGTCGTGGATAAGTTTTCTCGAGCAGCGCACTTCATCCCCACGCACGGCAAGGTCACAGCAGAGGAAGCCGCGACGCTGTTCGTAGATAACGTAGTCCGACTGCATGGGGTTCCAGATTCCATCATCTTAGACCGCGACCCGCGTTTCACTTCGAAGTTTTGGAAGCAGCTTTTCGCACTGTTTGGGACTCGCTTAGCCATGTCGTCTGCGTACCATCCAGAGACAGATGGACAGACTGAGCGTGTGAACCAGACTTTGGAGCAGATTCTTCGCAACATCACGATGCACGACGCAGCCGCATGGGACAAGAAGCTGAGCATTGCCGAGTTCGCTTACAACAACACGCACCACTCGTCCACAGGCATGCCACCGTTCTTTGCACTGTACGGTCAGCACCCCAACGTTCCCACTCGTGTCGATCTCAAACCCACAGTCCCTCGTGCGGACAACTTCCACCAGCATCTCACATTCATCCATGATCACGTGAGGAAGCACCTTGAGCTCGCAAATGCACGCATGGCACGCACCACCAACCGCAGTCGTCGTGAGGTGTCGTTTGCAGTCGGCGACCGCGTTCTTTTGGATAGCCGCAACCTCCGACTGCCACAGGACAGTAAGCTTCGTCCACGTTTCATTGGTCCATTTGTCATTGAGCGCGCACTTGGTCCCGTCGCATACCGCCTCCGCCTTCCCGCTCATTTCCGCATGCACCCGTCATTCCACGTGTCGCTTCTTCGTCCTTACACTGATCCCAACGCCACCTTCTCGGGTCGTGACCGCACTCCACTGCCGATAGCTGTTGACACCGACGAGCCCGACTACCAGATCCAGCGCATCCTCAGGCACCGTCGCCGTCTCCAGGGGGGTGTCTCTTTCCTCGACTTCTTGGTTCGTTGGCGTGGTTACGACGCAGCAGATGACAGCTGGGTTCCTTCGTCCTCGCTATCTCCCGACAACGCTTGCCTCCAAGCGTACCTTCAGTCTGCAGGCGCCGCGGACGTCTCCTTGGGAGGGGGGTAGTGTTAGAGGGGTGTTTACTGTTCCCTTTGAACAGTACTCCCAACCCCATCCTTATCCTTATCTTTTCAGATTTCCTAGTGCCACGTGGCACTCTACCTTTCTTGCTTCTACTTTCTAGTCCCACGAAGTACTTTCCGGCATTCGACCTTGCATGCTATATCATCCTTGCTTGTATCCACCAATATCAACCAATTCTCATTCATCAATTACGGTACTCAGTTACTTCTTCGCCTATTTCGCCAACACATCTTTCGCCAAAGTCTTCTGCCGCGCTTTATCCTCAATTTAGTCAACCCCGCTATTCCTTAGCGGATTTAGGCCAAGGGGCCTAACACAGCCCTAACCACCCCTCCACTACCTCGACTCCCCCCACGCACCCACGCACGCAACCACACCACCCTCGATTCCCCAAACACGCGCATCCTATTTAACTCCAAGTTTTATCACAACAGCCATCACGGCCCATTGTGGCTGTAACCAGTGCTGGTGCTGCAATCGCCACTGCTTCCACTGCTGTTGTGATTATCGCTGCCATCATTTGTCACTCCCACCATTGTCCCCATCGCTGCCACTGCTGTTATCACCGCCACTGCTGCTCCCACCACTGCTCCCATCACTTTCCCCCTTCTTCTCCCCCAGATCCACCTTAAAGATATAGGTGCCCCAGTCGCTATAGTCCGTCCGCTCCACGCCGCCCACATACTCCACCGCCGCCCACACGTTGCCGTCCTCATCTATTGTGGCCGACATGAAGTCCCCGTACAGCAGCACAGGGATGTTGAAGCGGTACGCTGCAGGTACGTGGTGGGAAGGGGGGGTTGGGGAGAGTCAGGTGAAAGCATCAAGCCTCCATATAGCAGCACAGGGATGTTGAAGCGGTACGCTGCACATAGGGAGTGGTGGGTGTTGGGTGGGTGGGAGGAAAGGTAGGGGTGGATACGTGCGAACGGAGGGGAGAAAAGAGGGGAGGGGGGAGGGACGGGGGACGGGGGAGGGAGACGGTGGGTAAAGGGTGGGATGGGTAGTGGTGGGATGTTCCAGGACTCAGGTTAAAGGTACAAGCAGGAAGTCCAGAAACAGCAGTGCATGAGGGATGGGACACACAACTGTCATGCCATACCATACATGCAAAGGCCCAAGGCCTATGCACCCATGCACGGACTTGCTTGTTGGCGGACATGAGCCAAGTGCGTGAATTACCCAACAGTCATACTCAGGTAATCTTCGAGAGGCGCTTTCCCCAGGCCCGCAACGACGATCCTGCTCACGTGGTTGCGATACCATACATGCAACGGCCCAAACCCTAATCACCCAACGGGGGTTAGTTAGCTAGTCTTACTCAGGTAATCATCGAGAGGCGTTTTCCCTGGGTCGGCGACAACGATCCTGCCCCTGTGGGTGCCATACCATATATGCAAAGCCCAAACCCTGATCACCCAACGAGCCACCCGGGGTTAGTTCGCTAGACTTACTGAGGTAGTCGTCGAGAGGCGCTTTCCCCGGGCCCGCGACGACGATCCTGCCCACATCAGTGTTGCCGTTGATACATGCGTAGGCAGCCGAGGGGTAGAAGTTCGGGCCTGCCAGCGATGCTGCCAGGATGCCCTCGCCCCAGCTGGGAGCAAGAGAGGAGAGAGTGGGGGGGAGACGAGAGTTGGGGGGATGAGAGGAAGGGTGGGAATGAGAGGCAGCCGAGGGGTAGAAGTTGGGGCCTGCCAGCGATGCTGCCAGGATGCCCTCGCCCCGGCTGGGAGCGAGAGAGGAGAGGAAAGGGGTAGATGAGAGGTGGGGGGAAATGAGTGGTGGGGGGGATTGAGAGGGGCGGATTGAGAGGTGGGGCGGAATGAGAGGTGGATGGTGCGACCATGGCTACACAGGTGAGGATAGGGAAGTGAGTGAGTGCAAAAAGAGGTAAAGTACGAAGGTGCAGGGTGCAGGGTGCAGGGTTTCAAGGTAAGACAGTGCAAGGGTGCCATGCCATCCCCTGTACCATATCTCCTTGTCCTCATCCCCCTCATCCCCCTCCCTCATCCCCCTCCCTCATCGACCTCCCTCGTCCCTCTCCCTCTCTACCCTCTCCCCACCCACCTGTTGAGCGCCATGGTGGGCTGAAGAAGACTGTTCCCCTCTACGCCCACCGCTTTGAACCGCTCCAGAAACACGCGGAACGTGTGCACCGTGCGCTGGGGCCGCAGCGACAGCTGCAGGCGAACCACCACAGCCGTGGCACTTGTTAGAATATCTCTCCTCTTGTAACCTGCATACATGTTATGAATAGGCTAGAGATAAGCACCCAAACATAGTTTGGGTGTACAAATAGGGGTAACCCAGTTTGTAGGTTGGAACCCAACCTTGGTCTAATTATTGGACCCCAAAAGGTTGGGTTGAGTAGAATTATTGGCTCTCTCCAATAATGTTGGCCCAACCCCAACTTGGCCAACATTATTGGACCCCACCAATACTCACCCAACCCAACTTATTGGCTGGGGTCCAATAATGGCAACCTAGACTAGTATCCAACCCCCAACTATGTATACCCCTACCATTTTCAATGCAATCATAAACTTCTATCCTAACTTTCATTTCCCACATGGCATAGAGCTCACTATCCTAGGCCTACTCTCGTTCCAAAGGCCCACCCGGCCGCCGCAACCCCCGGCCTTCATATTTTTTCCGGCTCCTCCGCCGTCTTCCCCCTTCCCCCCTTAGCGCTCTCCTCTCTCCGCGACCTCATCGCCGCCTCCGCGCCCGCCGTCGCCGCGGCCTCACCAGCCGCCGCCGCCCGCGCCGCTCCCCCCCCCCCCCTCACGGCCTCGTCGCCGCCTCCGCGCCCACGTCGTCACGGCCCCGCCAGCCGCCGCCGCCTGCGCCGCTCCCCTCCGCGGCCTCGTCGCCGCCTCCGCGTCCGCGTCGTCGCGGCCTCGCCAGCCGCCGCCGCCCGCGCCGCTCCCCTCCGCGGCCTCGTCGCCGCCTCCGCGCCCGCGTCGTCGCGGCCTCGCCAGCCGCCGCCGCCCGCGCCGCTCCCCTCCGCGGCCTCGTCGCCGCCTCCGCGCCCGCGTCGTCGCGGCCTCGCCAGCCGCCGCCGCCCGCACCGCTCCCCTCCGCGGCCTCGTCGCCGCCTCCGCGCCCGCGTCGTCGCGGCCTCGCCAGCCGCCGCCGCCCGCGCCGCTCCCCTCCGCGGCCTCGTCGCCGCCTCCGCGCCCGCGTCGTCGCGGCCTCGCCAGCCGCCGCCGCCCGCGCCGCTCCCCTCCGCGGCCTCGTCGCCGCCTCCGCGCCCGCGTCGTCGCGGCCTCGCCAGCCGCCGCCGCCCGCGCCGCTCCCCTCCGCGGCCTCGTCGCCGCCTCCGCGCCCGCGTCGTCGCGGCCTCGCCAGCCGCCGCCGCCCGCGCCGCTCCCCTCCGCGGCCTCGTCGCCGCCTCCGCGCCCGCGTCGTCGCGGCCTCGCCAGCCGCCGCCGCCCGCGCCGCTCCCCTCCGCGGCCTCGTCGCCGCCTCCGCGCCCGCGTCGTCGCGGCCTCGCCAGCCGCCGCCGCCCGCGCCGCTCCCCTCCGCGGCCTCGTCGCCGCCTCCGCGCCCGCGTCGTCGCGGCCTCGCCAGCCGCCGCCGCCCGCGCCGCTCCCCTCCGCGGCCTCGTCGCCGCCTCCGCGCCCGCGTCGTCGCGGCCTCGCCAGCCGCCGCCGCCGCCCGCGCCGCTCCCCTCCGCGGCCTCGACGCCGCCTCCGCGCCCGCGTCGCCGCGGCCTCGCCAGCCGCCGCCGCCCGCGCCGCTCCCCTCTGCGGCCTCGTCGCCGCCTCCGCGCCCGCGTCGTCGCGGCCTCGCCAGCCGCCGCCGCCCGCGCTGCTCCCCTCCACGGCCTCGACGCCGCCTCCGCGTCCGCGTCGCCGCGGCCTCGCCAGCCGCCGCCGCCCGTGCCGCTCCTCTTAGCGGCCTCGTCGCCGCCTCCGCACTCGCGTCGTCGCGACCTCGCCAGCCGCCGCCGCCCGCGCCGCTCCCCCCCGCGGCCTCGTCGCCGCCTCCGCGCTCGCGACGCCGCGGCCTCGCCAGCCGCTGCCACCTCGCGCCGCCCCGCGACCTCGTCGCCGCCTCCCCGCCGACCACCGCCGGCGCCATTCCTCCACCGCTTCCGCACCCACGCAGCCCCACCAGCTGCTGCCACCTGCGCGCTTCCGTGACCACTGCGGGTCCACCCTCGGCCGTCCCTCATGGCTACCCCCATGCCCTCCCCCTCCCCCCTCCCTCCTCCTATCGATATTCCCTCCATTGATAAACTCCAGCTTGCATCCGACAAATCTGCCATTAACTGGCACTCGTTCGTCGGCAGCATCCGCCGAGTCCTCAACGATGCATGGATCCCCCCCTACCGCGTCCTTGACGTCATCCTCCGCCGCCCCCATGCCCTCCCCCCCACCGAACCTGACCACCCCGGCGAGACCCCTCCTCTCCCTCCTCCTCCTGGCGACCCCCCCCTTGAGCCCGAGCTCCAGACCGCCGCCGACCAGGCCACCGCAGATGCTGATTTCATTATGCGTCGCCGTGCTTACCTGATCCGCAAAGCCGAGTACGATGCAGCAGCTGATGCCTACGCCCAGGCGGTCGCTGGCCGCACTGCTCACCTCGCCGTCGTCGCCAAATACACCGACGATATGGCTACCTTCACTTCCAAGTTCATCGCCTGGTCAGCCGCTGACAACAGAGCATGCACTGTCATCCTTGGTGCTCTCCCTGACTCCCTCATGCGCCGCCTCCAGGCCCGAGAACTCCGCGCCTCGGTGATATGGGCAGAACTCCATGCTATGTTCGAACGCCGCGACATCAGCTCGGTGGGAATCCTCTTCCAGGAATACTTTTCTATTACCCTCACCACCTGTGACGGAGCAGTAGACTATGTCGGCCGCATGCGCGAGGTAGCCGATCGACTCGAAGCCCGCCAAGCCGGCCTCTCCGAACCCCTCCAAATCCATCGCCTCCTCTTCAACCTCACCCCAGACTATGAATCCCGCCTTCACGCCTTCACCGAAGCCAATCCCATGGCCGATCTCGCTTCTGTTGAACAGTGGATCATTGATACCGAAGTCAAGCTTCGCACCCCCATGGTCAACCTCGCCTCCTCCCAACCTTCCTCCTCCTCTCTCAACGCTACTCAGCCCCGCAAGCAGGGCAAAAGCAACGGCAAAGGGGGAAGTGGGGGCAAGGGAGGCAGCGGCCAGGGAAGCAGCAGCACAAGCAGCCGTGGTGGCTCCACTGGGGATGAGCACGGCACCCCCAGTCAGAGCGGTCCCTCAGGGAACCGCGCACCCCGCCCTGGCACTCTCCCTCCCTGCACCTATGTCCGTCGCTACGGTCCCCGGGCAGGGACACCCTGTGGTCAAACCAACCATCCCCCTAACACCTGCTTCAAGGCTCTTGATGATGCCTGGTACGCACGGGGCAATGTCGGCACACCTCCCCGCTGGGGTACCGTCTCCCCACGTCCCTCCCCTGCTGACATCCAAACCAACCCTGCCTACCTCCCCGCCCACCTCCGCCTCCTTGCTCCCCCCACGCCGTTCCTCAACCTGCAGCAGCAGCATCTTCTGCAGCAACAGCAGCAGCAGCAGCAGCTGTTTCAGCAGCACCCGCCGCAGCAGCAGCAGCAGCCGCAGCAGCAGCCTCCTTGGGGACCCGGGCTCCCACCCCAGTGGGGACCCAGCACTCCCCCCTGGCAGCAGCAGCAGCTGAACTTTGGCACGGCAGCCACAGCTGCTCACACCTCCCCTGCTCCCCTGTGGGGTACCCCACCTCCTCCTGGTCGTGGTGTCACTCCCCTCACCCAGGAAAGTTTTCTTGGCAACATTGCTCTTTCCCCCTCTCTTTTTTCTATGTACCCCTCCGCCATTATTGAAACCACTTTCCAGTACTCGGTGTCTTCCTCCTCCTCCCCACCCATTCTAGACTTCGTCCTTGATAGTGGGGCCACTGAGACTGCTCTCAAGGATGCTGGTACACTCACACCCCTCTCTCCTCCCACTCAGGTTCACGGTGCTGACAGCAGTTTTACCATCCCATGCACACATCTCTCCACCCTCCCATGCACAATCTTCCCCTCCGGTAAGGTAACTGGTCTCCACATCCCCACCCTCCGAAACAACCTCCTCTCCCACCGAGAAATCCAAAATGCAGGTATCACTGCCGTCTATCCAGGTAATGCCACCTACTGTGACCTTTATCACACCGCCACCGGTCGTTTCCTCCTACGCATTCCCCTCTGTCCCCGCACTCGCCTCTACACTCTCCGCACCCCTTAGCCATCATTCTGCCATGTCACCACTCGTCCTGGCACCTCCACTAACCCTCCCCATCCCCCTACCTCACCTTCTCCCCAGCGGCAGCCACTGCATCAACAGCAGCCCCAGCAGGGGCGGCATCCGCAGCAGCAGCAGCAGCAGCCGCCACAGCAGGGGCAGCCACAAGGGCCGCAGCAGCAGCAGCCGCCGCCGCCGCCGCAGGAGCAGCAACAGGGGCCGCGCCAGCAGCAGCAGCAACCGCCGCAGCAGGGGCAGCCGCAGCCGCAGCAGCAGCATCAGTCACCTCCCCCTCTCCCACCTTCACTCACTCCAACCCCCTCCACCTCCGATCATCTCTCCCACCCCGCTGTTCTGCTACACCACCGCCTCGGCCACCCCAATTTCGCCGCTCTCCGCACTGCCATCACCTCCCGCCTCCTTCACAGCCTCCCTCCCACTCTCCCTCCCCTCCCTTCATCTCCTGCCCCTCCATGCCCCTCCTGCATCCACGGCAAACTCAAACAGTCTCCCCACCACAGCCACCCGTCCTTTGCTCCCGCTCCAATTGACCTGGTCCACATGGACCTCTGGGGACCCTCCCTCACTCGCTCCCGTCAGGGCCATCGCTACATGCTGGTCCTCGTAGACGACCACAGCCGCTACTCCTCCATTTTCCTCCTCCACACGAAAGACCAGGCACCGACTGTGATCACCCACTGGGCAGAGCAATGCCGCGCCCACTTCAACCGTCCCATCGGTCGCCTCCACTCTGACGGTGGCGGCGAATTCCTCAACCGCACCCTCTCCCACTACTGCGCCACCCATGGCATCCAACAGACCCACACTCTTCCCCACTCCCCGCAGCAGAATGGTGTCGCAGAAAGCCGCATCCGCGAAATCACCAAAATCGCTCGTTGCCTCTTTGCTCACGCCTCCACTCCTCCTTCCCTCTGGGGCTATGCTCTGCTCCATGCTGCCCTCCTCCTCAACCTCCACTCCCATCCTCAACACACTGCCATCACCCCCACGGAACTCTGGTCAGGCACGAAACCTGACGCTGCCGGTCTCCGTGTCTGGGGGTGCAAGGCATACGTTCTTATCCCTCCTTCCGACCGCACCCAAGGCAAGCTCGCTTCTCGAGCCCTCGAGTGTGTCTATCTCGGACACAACCGCGACTCGCCTGGCTACCTCTTCCTCCACCCTCCCTCCGGTCGCCTCATTCGTAGCATTGACGTCGTCTTTGACGAAACCACCCCGTACTACTCCTCCCCACCACCAGACCCCCTCCCTTCCCCTACCCGTCCCCTCGCCTGGACCGACACTGTCCTCCCTCCCCTCCTCCCTCCCGCACCTCTACTACCACCTCTCCCTGCTCCACCTCCACCACCCTCCTCTGCTGACATCTACGATCCTACTGCACCTGCATCCCCTGCCCACTCCGCTGCCCCCCCCCTCCCCTTCCCCTCCTCCCCTCCCTCCCCTTCATCCCAGCAGCAGCAACAGCAGCAGCAGCAGCAGCAGCAGCAGCAGCAGCAGCAGCAGCAGCAAGGACAGCAGCCGCCGCAGCCGCAGGGGCAGCAGCAGCAGCAGCAGCAGGGGCAGCAGCAGGGGCAGCAGCAGGGGCACCAGCAGGGGCAGCAGCAGGGACACCAGCGGCAGGAGGAGCAGCAGCCGCAGCAGCAGCAGGGGCTTCAACAGCACCAGCAGCAGCGACGGCAGAGGGCGACTGCCCGCTCCTCACCCTTCCTCCTCCCTCGCATGCACACCCGCTCCCTTGATCCCATCCTTGGCACACCGCCTCCTCCCTCACTCAACCTGCTAGAGGACCTCCATGAGGAACTCACTATGGACCAGCGCCACACTCCCTCTCTCACCCCCCTCTACCCTGGCTTCCTTGGCGCACTTATCCTTGCCGCGGCCTCCGCTCCCACCATCTTCGTCCCCTCCACCTTCCAGGAAGCTATCACCTGCCCAGATGCCGACAAATGGATAGCTGCCATATTCCTGGAATGTGAGGCCTTCATCCGCAACGACTCTTTCATCGACGTCCCCCTCCCTCCTGACGCCAACCTTGTCGAGGGCAAGTGGATCTTCCGAGTAAAGCAGCTGCCGGGAGAAGAACCAGTCTACAAGGCCCGCTATGTCGCCAAGGGCTTTACACAGACTTGGGCTGACGACTACTAGTTCACATTCGCCCCTACCGTTAAGCCACCCACCCTTCGCGCTCTTCTTGACGTTGGTGGGCGTGACGACATGGAGATTGACTCCATGGACGTCTCCAACGCATTTTTGCAAGGCGAGCTGCACGAGCGTATTTTCCTACGCCGACCTCCCGGGTTTCACGCTGCTTTCCCCGACGATACCGTCTGGCAACTACGATGCCCAGTCTACGGTCCGAAGCAGGCACCACGAGAATGGCATGCGAAGCTGTCTGCCACTCTCCAGTCCCTCGGTTTCTCTGCCTCCCACTCCGATGCCAGCCTCTTCATCCGCTCCTCCCCTCGTCGCTTCTTCATCTCGGTCTACGTTGACGACATGATCCTGCTTGCTGATTCTAGGACCGACATGGACCAGGTGAAGCGGTCCCTTCAGGACCGTCTCAAGTGCAAGGACCTTGGTCCGCTGCAAAACTACCTCGGCATGACCATCACCCGCAACCGATCCGCCCGCACCATCACCCTCTCCCAGTCCCACTACATCGGCCAGGTACTAGAGAAGTTCGAGATCGCGCAGGCCAAACCAGTCTCTACCCCCCTCCCCTTCGGTCACCAACTAGCGCCTCCCACCTCCCCCTCCGCCTCCTCCCGCCCCTATGCCGAGCTCGTTGGGTCGCTGATGTACGCGATGATGTGCACTCGCCCCGACCTTGCCTACCCCATTAGCGTCCTCGCTCGGTTCGTCGGCTCCGGCCGTCACACTGAGGAACACTGGACTGCCGCCAAGCGGGTTCTCCGCTACCTTCGAGGCACCAAGGATCACGCCCTCATATTGGGTGGTTCCTCCCCTCCCCTTCTCACTGGCTTCAGCGACTCCTCCTGGGCGGACTCCCAGCCGGACCGCCGCTCCTCGCAAGGTTATGGCTTCACGCTTGGCAGCGGACTCATCAGCTGGCGTTCCACTCGCTCATCTGCCGTTGCCCTCTCCTCCTGCGAAGCCGAACTCTATGCTGGCACCATGGCTGCACAAGAGTCCCGTTGGCTCTGCTTTCTTCTCGCCGAGCTTGGTGCCCCTCAGCGCTGTCCCACACTCTGGTGCGACAATGCCAGCACCATCCATCTCACCCAGGACCCCGTCTTTCACGGTCGCTCCAAGCACATCGAGCTCCGCTACTTCTTCATCCGTGACCTCGTTCAGCAAGGCCTCATTGCCGTTCGCAAGATCGCTGCTGAGGCCAACTTGGCTGATATCTTTACCAAAGCCCTTCTCCGCCCTGCGCACTCTGCTCTTCTCCGTCTCATCGGCCTCGCCCCTCCCGGCGCGCCTTGATTCAGAGGTTGCTACCCTCAAGCCTTTTTCACATCTCTGCAGGTTAAGGGGTTGTGTTAGAATATCTCTCCTCTTGTAACCTGCATACATGTTATGAATAGGCTAAAGATAAGCACCCAAACATAGTTTGGGTGTACAAACAGGGGTAACCCAGTTTGTAGGTTGGAACCCAACCTTGGTCCAATTATTGGACCCCAAAAGGTTGGGTTGAGTAGAATTGTTGGCTCTCTCCAATAATGTTGGCCCAACCCCAACTTGGCCAACATTATTGGACCCCACCAATAATCACCCAACCCAACTTATTGGTTGGGGTCCAATAATGGCAACCTAGACTAGTATCCAACCCCCAACTATGTATACCCCTACCATTTTCAATGCAATCATAAACTTCTATCCTCACTTTCATTTCCCACAGCACTGAGCTCCTTCCTAGCTGCAGACATAAACGACACCCACATCTGCCTCCTTGCAGGGTCCACCACAACTGCACTCGCATCCACTCCCACCGTCCCGATCGGTGCAATGCCGTGTCCCATCTTCCAGGCTACCGGCATGGGTTCTTTTGGGTGACTGCGTGCGGGAGGACGTGCGGCGGGGTGTACACCGCGGCGCAGTGCGGTTCCACGCGGTTCTCTGCGTCTGGTGTGCCGAGGGCGATCGTGTCGGTGAGAGCAAAGGCGCCCATAGCAGTGACGTTGGGAAACAGTAGGGTCTCGTTGGGTGCGGGGGGGTTGATGCTGCCGGTGTAGGCGAAATACATGGTGCCGCCGTGGGAGTGGTCATATGAGCCATCTGCTGCGACCTTCTGAGGGAGAATGGTCCAGGAGGGGTTGGTGGGAGTGGGGGAGGCCGGCACGACGACGCGCAGAATGGTGGCGTTCTCTGCCTGAGTCAGCTGGGCCTTGGATATGGCACTGGCAGTGGGGGCGATGGATGAAAGGGGGAGGGGCGAGGGGACAAGGAGGCGAGGGGGCAAGGGGGCGAGGGGGCGAGGGGTCGAGGGGGGGGTAAAGGGGTTTGGGAGGAAGGGTGGTTGGGAGGGGAAGAGGCAGGGGGGGCGCAGTGAGTACAAGTTTCAGAGACATGCATGCGAACATGTATGGCATGGAACACTAGATGCTGCTAACATGCCAGCAGATGGGGGCGGAATCAGAGAAAAGCCTAATGAGCAAGAGCACAAGAGCAAGAATAAGAGAAATAGACGGGAGGCGTGAGTGCTCGTTTCTCCAGGTGACTCACAAAATGTTGGGCCCCAAAAGGCTGGAAAAATCCTCTAGAAATTGGTTGGCCGCCACGTACACTCCTGGTAGTGGGCGAGAGGAGTGGCAGGGAGGGGACGGACGTGGGAGGGTAAGGGAATGGACGGGAGGGGACGAAAGAGTGAGGGTAAGGAAAGGTAATTGAGTGGACAGGGGAAGATGGAAGTGGATGGGACGGAAGGGGGCGGAAGGGGACAAGAGGGTACGGGAGGGAGCGGGAAGAGATAAAAGGGGTTTCTACAAATGGTAATGGAGGAGTCAAGAGGAAAGGAAGGGGAAGCGAGAGGAAGAGAGGGGAAAGGATACCAAGGGAATGGGCGGGAGGAGCATTTACAAATTGGAAGGCAGGAGGCAGGACGGGAAGGGAGCGAAGGGGAGGGGACGGGAGGGGACAGAAGGGGATGGGAGGGGATGGGAAAGGATGATTGGCATGTGTGCTGATTAGCACTGCTTAAGGCAGGCCAAGGCACTCACCATAGGCATCGGTGCCGATCTGAGGGTTGACAACTGCCAGGCAACAACGGGATGGATGGGGAAGGGAATGGAACAGAAAAATGAAACGCCTGGATGGTGGTAGAGCGCACTGGCATCCAAAATGCATTGTCAATCAGCGTAGCTACTTTGCCACTGATACAACATCATCCAGCACGCGCATTGTCAATGAACGTACATTGCCATTAGACGTGCATTGTCTCTCAGCGTTGTTGAAACAGATACCATCACCCCACGTACAGCGAGTGGTGAGTCGTGACGTGGCGAAGTGAAGAGGCGCCATTCAATCAGCATTGGAGTTGATGCCATCGTTGCTGGAAGCGAGGGGCGTGCAGAGAGAGACAACAGTGCGTGGGGAAGGTTCTGGGTATGTAAATTGGAGAGAGAGCGAGAAGGTTGGGGTAAAATACAATAGAAGTGGGTTAGGCTGGGGGGGAAAACAAAAGGAATTGAGGAAGGTGGGCAACATATACAAATGGAGAGTGGGGAAGGTTGGGAGAAAGAAAGAGAGCGAGCAAGAGGGAGACAGAGGGAGAGAGAGGGTCTTGGGAAGTCTTACGAGCCAGGGATGAAGAAGGTGTTCCAGGGCTTAGTAGGGTCGTCAGTGGTTGATGCGGCCACTATGAGCCCCGCTCCCACCGTGATGTTTCCCCTGCTCCTCGTCTGCCCGAACTTGTCAAACGTATTGTTGGACTGCCCCGACTGGCGACCATGGGGGAGGGAGTGAGGGCAGGAGGAGAGGGAGGATTAAAAAAACATTGAGTTGACTCGAAAATCATCTCTTCGCAAGCAGGAAGAGGGGGGATAGAATTTGAGCCTGACACCACACACGCGCACTGGTGTCACTCAACAAGTAGCAGAGGAGAGGTTGGCATAGTAGGACGACGTAGCAGCGGGCGTCAGGCGGCGGGCAGCAAACGAGGCTGAAGGCGGAGAGGTAGAAGCGGCGGGCTTCATAGCCCGACAGAGGCGGAGAGGCGTAAAGAGGCGGAGAGGTAGTGAGGTGGAGAGGCGTAGAGGCGGAGAGGCGTAGAGGCGGGGAGGAGGAGAGTAGAGAGGTAGTCAGAGCTCATATAGCAACAGCGGGCGGCGGGCGGCACTCACGAGCCAGAAGGCCGAAAGATAGAAGCGTCGCGCCTTGCGATCATAAGTGCAGGTGAGGCCACCGATGTTGTCGCCCATGACTGATGCCTCAATAGGGTCTTTCTGGTCCACGTAGTCTGGGAGCGTGCCGAAGAACCGCGGACAATCATAGCGAAGGGGGAAAGAGAGGGAAGGTGCAGGTTAGCCCACTGATGTTGTCCCCCATGACATCATTGATGCCTCCAGGGGGGCCCTCCTCTCCACTTAGTTTGAGAGCGCACCAAAGAACTGCCCATCGCGGAGAGAGGGGAAGAAATAAGGGCACGGCGGGGAGACGCGAGAGAGGGGAAGAGACGGAGAGTGGGGAGACGAGGGGGAGAGAGGGGGAGATAGGGGGCCCGGGTGGGAGAGATAAGGAGAGAGAGGAGGAGCGGACAAGAGAGGGGGAGAGAAGGGCAGAGAGGAAGAGAGGGTTTAGGGAGAAAATGAGGCAGAGAGACAGGAAGAGAGAGGGGGGAGAGGGAAAGAGGGGAGCAATAGAGCAAGAGAGCACGCATGCTCATGCTGATGCGCAATAGTGAGCACGTGAGAGCGGCGGGCGCTCATGCCTGCCTGCCTGCCTGCCCCCGAGTGTGTACCTCGTTCTGCGGGATGATGCGTGTGAGCTGCTTCCCCTTTGTGTCATACACCACCGACGCTGCGATGGGGGGAGAGGAGAGAGTGAAAGGAGAGGCACGGAGGGGAAGGAGACACACGGAGGGAGAGGAGAGGGTGGTAAATGAGGGAGAAGAGTGGAGAGGAGAGAAAGTTTGGCACGCGTGAGGTGAGCTGCTTCCCCTGCGTGTCGCACACCAGCAACGCTGCCATGGGTGGAGGGGAGAGGGAGAAAAGAGGCACGGAGGGAAAGGAGAGGGAGGAAAATGAGGGGAGAGAGTGGAGGAAAAGGCTGATGCATACAGGAGTGCAGAGGAGGAAGTGTAAAGAAGAACGCGCAGGGTTGACGATACTAGTGCAGCGTTTGAGAGCAAAGAGGAGGTGAATGAAGGCAGGAGGGATCATCTCATCTCACCGCAGTTTACAGCATGAACGATGAAGCCGTTCCCCACACACAGGGTCACGTCTGGAGGAGTCACGTGCACCTGACGCAGCAGGAAAAGCATCCAGTGAAATACACACACCTCGTTAAAACAAGTAATCCAGAAACTCTAGACACGATAAAAAAGCTGCACGTGAGGCTGGCGAGAGGCATTCTTACCACTGTGTTGTTGTACTTAGGCACTGTCCCGCTGTTCACTCCCGTGTACTCGCTTATTCTCGGAAACCCCACCGGTGCTCCGCGCTCCACCACGGGTTTCATCTCCGTCGTGCGCGCCAGGAACATCCCAACCTCCGCCGCGCGCGCATTTTGTCAAGCGGGGAACGGGCGGATGGGGGAAGGGAGGAAGTTACTACAGAAGCTTGAAAACCACCGCTGCCGCAATTCCAGAAGCATTACAGGCGGGAATGTTTGAACGGTCCAGGCATACCATCCGGCGCATTAACGGTGCTTTGATAATTACTTCAACCCGAACCACGCAATGCTGGCAGCAGGTGGGATTGACTAGAACCGAGCGTCGTACCATCTGCTCCTGGAGCGGATTCGGCGGCATCGGCGCGCCTGCAGGGGCTGCGGCGGCGGTGGCGGCATCAGGCTGCGGCGCAGCGCCGTTGCCGCCGCCGTTGCTCCCCGCGCTCCCGGAGTCGGCAGCCGGCGCGCCGTCAGCGGAGTCGAGAGGAGGCATTTGTGCGGAACCCGCGAACCAGAGGTTCTCCGCGAGCTTGAACACCTCCACGCGGTCGCTAGATCCGCGCAGCGGCGCGATCACCGTACGTGTCGCCGCATACGCCGGCGTTAGCGGCTGCAGCAGCAGCAGGAGGAGAAGTGTCGAGGCAAGGAAATAGTAGTGGTAGCGGCGAGGAGGGGAGGTCGCACGTGCCATCGCGGCCATTGCGGTGACAGCGGCAGTGCTATCTCAGACGCAACTACAATCACACCTCAGGGTCACTCAAGCTCAGCCAAAATTGGTGTTACTGTGACTGACTGGCTCAGTATGAATGAACTCGGTGATTCGCGATAACTTGTACAAGTAAAACTGACCGATAGTGAGCTCCCGACAGACATACCATCGTCGTCTCGTCTGGCCCCTGCTTCACGAGACGGCGATAATCCGTCTATCCGTCCGTCAGTGTCTGTCATTGTCCGTCTGTATGTCTGTCTGTGACAGAACACGTGCTCCAGCATTGCATCCCGCAGTTCGCAAACCACGGGAGCGACCTAGACCTGTAGAACACACGCACACATATAACGGACCGAAAGGGCTGTTATTGACTTTGGAAATGCCATGTCAGCAACAGTAACGCTAGAATTCGTGGATTTGGCTCTCAGTGGCTAAAGTAACGCTCATTTCCACCTAAAGACCAAGTCCTGACTTTGCTTCTTTCCGTTTGTGTCATTTGTGGGGTGGAGCAGGTCCAAGAGAGATGAACAAGGCGCTGAGATGAGCAAAGGAACTTACATGATCGCCTAGTGTATTAAGACGCGTGTAGCTCGCGTGACGGCTGCGCGTCTTTCCACCCAAACTGGCACGGCGCAACTCCCTTGCGGCTAAGCCACTGCTCTTGGGAATGCCGCGCGGAAAGCAAGGGTTCGCAACCATTTTGCATATCTTTCTGGACCTGTGGCATTCCGGTACAAAGGCGCTTATCACATAATCACACCGTGTGTTGGAATTTCTGTAGCTCGCGTAAAGGTTGCGCGTCGTTCACCCCGGAGTTGTACAGTACAGTGGCGCAACTCTCTTACGGTGTGGTGCAGACGAGAAATTGAAGCGAGGCGGCTTTCCGTGACCATTTTGCAGATCTTTCTGCACCTGTGGCAGTCCGGCACTAGAGCGCTGTGAATGGCTGAGCGAACACCTAATCCCCGCCGGATTGGCCTGCCGAATTTCCTAACTGTAATTCAGCCCGTGAATTGACCTAGCAGCGAGTGCTGCGTGAGTTGTTGAGACAGATAGCGTGAGGGGAGGACTCTCCCAGAATTTTATACTGCCCTACACGTGTCGAGAGCACTTCCGAACCGACAAAGATGCTCTGCAGGTGAGTGAGTGGTTGCCGACGTGACGCGAGAAGCAAGAAGCTAGAACTAGAGCAAGTTAGAAAGGAGAAGCTAGTGAGATGCGAGAAACAAAAAGGGAGGTTCGACACACGTGAAGGGAGAAATGAGAATGGAAGGGGAAACGACTTGAATGTGGTTGGAAGCCGCCAACGATTTCTAGTTGTGCTTCGCTTGGGACCCGAAAGGTGTGTGTTACGAGTGCAATTGAGCAAGCGAGCGAGAGGTGCACTATCGAAGCAAAACAGTCCATTGAGCTAAGGCATGGGCGAAGAATATATAGCAAAGCTAGAGTGGTAACGGTAATGTGTGAAAATGGGGTGCGCTACGGGCCTAGCGCCGAGGCTGGGAATTGTCAAGGCGGAGGTCCGGAGCGCGGGTTACCAGCCTAACCATGAGTTTGGGTTGCGTCGTGAACAGTGGCGGGAACAGTAGTCAAGGCGAGTGCCGCGAGTGGTAACGGTCTACTGTTGGGAGTTGTTGGCAGGAACAGTGGTGTACGCGCTGAGCAGGGACGCGAAGTAAGGAAAAGGGGTTTTCCTTACACCCCCCCCCCCACCCCCCTTAAGGAGGTCCTCCTTACGAAAGCGCGTGTACATCCCGGAAATTTCGGCTGCGCATGTACTCGATGAGGACGGGGTGGTTCTCAACAGGGGCTTGGTTATCAGACCAATTTGGTCTGATGGTCTGAGTTTCAGACTTCGTTTTCTTTGTTCAGCTGATCCTAGCAAGAGCCCTGGTTCTCAATTCTATCCAGGAAAACCCAGTTGTCTTCGGTGGTTGTGCGGCCTTTCCAACGAATCAGAAATTTGATTCTGCGAGCTCCTCGTGGGTCACGAACTCAGTCGCTCTGTATCTTTTCGGGCGTGATTATTGGTTGTGTCGAAGGTCGTGTCATGCTGGCGGGGCGGTTGCGAGGCAGTTGGCTAGTGGATGGGACGTATGGGCGGAGGAGGCTGACGTGGAATGATGGCCTGATGTACCAGTCAGCAGGGAGGAGGAGGTGGACGGTGACGGGGGTGATCATGATGGCCCACAATATCGGGGGCGGAGTTTCAGGGTAATGGGTAGGCGGAGGTTTTGGGTGTCGAGGAGTAAGAGGTCGTCGGGTTGGTAAGTGATGGGGCGACGATGGCGGCCGGCATTGCGTTTAGCGATGACATTTGATTTCTTGATTGCGTCTGCTGCCCGGGTCCGTGCTGCCTGTAAAATTTCTGCAAACTGTTGCGCACGGGGCACAGGGTTGTCGGGATTTGGGGTCATAGGTACTGTGGGGTCTTGTCCGTAGTTCAGGTAGAAAGGTGACTGTTGGGTCATGGCGGATGGCGAGTTATTGTATGCTGTCAATGAGAAAGGCCCCGCCCTCGCTAAGGCGCAGCCGATCTCGCCGTCGACAGGACGTTTTCGACGGATTGGTCGAAGTAGTGGGATTCTGCAGTTCGTTGGAAGTTGCGGTCGAGCAGGCTCTGCTCGACAGAATCTGGTCGACATCGTCGACGGGCAGCGCTAGTCGAAGGCAGCGGTCGAGGAGGCCCGTCGAGGAGTGATGGTCGAAGAGCCCCGTCCGAGGAGCTCTGGTCGAAGAGCTCAGGTCGAGGAGCTCTGGTCGAAGAGCTCCGTTCGACGAACTCTGCGCGACGAGCTCCGGTCGACGAGCTCTGATCGGCGAAAGCTGTTCGACCGAGCGGGGTCGAGTTGTTCGACCGAACTTGCAGAGGTGTGCGAAACTCCGTGGAGGTATGCGAAACTTCGCCTAGGAGGTTTTGGCGAAGTTCGACCTACGGAACGGCATCACGTGGTCGACGGTGCGCACCTGGCGAAACCGACGACACGTTTTCTACCTGGCACTTGCGCAATGTGCCTGACAGTGAAACCGTCAACCTGCACCTACTTGGTAGGTGCGCACATCTGTGCAGATAGACAACCTGTGACTGCAGATAGTCACCCGCGACTGTAGTGCTGGCAGGCCGCGCGTAGTGCAACGCTGGCAGACTACTCTGCTGCAGCGTTGGCAAGCCGATCTTTTGCTGCGCTGGCAAGCCGCTCTTCTGCTGCGCTGGCAGATTTTGCCCTTGCTAGGGGTTGCATGCCATTCTAGTCATATCTTTCTACATGCTTCAATCGTACTCTAGTCCTTTCAATGTTCATTGTTCTTTCAACTTCATTAGTGGAAACTCCTGCAAAACTTCTCTGTGAACACAAGCAAGAAGTAAGCACACTAGCGCAAACCTACGATCACTCGCACAACCCCGTGCCCTCCTCCGTAGTCCACTCCCGTTGTGTAGTGACTCCGCATATGCAAATTCGATGAGTGGCAGTTGCTGTTCCCACATGGTCGGGTCGTCGCACGTGGCTCGGATTAGCTCCTCCATGGTCTGGTTTGTCCGTGCTGTCTATCCGTCAGTTTCGGTGTGGTACGATGAACTGAACTGGAGCCGCGTGCCGAACTGCTGCCACGGGTTCTGCCAGAAGTTGCTGGTAAATTTCGTGTCGCAGTCGGTGATGATTGCAGCTGGTATCCCGTGTAGTCAAACGACGGTGGCGATGAAGAGGCGGGCTGTTTCTTCGGCTGTGATTGGTTTTTTGCAGGCTGCGAAATGTGCCATCTTCGTCAGCCGATCAACGACGACCAGGATCGCATCATTCCCATTTGCCCGAGCTGGTAACCCCGTGACGAAGTCCATCATCACCTGCTGCCAAGCATGCTCTGGGGGTGGTATCAGCTGCAACTTTGATGCTGGGCCGCTTCCGGGATGATTTCATGAGTTGGCAGGTGGGACACGATGCCACGTGTCGTTGCACGTCAATCAGCATCTCGGGCCAGTAATAATACCGCTGCAGCTGCTGCCGTGTTTTTTTACTTCCGAAATGGCCTGAGATAACCTTGTCGTGTGCCTCCTGTAGTAACAGCTTCCTTAGTAAAGTGTAGCCAGGTACCTGTGAAGAAACGAGGAATGAGGAAGAAGAGAAGGGTTGCACTAGCAAGAATGAGGATACAAATAGCAAACCCTAGAAGGGTTGTACTCGCTATAGAGCACCCCACTACAGGCTAGAGCATAATATTCTGACACACCCCCATAGCCAAAGTGGGGTGTAACCAGCAGAGCAAGCAAAGCAGTACAAGCTCAGGGTGGATCACAATGTCACCACACATTCTGAGCACAAGTTCAAGAAGCAATAGTTTAAAGTTCACAATTATGAGCAAAGCTAGTGGTAGTCACAACGGGCAAGTGAGGAGGAGGAAAGAGACTATGAGAGGAGAGGAGGTAGTGGGCGGCAGCTGAAGCTGCTGGCACACGGCGCAACTGGAGCAACTGGCACACGGGCAACTGGAGCAACTGGCACACTGGCAACTGGAGCAACTGGCACACGGGCTACTGGAGTAACTGGCTCCGCGGCTAAAAGTAGCGGCAGACGAGCAACGGACTCACGGGCGACTGGAGCAACGGGCTCACGGGCGACTGGCGCAACGGGCTCACGGGCGACTGGCGCAACGGTCTCACGGGCGACTGGAGCTGCTGGCTTCACGGCGGCCACCCCCTTCAACCTCCCCAAACTATCCCACTCCCCCTGACACACACCCGCTGCTACACCGCTAGCTCCACTCCCCCTTCACCCCCCCTTAGTACC